TACCGTAAACAAATATGCCGCTGATCTGTTCTTGCTCAAGGATAATTTTCGTGTTACGCTGAGATATATTTAACCTAAGTAGCTATAAGTGGCGTAAGGTCATAGCCAATGCCCTCAAGGCTCTCATTAACTTGTAGATTTTCCTACGAGGCTGCTAAAAAGTAACTGTATGGACTGACTTGTTTTAATAGGGAGAAACTCAGTAAGAATATTATTATGAAAAATTGTGAATTAAACTTTTTGAGATATTAAATTTGAATAAATGAATGTTTTCCTTTTTTTTTATATATTTAGGCAGTTTTTTTTGGATAAAGATATTCCTGTGTCTCGTGGAATTTAGTGATTGTTATAGGTAATTTTATGGCGTTTTCATGTGTACCGTAATTGCTGATTTATAGAGTGCTAAACTGTATTGAACACCTATATAAAAGGTAGACAAACAAGTAACTTAAAAAAAGCATGTTGTGTTGGATTTTGTACTTCGATTCGATGAAAAAGCTCGTAAACAAAAATCTGATGTACGGTATATAATGTGTTTTGTACAATGTTTCAAAGGAAAGCAATTTATATGATGGCGCATTGCTGTGGAACTGTAAATGTTTGTATATGCAACCTGCAGCTTTCACTGGAAGACTTTCTCACAAAAATATTGTCAAATGCTGAGATGGTATTTCGTATAAAATTGCCAGGTAATTTTTGACATGTTAGTTTCTTCATGGATACATTATTGCACGATGACTAAATAAATAATACATCAGCCATAAATGTCAGCCATTTCCAGCAATATTTTTTTCACAAAATTTATCATACTTCGCACACAAATACAGTTCAGCTCATCAGCGGGTCATTCTCGGTTTTTCATAATTTATAAATTATGTGGACATGGAATATTTGGAAATAAATTGAATCACCCTATATTGAATTACCGTGAGTTTTTAGTTTAAGGTTGACAGTTTTGTATTTTTTTGGCAGTTTCCAGTTCCACAGATTCACAATGTAACTCGTATATCAACCAGTATGTCAACAAGACATTCAACAAAAGCTGGAAAATTTTAGTTTCATTTATATATATAGGTTCCTCACTGCTACTATCAATATTTTATCACAGTAATAAAAGAGGAATGTGTGTGTAATGTCTAGAAACCTTGGCTTTTGTCTTCCAGTAAAAGGCATACTTTCTTACGAGATTGATGGTGTTTATTTTCGTGAATCTTTATTTGCCTTCTCGTAGGAGTGTAAAGAATAAATGAGACAGTAAAGTTTAATAAACTTTAATGTGAATTATACAAACCGAAAGTAAAGATTTTTTGGGTATTGTAAATTGTAATATGTGTTTATTCTGAGAACGGAATAATTGCTTTTTACAATAGCACTTGGTATTACTCGATATTCAGTCTTGTTTCTCTTTTACGCCCAGAGCCACTTTTAGAGCAAACCATAGGCTTTAGGAAATATTAGCAGTCAAATTTAATATAATGTGATTAAGATTCTTAGTGTTATTTACAAATTAATCATAAATAAAAGGATTAAATCATTATTAATTAATTAATAATAATCATTATATATTCCACGAATATATTCATTTTGAATTATAAGTTATTTTATAACTCTCTTACAAGCCATTTCCTATTTAGATTATATGTATCTTATTATGCTTCATTTCATAATGATGTGTACAAATGACTTATTCCAAAATGGAAACGTCTCTTATATAGCTAATCCTTATTGACATTGCTTTATCTTCAAGTGTTGTGTATTCAGGATTAATATGGAAGAAAATTGATTTTGTGTCTGAGTCTGATTATTCTTGTATACTGACAATTTTAGGCCTGCTTCTTAGGTATTGCCAAGCAGTGGACCATTGTTAGAGCATGCCTTATAACTATGTATCATACTTGGTTGATAAAATATATTTGCATTGTTTGGGAATGGATATGGTCTGGAGTTGTCAGTTAATCCATTAATTGCATCCTTGGATTGTGTGAAATGCTATTTTATCTGATGATAGCGCAGAGTGTTTATCCACAATAATAAAAGCAAATATTGCATCACTTTATATCTATATATATATGAGTGAGGATTCCTGGTGATATAAGGATTCAACATACCTGAATTAGAATTTAGTTTTCATTTGATAATTTCATCACCAGGCATTTAGAAATTGAATATTTCGCTATTAAGGCTCAGTGGCAGGAGCGTAGATGAAATTATTGAAGGAGGGGTTCTGAAGTTATAATGGGGGAGGGTGTTGATCCCCAAAACCCCCTTGTCTACTCCCCTACTCAAAAGCTTTTGCAATGTGTGTTGTATTTATGGCAAGATAGGCTTTGATTTCCTTTATGAGATACACAATCATTGTTTAAAATGCAAAGACTATATAGGCCTATTAATATTATGAACATCATGTGATACACAAATATTTTTTCATATTTTGTTCGCACAGTATTCATTAGCGTTAATCATGAAAATTGACACAGAATTTGAATTCATTGCTAAATGATAAATTTAAAGATCAATGAGAAATTTAAATATTCATGAACTTGTTATTGCTGTAATATACGTTTCATATCACTATTTTTATCCAAGTTCATGGACTTTTCAAGTTTGAATATCACTCAACCTTGTCCAATGCTTTCTCAAATAATTATTTTTTCTTCTTTATTTGATATTATTGATAGCGGTATATTGGTTGTCAATTGGCTACTAATAACGCAACAATTTCCTGTGTGGACTAAAGTACCTTTTCATGTTTGAGTTGTACATTCCATTCCGATAAGCATGTGACGTGTGTGCATAACTTGTTTATTTGAGTCCTGATGCAATAACTTCGATCCTAAAATGTCTCATATTTATACTTAATCAACCTATGGCCATAGTTTCAGAGGTCTTTTTATGTATGGATCATCATCGATTCTTGTTTTGCCAATTTTTTTTTCAACTATGCCCCACCGGTCCACAGTTCAATTAATTATTAACATAGTGTGATTTATTTCTCTAGGTTGAAATGCTTCAGATTTATGCATATCATTTGATCAAGCTTGATGCTTTGTTAATAGGCTTGGTTAAGCTTGGCATGGCTTATAAGACTTTCAACGTACCCACAACAGCTCTGCTAATCATTAATGCATGCCACAAAATTTGAAAAAGTTTTTCATCCATGTATGGTAATGGCAGGCTAGTCCTTGAGATACCTAGTTGACAAGGGCATTCTTATGTCTGTACTCTGATAATAAATGTTGATATAAAAAATCTTATATGGGGAAATTTTAGGTCATTTTACTTGAAATCTATTTAGTTTATTGTATTGATTTGGTGTCTTAATTTAATCTAAGGCCATCTTTTACAGCTGTGTGATAAATATCACTGTTCTTTGAATTTGATAAGTTGCAATGTTGTAGATCCAGTTATATTCTTTTGTTTCAATGTTATAGATAACAGGATTATAAAAACAAAATATTGGACTAAAGATTCCAACTAAGATTTCAAATGAATTTGATTTGAAGCAAAATATTGTATGAAAGAGGGCATTTTCATCCCATTTCATGTAATAAATAATCAAATTGACTTTTGATGCTAGAATATCAAGGGAATTTAGTTTACGTTTAATTCCAAAAAGTGATATTTGCAGAAAAAAGCTATTTTCAGGAAATCAAAAATTACTAAATTAAGAAAGAGCATATTTCTTTCTATTTTTGCAATTCTTCTTTTATTTGTTATGGGCTATATTGAAAGGAACTGGTTACAGTCCTAGACCCTAGTCAACAATGGACATTAATAATTCATGCATTGTAATCTAAATATTTTAGCATTTTTAGTTATGATTCCTTTATTTGTTTGTGACATCTTTGGTATTATTCTTTCCCTTTGTATAATAGATTATTGTTAAAATTCTCAACATTCTACACCTTTTGTGTGCATTGTATTTACCGTTAAAATTGTTACATTACAATAGAAAGCCTTTCGTTGAAAGAAGAATGACGTCATATCAAAATATTTTGAAAAAAGAGATTGTGCCAAAATTTTTTGTTTTATTGTTTGCGATAAGTCCTCGTAAAGTTGGTCTTCAAATTATAAGAAGTGGAGAATTGATAAAATTATTTATTGTCATCCGGCAGTTTCAATTTTTTATTGCTGTTTTCACTTAGTTGTGAATTGATTTATTATGTTTGAAATAAGAATAAATAATCAGACAGTTTAAGTGTTTCTATTTTAATTAACTGCCTAATAAATCTATAGCATTTTTACTTATCTCATTATCAAATGCAATATAATATGTAAGTGTAGCTCATTACTTATCGATTTTAATCGCTAATTATGTTGATAGGGATAGGTATTTGTCTGTTTGTTTGTCTGTTAGATTCACGCGATGTCTCACGAAAGCGAGATTGAATCTGCTCCAGATGTGCATGTGCATTCATCATATGTCGTACCAGAAGCCTAGGCTATTGATTTTGGATGATGTATGTCGTATAATTAGCGAGTTATTAATTAATTAGTGAACGGACACAAGGTGTCACTATGGAGTAAGAGCGCTGTTTTGGGGGATCCCCTAACTTTCGATCGATAAGTCTTCGGTCTCTGACCGATATTCTCGTTACATAGTTGATAGTTAAACATAGTTAATTCCATTAGCAAACTGGATAATCTATATTCTATGATAACAAATCCGGACATAATGTTCGCTTCATTAGATGATGCTACCGGTATATAAAAACTTTTTTATCTGGTCAATTTCGTTTTTGTGTAGCACTAACAATAACAGCTAATATTAAAAGTTCCATAGTTTCTTGTGGTCAAAAAACAGATTTTAAGTCGTTTGGAACATATTCTAGAGAGAACATATTTTTTGTTCTAGATTTCTGAAACTTGGGTACATTCATACACAAATAGAAGTTCGATTTTTTGGGGGGTCACACAGTATTTCTCCATTGACCCTGTATGGACCCACAGGTATGAGTTTTTTATTTTGTATAACTAATTCATGATTTATTATTTTACAGCATATATTTACTAGGCTAGAGTAGTATTGGTTTAAGAATGAACTTGGTTCCCTTAGCCTAGTTAGTACTGTGGTTATCACAACTGGATAAAGGGAAACTGAAGAAGAAACACAAACGGAAACTGCATAATGAGGTGATTATCTCATTCATTGTTTTCTCTTATTGTATTGGAACTTGCTACTAATTTATATATCATTGTGAATTGTATTTTATCATTGTTATAGTATAATTTTGCTATAAAATACGGTTATCAAAAGTCAAAACATAGTTTTAGATAAAGTGATATTTTAATAGCAAGTTTTGATTGGGGTAGCTTTTCTTGGTATACTTTGGATGAGATATTGGCAAATTAAATTGGAAGCATAGTTTAATATCTTTGTCCATAATCACATACAAAATTGCTGTGCTACTTATCAGGATGGTTCACTTCTCCATTGACTTTCGACTGGTTGTGGTTGCCACCAACCATATTCACGATAAATGTATTTTGTATAAATTTGTATGTCCCCTGTTATGATTAAGGTACCTATATTAATCGAAGATTTCATAGATTTTTTTTTAATTTTCAATTTTTATTTTCAAGTTATCTTCATCTCTAATCATTGTGTGTTTTTTCAAAAAGCCTCAGCAAAAAGAGAGCAGCTCCAAGACCTCCGGTCCCTGGAGTTCAAAGTACTCCCGCTGGAAAAAACAAAGAAAATGAAAAGTAAATATTATTCATCTCATTTTTGTTCTGCGCTTTTTTATATATGCTTCAATTATTAATTAATTTACCTGCTTATTGTTTTAAAAGAATACTAAAGAAGGAAAATGGTCATGGAGAAGATCTAAACATGAATGAAAATATAATTTTAAAAGTGGTCATGCCAGATCAAACTGAAGATGAAATTGAAGTACCTGGATTGTGAGTTGAAAAGTTTTTCAATTTCCATTTCAAGATCATCATTGTTCACCAATAAAGAACTCATTTATTAGGTTATTCTCTCTAAACAAGGCTCTATACCAGTGTTTCTCAAATGGTGAAGCCAGCCCCACAAGATGGTGACTCGATCTCGCCTGCCTAATTTTTGATATTCACGTTCCACTTCCATCCACATATTTTAACATATTTTTTGAACAAAACATACTTTCGCCTTACTATCTGTTATGTAGCGTATTGTTAACTACCGTAGTTATTTTCAAATGGGGAGCGAGACTTGACAAATTCTAAGAACGGGGGCACGGCTCAAAAAGTTTGAGAACCACTGAATTTTAGTCTTTCGATTTGGCTCCAAACAGAAGTTTCTCATATCCATGTAGAAAATTTCATACATGTTATTATTTCATCCATGTGAATAAAATTCCTAGACTTTTTTTGCTTAATATTTAGATTATAATTAAGCAATTTGTTACATCCACTCAAGTGATATTTTTTTAATATTTGTTTTTACAGAATACCTTTGATGGATCTGCGAATGCAACTGTGTGCTAAATATAAACTTTCTCCAAGTTCTTATAAACTTGAACCGATTGAATTAGATGGAAGAGCAATACCTTTCACACAATCAAGTACAGTTGTATCAATTAATGCAAAAGCTGTTGCTCTCAAAACGAAAGCTAAAGAGCCAGTGAAAATTGCACCACCTAAAGTAGTAGAGGTTAGATTCTGCTTATTGGACACGTCAGTGTACATAACGATCGTTTCAATATTATGTTGTTGTTCTTGTTATTCTTCTCCTTCGTCATGATGAAATCGCTTTTCTCTTCGAATACTGGACCAATTGCTTTGAAATTTTCAGTGGTTAAAGAATGATATTTTTGCCAGAAGGCTATTACTTTTACCTATCTCAAAAATTTCTGTGGACTTCAAGAGATTCGTTTTTTATGTGTCAGAATAAAAAATAGTGACACCTTGTGACATGTCCATTTATTTGAGCATAGCTCTCTTGTTTTCTAAGGAACAATTTTTTTTTCAAAAATGGTGATTCTGATGAATTGTAGTTATGATAGGTATATTCTGACACGATACGACGATCACCATTGATTATTGGGCATGTTGAAATATTTTTATGCCTATTTAACTGGAATCCAGTTTATTCAATTGTTTCAAAATGTCTTTTGTCCCTATGGTGACATAAAAAAAAATCAGGAACACTGGCTGGAAACATACCAAAGTTAGCCATTTCAGAATTGGTTACCGATAGGGAGGTACAAAATGAATCGGATATTTGAATCGATTTGGAATTAATTATATTTAATAATTGAAATTCTTAATACTAGGAATAATTTAGAGAAGTGCTATTCGAGACTCAACATGTGACCGAGAAGGCTTTTATGTTATGAAAATTATTAAAAAAAAATAAAGAACTATTGAATCAATGATCATTTTAAGTGTGTTACGAAATACAAATTCCTTGAATACATTAAGTTTCACATATTCTTCATTGAAAATGAATTTTCTGAATTGATTATTAGTTTTTTGGAATGGTAAATTCACTCCTTCTTTACTATTATGAAATATTATTTTTGCAGCAAACAGTCAGATTGACAATCAGAATGTCGCAATCACATAAACAAGTTCTTCGAGTTAGACCCAACACGTCTTTGGACAAATTATTGCCTCAAATATTAGAAAAATCGGGATTCAAACCAGATAAGCATCAATATGTCGAACTCAGACACCCTGATCAACCAACCATGACGCTTGATACATCTCGTTCTTTAGATGATTATAAAATTCGAGAGATATTTGTTGCAGATAAAAGAGGTTTGTGCATTTTTACGCGTTATTGTTTTTGCAACACAGTTCGTGTGAAGGATTAGTTTTAAAATAAGTTTCTGGCAAATGCAAGAAAGTTCTAGAAGTGCAGGAAGCGGTCATAGTTTTGTTACAAATTTCAAACCATGTTTCGGTCGTGTATTCGACACAAAAAAACTTCAAACGAGGAAGGTACTAATTTGTAATTTTTGATTTTTTTCTGGTTTTGTTTCAAATTCAATGTTTTTGAGTTTATTAATTATTTGTTAAAAACGTTTGGAATCATATGGATATCACATATGTGTGTACTTGTGTCTGTGAATCTTATCACAATTAGGATATTATCTTATCTCTACGTTTTGGTCATGTTTTCCACCTAAGGCTAGAACAATATTAAAAACAAATTTGAGATTTATTCTTGTGAATATTCGGAAGTGCATATTTTTCGACTACGGTATATGGGATCTTGAGTGGAATTTTTTGGTATTTCCAATAAAATCTTGGATGAAGTTTCAATCATGTTTTTACTACTTTTTAAAAATATCTCTGTGATTTAAAAATGATTTGTAAAATTTGAGAAAAAGACATCTAAGTACCATGTGCCTAATATGTTTATATCCTATTCATATTATTGAGATTTAAAATAAGCATTACTTTCTGTTCATAACACATTATTAATGCCACAGATTGCACTTTAATAAATGATTTTAAATTTGAGAATTAAATTTCCTAATCATTTTGCATGATTGTTTGTTTTACTTGTATGTAACATATTATCTTCAAATATTATCTCCTAATGTTTGTTATTTATGCTTGATCAAGTATGGGCCAATTATGCTTCATTAAAAATATCAACCAAAAACACTTGTTGCGTGCTTGATTGAGCATAATTATTTATCTGATCTGCACATGATCCAATTAATTTTTGTGGAATTATTAATCAATTGCAATTTAATTCCATTTGATTCGTTAGTACCAATACAACAACAACATGAACCTCAACCAGAACCGGAACCAGAAACAATGTCAATACAATCTGATGACACGTCGCCTGGTAAGTATTAATCATGCGTGCAATGAGGTTTTTAATCAGATTATCACTGTCTGAGTCTCAGGTCAATATGGTCACTTGCTTTGCAGAAAATTTTTTAATTTCGATTCGTCATTGACTTTGATTTTATCAGTTATCACTATCAGTAATTTATCAAAGTATTTCCCACCCTGAAGTGAAGCGTGTAAAAAGTTTTAAGTCATGAGCAAAATTTCACAATTTCAAAAGTGGTAATCGTCGAATTTCTGATGTAAATATCTGATATGCATTTGATAAAAAAACATGCATATGACAAAGCCTTTGTTATCAAATTTGGTTACATTTTTCAAAATTTTGTCCAACAAATAATCAGAATATCACAGTCAAAAACTCATGGACGGAGAGTACAGAGATTGAAGTCAGAGCTGGCATAAGTTTCCTTACTACAATACAAATTTATTATATGGAGACAAAAAGTTTGGGATCAGAAATCAAGAGTTTTTATCACCATTTACTAGTATTGATTTTTTTCCTTCACAAGATAGGCACTAAAATATAGAATCTGATATACCTAATCTTGCTTCGCCCAGTGTTGCCATCTTGGAAATTTTAATATTGAAACTATTTCAAATAAAAATATTCCCTAAATGTCCGAGTTGACCTTAGGAACAATTTTTTAACACAGGGCTATTTCTTTTTTACTATCCACATTCATAATCTTACTATGAATTGTCTTTTATATTTGCTTTTGTAAATTCCAATTGGAATTCCTCTCTATTGTGCTCTTGGACTCCTTAGCCTTTGTTAATAGTTAAGACGTATGTTTGAGTTTCCCTCTTATAAACCCATTTAAAACTTCACTTAAAAGGTTTTAAGTACTTTACACCACATTTTGCAAACGTTTATTGGGATTCCTCTTGGATATGTCATGTTTTGACAGGCGTGTACTTGAAAATTGGATTAGTATTTTGGATCTGTAGTATACTAGAGTTTCACAAATAAATAAAATATAACAACAAAGTTCAAATTGAAATTTTTGTTTTAAAGAAAATGCTGTTTTGATTATACATGTAATCAAATATGCCGGTTTTCCGGATTTTTTTGCTTTATAATCACAATTTGTGTTGATCGGAAGAAAAATGATAGTAAAAAAAGAAAAATTTGAAAAATGTCATGGCTTTGTTAAATATTGCATAATTTTAAAAATATTTGAGCAAAACGATTCTAGGATATCTAGGTGCCAATCAAAGATACTACCTGTATTTCAAGCATACTTTTGTAGTTCTAAGACGATAATAATTTTGATTGGTTATTCTCATGCGTCACACCGACTAACTTTATCGAACAGCCCTCAATCTCAGATTAATAATCGACCAAGGTTAAGAAAGATGAAAAAATTTCTTATTTAAAAAATAATATTTACCCAAACTTGTAAGATAAAAAGAACGGCATGCAAATAATTACTTCAGTTTTTTATTTTTATTTATCTCACTTCATGTAATAATTAAAGCACTTTGGTATCTTTGTAAATTTATATTATACTCAAATATTTTTTATATTGCTGTACTTTGTATTTTTGTTTGTCGTATTATTCCTATCTTTATTTTTTTTGCTTCAGATAAAATTTCTGATCAAGGAATAAAGAAGTCTGGTAGCCTGAAGAAAAGCAAAAAGCTGAAATCATTTTTTCGTCTTTCGAAGAAAAGCAAGGTTACTCAGATAGATTATTTATTATTTTAATTCGGTTGAATTTCATCCATTTGTTTTAAATGAACGTTGACATCGCATATTTGCACTAAAATGTCCCATCATAAATTTGGAGCATTCAGTGCCCCATGCGAGGTTCCGTACAGACAAGCACTTCATATATTCAAATATTGGGTTTGGAAGGATCAACTAAGGTTCAGCATTGGCCAATAGGTGACTTATTTGCCAATGGACGTCAGGAGACACAAACATGGACTCCAATCAGAGTGTTGACCTTTTGTAGGCTTCACTTGCAGTACGATACTTTTTGGATGTAACAATTGCAATATATATATAATCTGTTAGGACATACATATTTAAGATATACATAATTATCCTGTGAGGAGAGGAAAGCTGACAAGCCGGCCTAATCATGTGGCGAACCCCAGCCTCTTGTCCAATTACCAGTCTATGTCAGCCATGGGATTAGTAAGCCAGTTATTTGTTTTCAAAAGCATGGACTTGTTGCAAAAAATATGATAATTGTCTGGATAAAGAATATCGCAGGTTCTCATCAATAGTGCAGTAATACTTACATGCTCTGTTTAATATTAAATATTAATATTATTTTCAGCATTCACCATTGTCGTCACCACCAACTTCTGAACAATCAAGTTCAAGTCCACCTATACCACAATCAAGGTAACAATTACGTGGCCAGTTGATAATAAAGGTTCAAGCTTTTGAAAGACACCAGATTAATCCTGAATACCTTGTGGCAATTATTTGTAAAAATTTATTTAGTTATTTATTTAGATTATCAACACAATAATTTTTTATGATATATGGTATGAATGACCAGTATGACTTTGTGGATTAAATATAAAAAAATTTTGAACTGAATTACCGCTGCTCTATATACTTCTGCGGTTGTTACGGTTGTTTGAAGTGAATTTTGTATAAAATGTTTCTACTCAATATTGCGATTGGTTTTATAGAAGCCCAATGGCTAAATTTGTGGTTAAATCTCTTATCTATTTATCATAGTTATAAGTTTTATACAAACAAAACGTGGGGAAAATTCTATTTTTATGATAGCATCTATTATTTCATTTTAAAATTGTTTTTGCATCAAAAAAAATTTTCTGAGTAGGAGCATTTTAAGTACTTCCAGAATTTTTCTTCACAATTGTTTCTATATTCAGCATAATGAATCCTGCTATCGTTTATTCGTTGAATCGTTTTTCACATCAAAAAGAATACTAATGATATCGTTGCATAGCTCCTTTGCTATATTTTTGACATTAAATTATCTAAAGAAGTAAAATAACTATTATTATTCGGTATTCAGGTCTCCTGACACCATCCAGCAACCTCAGTTTGCTAATGTGAATGAAAACAACTCAAAGCAAAGGGAAGATGAACATAAAGTCCATAAAAAGAAGAAGGCGCCTATAAAGCACCCTGAACCTCAGGTACGCTCAAAATTGTAAATAAAAATTCAAGCATGAAAGAGAATGTAATTTTGAGTTTTCTTGGTAATTTTAATTCGTCGTTTTTGTATTTATTCGAGTGTAAATTAAAATTTATGCTTCATCCGAGGCATTTTATCAGTATACTAGATATTCAAAATAAATAATTTTTGGGTTAAATCTTCTTATTTAAATTTAACAGTAATGTTTTCCTAACAACAATTTTGGGTTATGCAACACTAAATACCTACCCTTCCCATCCTTCACTAGGTACAATGCTACCATTGGCAAGTTGAGAACCATTGCCCTATGCCAGGGTGGTCCAAGATTGTCCACTTCAGGGGCTACAAAATTTTTTTTGCATTGTTTGCAGGCCACAATAGTGCCAAGAATAGGTAAACAGTGCAATATTCAACTTCACTAGTCATAACACTGGTGACTAGGCAACTCAACGACATTAGTGATGTGACAATATATCAAAAGATTTTTCTGGTTATTTTCATGACTAGACAACGCTAAAAGCGATTTTTGATTAACCTCCAGCAAATGGGACGAGGGCCACAAATATTGAGCCCGGGGGCCACATGTGGCCCGCAGGGTTTGGAACACCCTGCTCTATGCTATGCCTTGTGTTCATGTGCAGTCAGATTCTTAAATCACTCAGTTTCCCGTTTCAAAATTTTATCTTTTAAAATAAATTTGGAAACATTAATTTAAATTTTGTTGTAATATCACAATATCCCATTATAAATACATTAGCAGGTAGCCCTACCCATTCTTACATTCTTGATGATAATTAGTAATCTATCAATTTCTAGTTGTTTGTTTGTTAATTATTTTCATTGTGTTTGTACAATCATTTGTTTAACAACACCATCAATCTATCATAATTTCATATCATTATAGAATGAACCGTTGCATGGCCAAGTCACTGAAAAGATTGATGAGCCACAGAAAGCAGAGACAATTCAAAAACAGGTAGCTGTTAATCGTTAATCTACGTGAAGTATTTCTTATCTCTTTGGTATGCAGACTTTACTAAATAGTTACATAGTAATTGGTGGAAACAATGGATAAATTGCCTTGATTCGGAATTGAAAATCTAATAAATATTCTCTGCTGGATGGTTACTGCACAATCACCATTTTTTAATTTTTGTTTTTTATGTTGCTCGTAGCAACGGTAGTTATAGTAACCATCTGTTTATCATTTACCCTCACTCTCTGGCAGTATAATCCCTTATTCATGCTCTAGTAATTTCAGGTAAATCCAATTATAGCATCTAATTTTCTGAGCAGGGATTTTTTTTTCGAAAATCAACTAAACCCTAATTGGATAACATTTCCCATTTTTTGCATTTAGTTTTGAAACACAATTTGTAAATATTATTAAAATTTTAAAAAAATGTACAAATACAAGACTTAGCTGTTTTTATTTTAGGGCTGGTTAAGCACATTGGTGCTGTTTCCGTAAAATACATGTATTGTAGTTTCATGGTTAGTGCCATGATGGCCTGGCCTGCTCACTGTAACAATTATGACATCGCAGGTTAAAGATTTTGGTGCCAGGTTGGGTCAGATGGGGTATTTTCTGCTCATCGCCCGCCACTCACCCGAATGTAAGATATTTATTGAGCCAATGTTGAGTTATGAAAATCTGTAGATCTGCAGAGCAGAGGCCAATGTAAAATTAATTTGCCATTTGTTTCTTCTAAGTTGTTTCTTGATTTTTTTTTTCAGAACTCGGTTGAATCAGAAGAACACATAGAGGATGAGGAAGGTATGGTAATTTTTTTTTTTTTTCAAGTCATGCTGAATTGATTTTTATGCTTCATCCAATAATAAACCGAGTTAACAAGATTAACTGATTGAATTAATTCTATTAACTTCGAAAAAACTGTAATGTTAATGATTGTAAAATATTTGTAAAAATTGAATTATTGTCATTCATGAAATCCAATATTATTATTAATAATGTTGATGACATATCCAGTTTGATTTGACATGCTTGGATATATTGATAAAATTGATCAATTTCCATAACTGAGAAATGGTCCCAGTTATTTGATTTATCATATGAAAACTGATTTCTCAGGAAATGTAATTAGTAAGTGTTTTTACAAAATGAATAATTGATATCAATATCCGCTACTAACTGTATTGTTGCTTCTATTATTCCTATATTTCAAAAATAATTTTTTTAGTAAGTTAACTTGTGATTGATATTAAGATCATTGCAGATTTTTAAATTGTTGAAAAAATGTTATCAAAGGATTTGTTTTGGAGTTGCTGAAATCGAAAAATTATTATTTTTTTTTTTTACTTTTTTATCATGATCATATTTGAGTGATTTCTAAGACTGGGAGATTGTGGTCTCTTTGAAGATTCGTTTTATATTCTAGATTTATTTCAATTTGTATATCATAGTTTCGTATTCAATCAAAATTAGGAAAAAAAAATTTAAATCAGGCTTAAATATGCAACATAAAATTACAACATTGGCTATTAATTTCTAAAAAACACGAAAATTCACCATTTTTTGCATGGCGATAATTTTCAATGTGATTTTTTGTTTTCTCATTGCTTGCATGCACATCACATGATACCAGTCATAAAGATTGTCCCTCCTCGGCCTAACGCTCCACCCAGAGTTAAACCAAGACAGCAGCCTGTTCCAGCTACTCGTCTCCATGCCACAGGTAATGTGTCAGTTAATTTGGATTGAAATTACGTAATTTTATGATAATAACTTTTCACTTGATTTATTAGGTTCAAATTTACTGATTTTTTGTTGCTTATTTGCTATTTTATAACAATAACATTTCAAAGTTTCACTTTTTGTTTTTGACGTGCAATTAGGTTAACTATCTTAGTTTTTTAGTTATGATAGAATAATTGGGGTTATCCGAAACGATTTGAATATATTCTAAATTCCGAGCCTGTAGTTTTCAGATTAAGAAACATATTAGAATAGTTGCATTAGACAATTGTCCATCAGTACTTAGTAATACTGCTTTTAATAAACGCTTCTGTCATATACTATTCTGTCACTTTCGTCAAATGTATGATTTAACCTTGGGGTATATTCAATGTTACTCTTGTGAAAATATTGAATTATTGGTCTTGGTACTAATATTCCATTATATCATTAAAAATTTGCAAAGGTGTTCAGTGTTTACATTATACTTTTGTTCTAACTTTTATGTCATATACTTCCAGGTAAAAAGAAGGCACCTCCACCACCTACCAGTCCAGACAGTGCACCTGCTTCACCAACAAGACCTTCTAGACCAGAAAAACCTCCCAGAAAACATGTTAGTTGTTTGAAAATATAGATTTTAAATTCTAAGTTTTGGTGCATACACACCTGCATTTGGTGCGCATTTTCATAATAATATGAGAGATCAATACAACTTTGCATGAGTAATGAACACGAATGTACAACCTTGACAGTGAGCTTTTTGTGCATGGCTCTAGTAATCTTGTTATCAGTCATCACACTGCTGATTATATTGTACAAAGACAGGGATTTTTATGCTTTCTCCCATTAGTAACCTGAAACATTTACCTGAATCCCCAGCAAGCTGACTCCAAATCAGATGGTAATATATTAACTAACAGATAACAATTCTAAATGTTCATATGATCTTACCCGAATTCATTATTTCAAATACTCTATGCCTGTGGTTCTCAAACTTTTTAAGCCATGCCCCCTTTTTAGCCCCCCCTCAAAAATAACAATGAGCTACGAATAACGAATAGTAAGAGGAAAATACGTGGATGGAGCGTAAATAATGAAAAATATGAAAAAATCAAATCTAACAAATATTTTTATTTTTAATTAGCACCACGCCCCCGAAAAATTGTCTACGCCCCCCACAAGGGTTCACTGTTTGAAAACCACTGCTCAATACTGAACATTAGTATGGCGGCTGTGCCCGTTCGCTACAATGTTTTTGAAATTTGAGGAGCAGTATTAGATAGACACATTTGTAAGTCGTACTCTGCCTCAAAAAGTAGAAATACACAACACCTCAAGAGTTATATAAAGCCCCTTGGCAATATTCCCAGACCCTCTGTTTTAAACTGAAATTGTTGACATGATTAAAATTTGATATCTATCATTAATCATTTTCAAATATTCCAAACAGAGTGTGGAGAAGAGTAATAAGGACAGACCTGTGTTTAATGAAGAAAAATCATCAGATAAGGAAACACAAGAAACTGTTGTTGGTGAGGATATTCATTACTTACTTATTTTTTTCTAAACATAACTTAAATGCAAGAATAATTTTCTATTTTTTGCTTATTCATACTCTATTTTTTGCTTATTCAACTTCTCAACTATATGCAAAAGCTCCCGAATCAAGGTAATTTGGATATAGGCAGTGGTGGGATTCAGCCGCTTCGCACCGGTTCTATAGAACCGTCTCACGGAATTTTATGAGATCAGCGAACCGGTTAGCATTACTAAAAAAATCATGTAACAGAACCGCCCGAAAAATATGACTTTTGTGATGGAACCGGCTGACAAAAAATTTGAATCTCACCACTGGATATAGGTTCAGGGTTTGCAAGGACTAGAATCTTTCTGATATCCAATTTGTTACAACTTGACGAATTTAGCTGACGAAAAGATCATTGCAATATAAATAATAAAACAACAACATACTCAAAATTTTGATATTTACAAGAGGGAGCGATATGACCATACAGTCATCAGAATCAGCCCCCATATATCATATACTAAACTGAAGATTTAACATGAAATACGGATATCTAGTGTATATAACGTCAGTGTACTGATGATAACCTTGTGTCTAGCACTACCAACTTTCCCAAAATAACTTATTTAGTATACAATTTTTTCTTTGTTTTAGATGATATTGCAATACCAATGCAGACATCAGACACTATTGAGACAAAGGTTGAGCAAAAGCCTCCATCTGATGAAGGCGAGGAACCAGCACAAAAGCATGAACATGAAGAAATTATTCGAGATGTTGAAATTCTGTTAGAAAAAGGTTGGTAATGAATAGTTGAACCTCGTTCTGATATTTTGGATCATATTTTATATGGCCAAAAAATTGTTTGTTTATTTCATTTGAATGGTGTTTAACACACAATATTTAAAAAGAAGAGTCTCTTCGTGAATTTTGAAAATCCCAATTTCTAGTTTTGGAGTTAAAATAGCATTTTAGTAAAAAATCTCTATTTCACCCTGTGAAAAGTTGTGACATTTCTGACTGCTGTGCTATTCGATACATTAACTCACTATTGCAGTTATTGTGGGTTCTGAGACGTTTATATGAAATTAGTTTGAGAGCTTAAGAAATCAAATTTACAATTGAATTGGTTTTGAAAAATTTGGATTTATGTCTGCTTTATCCCATGATAAAAAAAAAGACATTGCCCCCAATCTCTCATGCTAGCCATGAATTAATGATATAACTGCCAAATTTTGCCAAAAAAACAGTTTTTTGAAATCATCAATAACATTTTCTGGTCTTAATACGCCCATCCCTATTGTTACAGTCAGACTATTTCATGAATTGAGTTTGGCATCTTTTTTAAAGAATATATGATTTCTCTAAAATACAGAGTCTGAAATAAAACAGAAGTCGGAAGTTTCGAGTTCTGAGGACATACATGAGAAAATGGGTGATCAACCACCTCAAATTGAGAGTGCAGATGCCGAGTTTGAGAAAGTAACTCTTGCAAAACCGGTAGCTGTACCAAGACTTTCACAATCGGATGATTTAAAAACGGAATCTGCAAATAACAACGAAATTCAGACCGAGTTTCCATCTGAACCACAAAAAGATGATTCTTACAGTGTGAGCATCAGTTCTGCTGAAGATATGGAAGAAACACCTGCTGATACAGAATTCAAAATAAGTGATGAAAATTTGGTTGTCACAGGCAAGTAATATTAATCTTATTCTGTTGGTTTGTGTTATATTGAAACAAATGAAACATAATTCTGCTTTTCGTTAATTTTCTCCTTTAAGATCAACTTTATCACAAGTCCAGCAATTGCTTGGTGCATAGTTTTTTGCATGGATGTCAAACCCTCAAATTTGGTTTGTGGGGTAATCAGAGATACGATGTAACATGTTCCTAAACTTAACATGATGCAGGCGAATCCACGATATTGACATCATTTAGACAAATTTTAAGTAAATTTCGTATTGTGCGACCCAAAATTGAGACTTGATCCCGATTTTAATGCCATCGAGCCGATTTCCAAATGGTATCTTTGATAAGTCAGTCCGTTATTTAGTTATAACTCTACCCTGCGCCTAATGTTTTCCATGTGTGCTATACCGACCAATATCTCATAATTAAATGATTCAGAATATTTCATTGCATTTTTCTTATAACAGATGCAATTCCAATCCAAGACGAAGTTACGACCAAACCTGAACCTGAAGTGGAAAACCACACTGAAAATGAAAATAAGGTTGATGAAAAAGCCAAAGAATTACCACCAGATTTGGAACTATATGTATGTTCTTATGTGGCCCTATCTAACTTGTATTTTGATACCCATATGAATTTATATGATTTTATGTGATTCGAGAGCACACATAAATGTATTTATGTGACGTTTCCATAACCTTCTTAATATGGGCCTGAAAGAGAATGATACATAGTTAGTTTCACATAACCTGAACTGATAGCTGCATTAGCCATATCCACAATGGGTCCCAATAATTTCCGACTTGACAACTATTACAAGAAACGACTTTTAATAGTATCCCAAAAAACTCTTCAAATTATTCTTTATGTACATGATGTCACTTTTCTCGTCAAATAAAAAATTTGCTTGTCTGAAGAAGTCTGACCTCAGACAAAATGTTATAGGAATACATTTGTGTTAGTTCACAGCAAACTCTTAAGTTACGTAGCATATTTATCATTATTCGTGCCACAGCATCCTTTCATTATATGCATACAGATTCACTAGCGCATGATGAAACTATAAGCAGGTATTCTGACTGAGATTTATACAGTATAGGTATATTATCATTGTACATACTTTATCAGGCCACAGATATGAAATTCGATATATCAGAGAGAAACGATGATGATATGTACGGACCTGGACAGATCAAACATGATGATGACACTAATGAACGCAAAATTTCACATGATGATGATGTGACAACTGAAAATGAGCATCCAATCGAAATACCGGTATGTTCAAAAAACTTTTGTTCTTAAAATGAGATGGGTTGTGATTGACTAAAACATCAATTCCCAAATTGAATCTTGTTTGAAAAGTAGTTGACTTTTCTTCCAGCCAAATTTAAAGAATTCCTAGAGCTCTAATTATTACGACAAGTCATCTCTATTTCTGAAGTGGCTGTTTGGCATCCTTCACCCATACTGCTCAACAGGCCTATGATCTGATCCAGACTAAGAAATTTTGTGATTATCATATTATGAAATTCTAGCACTGGACAAAATCTGAACTGAATCTTGAGTCTTTCCGAATTTTGAGTTAGGTGATTGAGTTGAGTACAAGTCTGAGTCATTTGTGTACAGCAGGGATGTGTGGCCCGCAAGGAAAAATTTGTGCCATTCGCGGAGAAATGTCAATTTTAATTGGTGTGTGGTCTGTGAAATCAATTTTTAATTTGTGCGAAGAGAACAATGCATGTCACAAGATTAATAACCCAAATTTTTGTACCTGCAACTACTAGAGGGCCTATGTTGAATAAAGATGCGGCCCGCGGTTTCACTCAGTTATTTGTTTTTGGCCTTCCTGTACTGAAGGTTGCACATCCCCAGTTTACATGACTCACTCACTTTGAGTCTTTGGGTAAATGGGTAAGAGTCAATGACTCTACAAATGAGTCGATGTGATAGCTCTAACCACTGGCCCATCATACCGGTGTTTTCGAAAAATAATCTTCCGAACATTCATTCCAGGAGCCTGTCATTGCAATTGAGAAAGAGGAAAGCAGTGATGATGAAGCAGAAAACATTGAAACGTCATCAGAACCAAGATCTCTTCATGTCGATCATTCAGAAATCGATTCCAAAACTGCTCTAGCTGACGAAGACAACTTATTTACAACTCCAAGTCATTACGATCCAAATTTTGGACAAGTAGACGCTCCAGAAGATGAATTTGATTTCATGGCTGCGGAAGAATTAGCTCGAAGCATGATCACTAATTTTAATCCATCTTCAGAGACGCAAGGTGTGATATTTTAATCTTAGATATCTGAACCATGGAGACTGAAACATTTTCACCTCACTTTTCAAAATGTTAAATTATTACTCAAATTGTTTATTATTCTAAAATTCTGTTTTATTATTTATTACGAATACTTATAAGTAATGGATGTATTTACTGCGGAACATTAGCCATGATTCCCTTGTGTGAATGATAATTTCGTATGAATTTGTGTAATACTATTAGTTTTGAGTAAATTATTTGGGGATCCATATTACGAGCTCTGGAGAAGGTTAATGGGTCACAAATTTAGTCCCTAAATTAACCCCACCCAAACTTCTACTAAAGTCCACTATATGTCCACATCTCACTCATAAGGAGGTGCTCCAGAAGTATGCACACCAAGATGTCACGCAACCTGAATCTTAACCGGTACACACATACTATGTTCAGGTTGTGCGCCATCTTGGTACGCATACTTCTGGAGGTCCCATGAAGATTTAAATGAAATGCCATATAGAACATGGGTTTGACGTCTGGGGAAGCCACACAATATGTGAAATTAACTATCTAAAGCAGGGGTTCTCAACCTTTTTTCTGTTAAGTGCCCCCCGAGTCACGAAACAATCACCCCTAGAAATCTTCTAATCTCAACCCCAGGTTGAGAACCCCTGATCTAAAGAGTTACAATCTTGTATACAATTTCAAATGCAATATTTTTTATTTTATTCTTTTTTGTTATCAGATGATGAATTTCCTTCGCCTCCTCCACCAGATGATTTTGACAATCAGCCTACACCTCCCCCACCTACTCCTTCCATTGTAAAACAACCTCCTCAACAATTTGAGAACAATGTAGGGACAACTGTTGATGAGGTAATGTAGGAATGTTTCCAATTTGTAGTGATATTTTTATTTGATTCTCCAAATTTCAAAGCATTAATTGGACTTATTAACATGTAAAGTTCTTATGTACTGAATTTTCGGTACTTCCAAAGTATGTGTACCAGGTTAGAGTTAGGCCCCTGTCCATAGGCTTCAGTCTCTTTACACAACTTGATGTAAAATAGGCGAACAAAATTAGTTAATTACATATTGGTACACATACTTCTGGATCGCCAAATTTTCTTGGAAATAAATTATTGCATCATACAATGAAATCTTCCTGGTAATATAAAAGTTAGTTGAAATGAAATGTCTATTCTTTTTGGTCAATTTAGTCACAATCAGAGAAAGACTATTTTAAATAGTTTGTTTAGCGTTCCTTACCTAACATACAAACACAATGGATTCCAAACTTTTGGTTGTTTTACTCACAGTGACATTGATGAATTATTCTTGTGTAATAAAAAAACTTGAATTCACAAAAGGAGAATTTTTGATTTGGGACTTACTTCAACATTATTATTAATCTGGCTTATCTCAATTACGGTATTTTACGAATAAGAATTGAATTAAACATAGACTCACACAGTATTCTACATTAGTTTAAATAGTTTCTATACAGTATTAATAAAGCCATTTGTTACTTTTGTAATGACCTTGTAAAAACACACACAAACAAAAATTGTTTTACAACCTGTTTAGGTGGATGAAGATGACGAAATGACAAAACAAAAAATAGAAGAACTTCAACAACAAATCAATATGGTGAAAAGGGCAAAAGCAAAGAAAAAAGCTGAAGAGGAAGCTGCTAAAAAGCAACCTTATACTATCATAGAAGGTGAGTTTAAATATGGCTTATTGGGAGTGAATTGTGCATTTAGATCGTTTTTATAAATTGTATCATTCTTAAATGCTTTGGGTTAGGATTGTTGTGTGAAAATAGCTTTTTTTCGAAAACTGCTGGACCATTTTTTTTTGCAAATTTTTAGTACTTGATAAGTAAGTAAGATGGAAGAAGTAACTTGATTATTGTTATTTAATTTTTCAAATATTTCACGACTGCTATTGATCCGCCCTGAAATTTCAATTTTTTTAGTTCATGACAACCTGCTTTCAACATTGGGATCTTCGTGTTCATGTATTTGAAAATTCATCTATTTTATTTCCCATTTTTTGTTTTCAGAAAAACAGACAGTACCTGGAGAAATGCAAAAACCAGGGGCTAAAACATTTACTTTTGTTCCAAACCAACGAACTAAGGTGAGATTGTGGTACATTTTTAACCTTAGTTGATTACATAGCCTTTGAGGACATAGCGTACTTTCTTAGCTTCCGTGAATGATGATATAATTGAATGACATAACTTTTCATATTTTCAGAAAGTTTACGAGAGTTACGAGACCGCTGCCCCAGCTGGAATCAATTTATCTCAGAGTGGAGAGATAAGAGGAGTTGGAGTGCCTGAACCCCAAAAAGATGAAAATGAGCGAAAAAGTCCGCAAGCGGCACCTGAAAAGGTGGAACCAAGTGCAGTTAAACCAGTGGAAAAGTCTTCAACGCCGCCGCCACAGGAACCGATCATCAAACAACAACCAGTAGTGATAAAAAGTTCTGTATCCTCCGCAGCTACAACCGTGCCGCAACAACAACCGGTTGTGATAAAAGAGAAAGAAAAAGAGCCTCAAAAACCAAAAGGAGTTCCTGCAAATGCGCCTCCTTTACCGAAAGGTCTTTCTGGTTATGTCGCATCTGCCGCTATGAAACGTCAAAATGTGCAAAGTAAGCCGTATGTTCCATCACAAGCAGCACAAGATGAAGGTAAATGAACAATATATGGTACTTCCGTAGTGTGTGTAGAGACATGTAAACAAGTAGTAATAAATAATGACACAATGATTGGAAAGGTAAAACGATCTAACCATAACATTAATATTATCCATTCAATGTTTTAATTTCTTTTATTTAAATTCCTTTGGTATTTTTTCAGAACTGTCATCATCAAGAAAATCATCCTTGCCAAACTATTACAAAAAATTCCTTGGGATCAAAGCTTTACAATTCGCTGCTGAAAATAAAGATAAAGAAGACACGACTAAGAAGCCGTCAGTTATTACTTCACCTGTCCCAGAAGAAAAAGTAGTGCCAAACGGAGAATTATCGCCAAAACCAGATCCTCCCAAAAAACCTGAAGCTTTAAAATCAGGTGCTCCTTTACTAGTGAGTGATCTAAAACCGAAGGGTTTAAAATCAGGCGCCCCTCCACCCATGGGTGAGTCTGTGAAACCCCAAGAAGTTAAAATAGTCGAACAAACTAAAAATGAAAACAAATCTGCACCTGTTACCGAAACCATCAAAATTGAACCGGTGACGCAGCTTCCTCTTCCACCAGAAGAGAAGAGTCCACCAAAACCAATGAACCCTGTAACCAATATAGATGATGTTCCACTCCCTCCACCACCAGAAGAATTTTTGACTCCAGCGAACACTGCACCACCGACTTCTCTAGATTATTCAAGGAAATCTTCAGCGTCATCCACTTCATCAAGTAAGTGTTGAATAAGTAATGGCATACATATGAGTGTTGTAATATTTATCTGGAAATCTGGAAACCAAAAGGTATTGTCGTATTCCATGTGTTGATCATACTTATGTTAATTTACTTTGTTTGTTATTTCAGACTTAAACCCTTCTTTTTCTCAAATTAGAAGGAAATTTGATTGAAAATAGTTTGGCAGTTTTTTGTATAGTGATTTTTGTTTGCCCAGTCTGATTAATTTCAAACACATGGACATTTTTATTTTCAAAATGTCGCATTATTATTAATAGAATATTTCTCTTTTCAATATTAGTAATTGAAAATTGTCACTGATTAATACTACGTTCTCCCAGTAGAAAAATACTTACTTTCCACATTCATAACATTTCAGCTAAATCACCTGGTTATTCTCCACGATCCTCGAACTTTGTTGGAATTTCCGCTGCAAAACCTTTCAGCCCTGGTGGAGGCAACAGACCAAAGTTTCGTCCAATGTCAGCAGCATTTAAGGTATGTTAGGTTAAAGTTTCTACTTTATTACCATCAAGAATTTTAATTCAATTTTTCAATATTGATCAATCGTAGAACTTTTTGATTAAGGATTTTTAGATATTATAGTGTTTTTCCTAAATTCTGTAGCTTTAATTCAAACAGCTTAGGCTATGCTAGAACTTTACCTTTTAGTTGGGTAATTACCTTTGATTACTGCAATATATTGGCTAGCTGTAGTCAAATTCTGTCGCTGTTAATTATTGTACATATAAGCGAGAAAAATGGCTACCGGATTACTATGTTATTGTTATAATAAAATATAATATTTTGAACAATGATAACCATTTCATGATTAGGCAACAGATAAATTAACTGTAATAGGAAACGCTGTTAATTTTGAGAATGTCTTCCACTTTTGACCTGTCAATATTCTTCAAAATTACTAAATAATACATTGACTAACCTGATTTGAGCATGAATACTAATCAACTAATACTACAAAGGAGATTACTACTATAATGCTTAGCAAATGTGTTATTAAAAAAAAAGTAAAAAGCGAGAGCGATTCACCCCTAAAGTGATGTATGGGTATTATCCCATTTTTTTGGTGTTGACATGATACGACAATAATGAACAGTTGCAAGTCATTCTTCTATAAATATTGCAGTGACAGCAATTTTTATTCTTTATGACATGAAAATTGTGCCTCGAGTTTTTGAAACACCCTTCTCTTTTTTAAAAAAAGCTTTTGAAACTGTAAAGTAAACTGACATTACGTGTGAAGGATCTCCGATTAAAACTTTTCTAGACTTTTTTCTGTACATGAAAATTTGACACATACCTAGGAGAGTATAAATGTATTTGATGATTTATCGGATGAAAAATATTGCATGAAAGAAACAACATCATCGAAGTGTTTTTCTAATGGTATTAATGAATAGAATGTTACTTGATTATGACTTTTACCTCATTTTGATTGATGACACTCGTTAACTATAATTTTGTGTGTTTGCAATAACATCTACAGGATGATGCTAATAATTTCCATCCTAATACTAATTATGACGAGCTTATATGGAATCATGGAAAATAGCAAGAAAATAAAACAGGTATAGTACAAAAAATGCAGTTAGTCTGAAAATTCAACAAATAATTTATTTATTAGATCGCATAGGTTAAAACCTTTCATTGTTGTATCATTATTTATCGAACCGATGTTTTCTAAATTCAAAATCATATTATATTAAAAATTAATGCTTTCTTGATTGATTCAGGGATTTGACTTATTTTGATGACTGTGCGTGCCCGCTTCGCTAATTAATCTCTGCGAAGCATGAGCTTGTGATTTGCGCTATCGTTACGTTATTTATGGGCTGGAATGACATTTATTGCTTGATATTTGATTTTGAACAACTGAAGATAAAAGAAACAAAAGTTATAATGAAAACTGAATTTTTCTGATTATTGCTTACTTTTTGATGCCAAGTTTAATGATCATCTCTGATTAATCATTTGCAACTTTGATTAAAACAAACTCAAGCGAACGATAATGTTAGTTACTGCTGTATTGTGAAAAATTTCAACTGCCACTACTTTATCACTAATTTTAAGATGTTCTTTATGTTTCGAGGTTTGATAATGCAGAAATCAGTAAATTTGCTTACGTGAATTTAAACTACTATTACCAGTAGTTTCCCAATAGATCAATGATTTAGAAGTGTGATTTTGACTGAGAAAGTTTTTAGCACTGAAATACATTTCTGATTGAGTGCCCTGGATACCTATTGCTGTTTCGAGACTAAATGATCGCCTTACCTTTTTCTTGTTTTTAAACTAATAGCATGGGTGGATAACTCTTTTCTCCTGAGTCCTGATGTATCTAAATTTCAAACTGTGGTGAATATTTCTACTTCTTTCAACTTAAATATATCATTAGTTAATGGTATAATTGTGAGTATATTTTCTCTTTTATCATAACTCTATTATTTATAAATATTCCATTACAGGGTAGCAGAATGGAAAAATCAAGCACCCCCTAATGTCCTGACCTTTGACTTGTGAAGGAATGATGGATTTGTCGAAGTTGTTTCTTATACTATTCACCTAATCATTAATTCATCTCTTTCATATTTTGCTTTTATTTCAATCAGAAGTTATTGTTCTGAAATTGATTATCATAGCATAGATAGAATTATGGTTTATTGTAATTTCTTCTGTTCTTCTTTTATTACTTCGTTGAGTTTGCTCACAGTCACCAAATATGAGCAAAAGCTTAAAATAGAATCTTTTTCATTTTACATTTACCAAATTTGAGATTAACAACTAGATATTGATTTAGTATAAACATAATTTTAATTACCTAAAAAGAATTCAATAATCTAATTGCCTGACAGATTTTTTCTTGATTTTTCTGTAGTATTGTTTTTGTTTCAATATATTTGATCGCATTAAAAAGATGTTTTATTGGCATTAACGGTACAATGTTTTTAATTTTTTTTATCAAATTATTTGGCTGTGCCAAGTGCTTTTGTTGTACTTTTGGGTGAATTTAATTTCTTGTCCCCGACTTCAACCAAAAACATTATCACACTCCAGGTACTTTTTATGGTTTAAAATTCCTGACATTTCTGAACATATCCGAATTTCTGACTGATTATGAAACAAGTGTTTCACATTCCAGTGTATGCAAGCGCCAATAGTTTGTCAAATCTTGTGTTTTGATCAATTATAAATGCTGTATAAGAAAGGAATAGTTTTGCCTCATCATACTGTATTTAGAAATCATTTTTACAGTTCTATTCCAATTTGAAATTGATCTTTCCATAGCAAATCTGGATATATGTTCAAATTTGATGGTGTATAACAAACATCTGTGATGAAGTAATTTTGGTTAAATGGAAATCAAAAAACCCTTTTTGTAAAATTATTATTTGAACTTTAATTCCAACTAATTGATTAATAGTACTGGGTTACCGAACATCTGTCAGAAAAATAATTGTTTGTACATTTGTGATTATTTTTGAGATAGCAGCAGATTTCAGTTTCTTTATTAAGTTTACATCCTATATATACCTTGATCTCCAGAGCACTGCAAAAATACCATTCTTTGAACTACAATATACATCCTCGTTAAATGGTTAAATTTGACTAACACTATTTGATGTAATGAAGAACAATATGTCTGACAGTCCACATCCTTGTCTAACGCTTGACATATTGATATTTTTGTAAATTGGACAATTTCGATCATGTATTTGGCAAATATTTTATTTCCGGTCTTCTAACATTGCCAAGATAATATATATTCACTATTTTAACTATTATTTTTATTAATTTTTCATATAAATTGCCTCATGACCGTGTATCGATAATACACCAGAATAGCAATCCTTATTATCGTACTAATTTTGTAAAGTTAAAATCTTTTTAAGTTCTGTTGGTGCTATCTTAACAGGTGCTTTATAAGTTTATTCCAGTTTCAATTTGAGGTCAGCAATCGTGACATGGGTTTAGCCCCTTCCAGCAGTTTCAGGCTGCTTTGTTTGTGACCCATCACCTGAACAAGAAATAAACTACTTGAAATGTTGACTATCCCAGCAGTGGTTGTTTCAATCTTTTTCAACCTATTGACAAGTATTTTTTTTCATTCCATGACGCTTGGTTCCCGCTAAGTATTACTAATTTTACAAAATATAATTCCGAATTTGTTCGAAAATTGTGTCTCATATTGCAGTATATTATTTTATAATTTTAATTATTATTTAATGAACGTGCTTTTCATTGTTTCTCCAAAAACCTAATTTCTGTAATATTATCACATGATTAAGATTTATGGAAGTGTATGCTTTGGTGCAATAAATTACCTGACTCAATCAATCCAATCCGTTGGTGCAATATCTTGGGATTCAAAGTACATTTTTGATCAATCAAACTTTAAAGCTTTGCCGACGTTTTTAGTGGAAGTCTTTGTATTCGGCAATTATTTTAGTCGGGTCTGCTAACACTCAACTGGCCCCTATTGATAGAGAGTTCGTATGGGCTAGTTAGACTTGTGGGTGAATTGAAATCGAAAGATATAATGACGAAGTAGTTTGGGATACGAAAATCTGTCGATGTTCGGTTATCTACTGGAATATCAACATTCCTTGAAAGTCATTGGATGTGCGCTCTGAAGTAGCAAACTGTTCAGAACTTCTTTATGTGGGAAGCAAAATGCATGCTATGGTTTTAAGAGAGATCATATTTGCGAGAATGAAGTTTTGAATATTACACAACTTTGTGTGGTTACTGATTATATGGAGGGGTGGTAGACCAATGCTGTCCATACTTTTTTGTCAAGGGAATCTTGTGGTCCGGTCACGTCATGGACAAGTTCGTGAGATCTATATTAGGTCTGACTTGACTTCGACCAATGAGTAGGCTATATATGATCAACGCGTCGACGGACAATATACCTTCTGTACGTAATCGTGTTGCCATGAATATATTACTTTCATTAAGCGATTGATCGTGGTAATTTCGGAGCTATGTAATGATATGATTTTAGAATCACGGGTAGGGCAACATGAAGCCACAAACAGACAAAATATACAACGCAATGTTTTGTGCATATAACGTAGCCTACGTATCGCTCAAATATATATTTCCCGTAATTATAGACCTGAACTTGTTATCAGTTTAAAGTTAAGCTTACTATGATCAAATTAGTTTTATGTGCGAATTCTTCGATTATGCATCTATCGTTTGTTCAAGCACTTCTCGCCTACTTGATGAAAATGGGTCGTTGCCAGCCTAAGAACTCATTAACGATCTTCGTCCGCAACATACATGCCTTGCTTGATTCTTCTGGTAATAAACAATGCGATTGCGTCTGGTCGTCTCGTCGAATAATCACGTTCAGCTGCTAGGTATACATTGTCGTAAGAACGTGGTTGTTCGAGTGTTTCAAATAGTGTTAGAAAACACGGGTTGAGACAAGGTAGATTCAACCAAGATAAAATTCAAAACTTAGAATTAAATATTTATAGATATAAAATGAACTTAACTGGCAAGAACAAAGTAGACCTTGCCTATGTCATCTGTCTCGTTTATTTTCTCAATCCACTTTCAACCGGCAATTTGGTTAGTAGTTAATTTTTTTCAATTGTGAAATTTGCACAAAAGTACTTCATAGTCCCTTCTTCACTAAAACCAATGGGGTATATATGCTCATTGCTAAAACCATAGATGTCGGGTGATATTCGGGGGCTTTTTACGGTGAGTAACAAAGGGCTACAGTGTAGGAGCTGGAGTCGCATTTTCACATTTATAGAATTCAGCATTATTGGATTTCGATTTCATGAAACCGCTTTACTACCTTCAAATAGTTGTAGCCTACCATGTTCAGTTACTTTTTACGCTAAGTCTGAACCAGCGTTGCAGGTGTCGCCACGTGAAGACCTATCGGGGCACCCGCGACTCCGTTCACACAATTAACGTTAACTAATTTCTTTGCACTATTTTTTGAGATGAACAATAAGCGACAACTGGCTAGCTTGGTCACGTATGTCTCTATGTTACGGAACTGTTTATGAACGCAGGCAGAATCGGTGTCATAACTTCTTTATGTATAAATTCAGATATGTTTTTTTTTAATTAAACCCATTTATTGTTGTTTAATCACAGAATTGGGGGAATGAAATGGTCTCGCCCACCTCTTCATGCACCCAATTCTGGCAACTTTGGTTGGGCAACTTGGCATTTGACTCCAACTATAATCAGCTTGGCAATATGTTTTCAATCGAATCTTCCTTTTATATTTTAATTAACGATTCGATCAATTTGACAATGGCAACCATTACAAAATTATCAATATGGTGTGGCTAATAATTTTTTTCTTTTTTTAGTATTTTATTTTTTTTGTTTACTGTATAGTATACCCTAAATTTATCGCGTTTTATTCTTACTTAAATAACTTCTCAGTGATTGAGTGTGTGTGTGGTGGCTGGTGGGTGCATGTGAGCGTGTGTGAAATAACTTAATAATTTTAGGTGAGTAAACACATACCACTTCCTCTTGGCAAAACCTCCCATCTTATACCGGTATTTTGTACGTTATAAACCTTATCTAAGGTTCTGTTTGCTCCCCTGATTTCATAATCAGTTTTTATTTATTTGTTTTTATCTGTTAAATGTATTGTTATGCTGATTATGGAGTCGAAATAAACTTATTATTATTATTAATTACCGGATTGAAGAGTTCACAGTCTGACAGTGGTGATATCCACGTTTTTAGTTTTCAATTTGATTTCCATTCTTGGAACAGCATGTATATTTCTGTGTGTTCGAGGGCTATAATAAACTTCAAATTTCAGTGCATTTTTCTTTTCTGGCCAAAAAACAGTTACAGCTTTAGTCTATGTAAATGGGATATTTGCTTGCTTTTGCTAGATCCTGTAGTACCGTACGGTATTCCCCTATTTTTCTACTTGTTATTCTATCACTTTTAAACCTAATTTAACATAAGTCCAACAGAGATGATCATCTGTACAGTATGTGAGCAAATTAATAAAATTCGATTATTAACATTATCAGTAGTCATCTATATATTCAGTATACATGTATATCAATATCAGTAGGCTATATGTTTTTCTTGTATGTCTATTTGCCTCTAAAAAGTTGAACTGATCAGCCAAAGTGGAAAAAAAGTCTTGGATCATCATGATAATCTTAGAGCTGTTTTACCTATTTTACGATTCTAATATGTGGATACGTAACTTATATAATTTTATCCCACTTTATATTCTAATCAAAATAATTCTTTGTAATATGGAATACTTCAATCATAACAAAAAATTTATAATCTGCCGAAGGGAAGCTTTTAAGAAGTTATCAAATACTATAATAATTGTATTAACTTCCATAGACCTAATGGTTCATATTCCTATGTCATTATTTGATTTCTCAGAGAAACTATATCCTAGAGGTGACAGTAAAATGGAGGTCAGTTCTGACAGTGAGATGGACTCCATCGAAAACTCACTTCTTAGTCGATTTCAAGCAATGGGAACCACAGATAAGGATGTTCTGATTTCTCAGTTGCAAAGCCTTTTAGGATTTCAGTTAAATCCCGCTGGATGTGCATTTTTTCTTGACATGACAAACTGGAATTTGCAGTCTGCAATTGGAGCTTATTATGATTTTGAAGGTGCTCCACAAAGTAAGTTGCCATCAATGACATTTATACTTGATGTTACAGTCGGTGAGGGTGAGTCCGTACCTCCAAATACAACATTTGTTAAAACATGGCGAGTGCAAAATTCCGGGAAAGAGGAATGGCCACCGGGGTGTAGTCTTCGATTTTTAGGCGGAGAAAAAATGGGAACAATTGATTCAGTTTCAGTTCCAACAGTACCTGCCGAACAAACAACAGACATTTCAATTAATTTAAGAAGTCCGGTAGAACCCGGTGTATATCAAGGGAGATGGAGAATGTATAACACCACAGGGACTCCTTTTGGTGATATTATATGGGTCATAATATCAGTTAAACAAGATGGACTTCTGGACATCACACAACAAATTTCAAGAGTTAGCTGTGACTTTGGGGAGGGTGCTTCGGTTGGGAAGAATGACCAATTTTCATCTCAAAATATGAATTCAATGGAAACCTCACCAGAAGATGACATGGCTTGTGATGATCCTCTGAATGGATTAGACTATTACAATGCAAAATTAAGCCTAAAAACATTATGTCATGCGAAAGCGCTCCTAACAAGTAAAACTAATCAATATTATGGTGCCACTAAGGTATAACAACTTTGATCATAAACTTTTTTATATAATTAATATTTATTTAATTTATTCGGATCCTTCCACTGCAACATCTTGGTTGTGTACAGTTAATTGTAAAAGTAATGTTTATTTAATGTTTTTGTTTTGTATATTTTTTCATAACCAGTTTGTGACTAGGATTTGGATGCTGGACTATTTTTTTCGGGATATCTTGCAACCCTGCATTCATCAGTACTTCTTTTTATGTTGTCTGCTATTTGTAAAAAACCCCATTATTTGTATTACTGGTAGTTCTCCATCTGTCAAATCATCACACAATCGCTGATGTGAACTCATTTAACGAGGGTGCAAAATTTACAAATATTACAATGCTCTACAATCCACACCCTCACTCTTTAATTTAAACTTGAATATAATAATCCATATGAAATTGCAAAGGATGCTATTTGTTGTGCTTAATTTTATTAAAGGATCATATTAAAAGTCAGTTTCTCTGTTTGTCACAACTACTCTAACACGCAAGTTATAACTAGGAGTGTTTTGTCTTTTACTCTGTTTTGTAAAAGTAAAATATATTCCGATTTAATAAGTGAGATTAAATTTACTTTTTTACTCGAGGCTAACCCCGTATGACAACCCATCTGACCAGTTCATATTTGCTTTGTTACTGCTTTTTTGTTATGCTTTCACATCTTCAAATTTTCAAATGCATGGATTTAAATGATGGAACTATAACAACCAACCTATGTGGATTCGAAAATTGTTTCAAATTGAAACAAAATATAGGCTTCCTGCCCATAATCTATGTTGGTTTTTAAATTCATAGCAGAGTGGTGCTGTTTGATGAGTCCATTTCCTTTTCTATATTGGCCCGATCTAAAAAGCGGTAGGCAAAATCAAGTGCTCTGTTCGTTTCCTCTTGATATTCATCATATATTGTAGTTTGATGCACATGGAATTCAAAACTTACCTTTTCTGTCCTCGACCATATCCTTGATAACATTGTGGTACCCAAACTAAAAATTGGTCACATCTGAAAATTTGTATTGTGTTCATGTGTTGTTTGATTGGTAATATATTTGTAGGACTTGATTGGCAATGTGCAATTTTTCATTTCAAGAGATTTATGATGTGACACTGGAACTCCATTAATAAATCTAACATTTCTTTGTGAATATTTTTATCAAATTTTAGAAGCTATTGTAAATTTATATTTTTAGACATATTGAAGTATGTTTAGCATAAATTTATTAGATATTTTATCTAATTGGTTTCAAACAATAAATGAAGTCTGCATGAACAACTTATTTTCAAAACAAAATGCGGTTTTTGACGTATTGAAAACTAGATTTGTGATATCTATATTTACCATTTGAATTTCCTATATACAACCATTTTAAAAGAACATTTTAAACTGGATATGTTTCACTGTCCTGTGAATTGCTGAGCTATGGGATTTTCTACTTGTTTAGTACCTATGGGCTTTAACCCATAAATTTCTTGTGATAGGTTCTTAGTATTTTCTTGCACAGTTGTTTTACCGATTCCATACTGGTATATCAAATTTTCGTCTAGCCTTGTATTCTTGACACCATAATATTCGCAAAATTTCTACAATGTCTGAAAAATATATAATTACAAGCATTTCACTCTTTTGTATCCTGTGTGTTGGTTAAAATTTAAACAATCATAAACATCTGTGGAAATTGAAGACATTTAGATCTGCTGTCCAATCAAAATATGATCGGAAAGCTATAAAATTGTGAAAAAACTTATCGCTGGAAAAGAATGAAAATAGCGCAAGAAAAATATTGATTCAAATTAGCAATCACAGTATAAGTTAGAGGACATTCTCGCAAAACAAATTAGGAGACAGGCGAAACATAAATTCCCGAATGGAAGCCAAAGTTTTTTTAAATTCCGAGTCAAATGTATATCTCAACCGACTCCACCTCCTTGGTAGGTAATTACTATAGTCCAAAAATGTTATTGATAATTATCGAAAAATAAATATACGTTTACACCTGTACGTTTGTTTGTTCACAACCTCACCTCCGTTCAATGAGGCGGTCTAATAATACACAAGCAGTGTTATCCAATAGGCGAATCTTTGGAAAACGGAGTATTCGAATTTCATCGGACCAAAGAAGTGTTAGTATAAAGTACAGAGTACACACGATGACTAAGCGGTATGGCGTCTCGTGTCGAGCGTTAGAAATACGCTTAAAATCGCACCTCTGACAACCCTGCTGCAGCTCGCGGAATCGAATCCCGCTGGGAGATAATCATGCGCGAGAGGATTGCTAGAGATAGACTCCTTGCCGTCGCATGGCGGTTGAACGGTTACGGATTCCACTATCATGATATCGATGCATATGAATCAAATAACTGGCTAACTAATGTAGAATAGGATTGTAGTATTTCTTGAAGTAATCGCGTGGTACGATTCGTGTGAGTTTCAAATAATTTTATGACGCTAGCCTTTTCAGTAACGGGAGAGCGCATTTTAGCAACAACAACAAAAAATTTGGTACTCCTGAAGTATGCGCACCAAGATGTTGCACAACCTGAACCCTAACCTGGTATACAACCTGAGTTCAGGTTTTGCGTTCAGTAGGTTCAAAATAATTTTGTGTAAAATAAAAAAAAAACAGATAAACACTTTTAACTCTTTTTTATAGCTTCGTCAAAGGTTTTTACCTCGTTTCCGTATCATCATTGATAATTGTATATGCTGCGTGAATATCATAGTTAATAAATGTTTTCGTTCTGGTATTTCAATATCAAAATAACCTAGAAAAGTGCAGAATAATTCTATTATTTTTTATTTATCTCTTTATCAAAAGATATTGTGACCTGATGACGGAGCAATCTGTGCTTTACAATTCACTCTTGTCATTCGTATATTTTTCAGAAACTTTAATGTTGATTCTTTTGAATGCTCAAATAGGAAAAATTAACTCTGGCTCTAATTTTTAAACTGCCATTTCCTTAATCTGAACCGTTCTAGACGACCTTGTACTGAATGATAGAAGGTATGGTTCAAGTTAAAAAAAAGAAACTTGCTAAATGTGAATTTTTGAACTGTCATTATAACAAATCGAAAATTTCAAATTTCAAATATTCGCTAATCAGTAGTTTCAATATATAAATATTATTTTGAGGAACCGAACGAGACATTGTTTCGACTTGAACGAATAGCTGCGACCAATGACATTAAATGACATTGTTTAATGTCATTGCTGCGACCAACAACTAACGTTGCGACTGTTATGATTAAAATCTGTTCTAAAATAGAGCATGTTTAAAAACACGTGTAAGATTATGAAGACGAATTTTGGAAGTTTTGACTTATTTACCATTTTGAAACCCGATTTGGCCAGTTCAGTGCAACTTCTGGGTGTTTCTGGAATTGGATTTTCCGACGCGTCTGTTTTATTTTCTTATTTGTAGGCTATTTCATCCAATTCTTCGTAAGCAGAGTGTATTCACGAGTCTGAAGCCATTGGTGGCCTCCGTCATTTCTACTGAAACACACGAAATGATGATAAAATGATTACTGTAAATAATAATTATATGTTTTAGCTTGAATTTATGATAGTGTTGTGTTGTAGGTTGGTGTTGATGCGGAAGCGATAGCGCTTATCGTTGCTTCATCAGAAACTCACTCAGCCTTTTCAGCCCCACCTCGCAGCGGTAATAACGTTCGTGACTCCATGCGTCGCTATAGCTTTTTGCGGCGATCCTGCAGCGTTTCGTTCGTAGGTACTTGACAATTCGACGTGGGCACGGCAGTAGGCGCAGCCGCCCCGAGACCTCGTTTTATATTACTGTATTACGGTGTACGTTAAAAAGCGTAAGTTCTGATTCTCAAGATCTTTAAACTAAAATTGTAAAGATTACCGGTTATTTACTAATCACAGAATCAGCTTACCAATACTGCAATACCGGTACTGCAGTAGTCTATACAGTGATACGATCGTAATTTTCTTATTACAATATTGAGACAAGGGTGCTGTAATTGAGAAGTATGCACGCTTAATGCTCAAGATGCTGTATCCGTATATCATTGTTGAATATAGCGTAGGAATCTGATAATTGAATGGCAAATTGGGATCCAATTCAGCAATTTGAGTCAATTTCCTAACACAGTACAGCAGTAACAGCTTCTAGTCAAAAGTCCTCTTCATTGAGTCATACAGTCATAAGTCAGTGGGTTGTGTAAATCCCATGAATAGCAGTAAATATGAGTCTGATTAACTAACCTCACACATGCATTGGGGTCAATCTATTTTGTAAATCAAACTGGGTTTCAATCATGTATTGACAACTAGGGCTGGGCATTTTCGAATACCTGATGATTTCAGAATCGAATTGAATATTTTTATCGAATCGAATCTCGAATACTTGGGAGTCAATTATATGCTAATTTTTATTGTAATTGGCTCTGTCAACAAATGTATTACTGAAAACATGAATAAATCACTAAGACAGATTGTGGAGCGATCACACACAATGAAAAGCACTTATTTATCAATAACTCGATAAGAAAATAGTCATATGTCAGAATTGTATTGAAAATTATGGCTTCAAAAAAAAAATTGGGTAATTCACCTCGACCACTGACGGAAAGAAAGAAAAATAAGATGGCGGCGAATCAAAATTTCGATTGAACCGATTTGAAAATTTACTATTCGAATCGATTCGGATATTCGATTCGAAGTGCCCAGTCCTATTGACAACATTCACATTGCCTTCCAAACTGCCTATTTTGAGGTATTGTTGCTAGTGCCCGATATGTGAATGCTGCTACAATCTGGGAAAGTTTTGGTTATTTCAATTCAGTAATCTACATATTTTACTGCGGGTTTACTTTCAGACTTTAGGGGTTAGTCAAGTCTTACTGTCTTAGTTCCAGTTAAGTCTTTGCCATCCTAAACTACGTACAATGCTCAGCAATGTTAAAATAGTAGAAAAAGGGACTGCATTATCCATTTATTGAGAATGATTTACTGACACCCTCTTCTGGCTATTGCCAGATTATGCAGTGAACAAACATATCTATCCAGACCAAATTCTTCATGCTATCTATACCGCCATTGTTGTTTGATTCATAAAGGGATGTCTATTGATTGAATAGGGATATCTAAAATATATACTTTGAACAAAGTTCGAAATATTAACATTTAGCAATCAAAAAAGTTATTTTCATTATTGCCTAATTTGCCATTTTTGCTCATGTTATAATTTGACACAAAATACAGAAATAGATCCATTCGGAATTTAAAAGAGTATTGATTGCAAGTGAGCGCAATACAGAATAGCAAGTTTGTCATCAATATTCATTATTTTTTGATTAATGAAGCCATTGTGTGGTCGATTTTCATGCCTCATTAAACCCATTTAAGCAGCTGCCATAGTTTGGAAGGACTGGAATCTTTTCGGGATTGTCCGCCTATTCTGTTATGCCCTGGGTTAGGTGGTGGGCATGATTTCCATGTTATGTATATGGTGGTGTACAAGTTGATAATAATGCATAAGAGCATATTGCGATGCTGCTTTGTACATCGTGATGACATTTTACGCCTTGTGATAATTTAATTTTTCAAGTGCCAACTTTTGGCTTGTTACATTGTGTATGACAGAAAGGTTCACATTTTTTTTTAACTGACTGGCATTATTTATGTTCTGTGAAACATGTAGATAAAGTTTTGCCAATTTTCAGTTCATTTACAAGTTTCAGAATATTACAAGTAGCCTATTTGACCTGACCAATATGATACCATTTATTTTTATATTTTCAATGTTTACAGTGTATAGCATGCTTCCTTTTTTGTCGTATTAGTATCATATTCATCTCAATACCAATTAAAGTTAATGACTCAATAAGTTGAAATTCCCTGTCAGTAGCTGCCGTTAGACTGCTGGCAAGTGAAATGTCTCATGGAGAACTTGCAGTTCTTGATAACAGGATTGAAAATCAGATGTCAGGTGCTACATTTGACGTTGGTGGATCGGAAGATGAATATCGACCAGACGTTCAAGAACATACTATGTGGATAAATCCAGATCACGGAGCCCTTTTTACAAGGTCAATTGAGTTGGTTTAATAAATTGTTTATTTGATTATGAATATGCACATAATATAGGAATTATTTGTAATAACCAATTATTTTTCACTGTGTCTGCATGTATTGGTCATCAATAAAACCTTATCTAGGATTCCTGCTGTTTTGCCAATTAAAATGCCTAATATCTTCTTTAGCTTTACTTTTATGCATTACATATCCTTGTGGATTTTAATAACATAGATGATCTCGGCAAAATTTCTATCTATACTATGTATCCACTGTAAATAAAAATGGCGTGAATAAGAGGGTGTTAAAAAGGAAATATCAACAAAGGATTTTTATTTTATGATTAGCGTTTCTTGGTGTACATATTTGCATTTATGATGTAACAATGTTGCTGTTAAACAACTGTGCTAAATTCGTGCTAGGGAATTGCTGCATATTGCATGAGGTAGTACTATATCGAACATTTGCGAAAATTGTAATTTTTTACCTCAATATATTCCAACTTTCAGACGATTTGCCAAATTGCATGCCATAGCTCCTCAAAATATCTCGGTATATGCCAACCTCATGAACATACACCCCACCCTAAAATCATGTGGCAGACACCTTTACCAAAATATTCTAGACTTATGGAATTTGACATTGACATATAATATACAAATTGGCAACGCTGGTCTAATATACTTTTCATGCACTTCTAACCAATGGGTTCAATGAGGCGATGTTGCCATGTTGATTTGCTAATCTGATAAAGCCAATCCTGAATTCACATTAGTAACTATTAAACGATTTGTAAATTCTTTTCAAACAATTTATTGTATCTACTTTTTCTGCTTCATATCATTTATTGACATAGTGCATTCCTACCCATACAGTATTATGTCGTCAGTATTTCAAGCGATAAAGAAACAGCATTTGGATCATTTCAACTCCCTATAGATCTACTTTCACTCATGTTAATCTTGTGGTTCAATGTCTTATCATCACCTGGTATGTCTCATTGCCTGAACCATAATTAAAAACAGCAATTGCATAACTTTAGTATTTCCACAGGGATGTGTACGGAGATCCACATAATGATGAATGACTCTTAGCATGCGCATAAACGTTACCATTTGTATATTTGCTGTATTACTGATTCATTTTTATTAAGCAGTGGTTACCAATTGTGTGTCGCGGCACATTAGAGATAATTTTCGAATGCGTCACAAAATACCCGTCTAATATTCAAATTTTTTTTTTATCTGTCTGTATTTAAAACTTGACATAAAATGATGAATTTTTCAAGAAAATAGTACGACTAACTGTATCGGACATTCAGCTGCGATATATGATCGTTTATGTGCACAAAAATAAACTCACATACTGTAAGGATTATTGAATGCTGTACAAAAAGAAACTTTTTTGTCTTAGTTGTTGATAAAGTGAAACCTTTTTTCCCAATGTGGTTTGTATTGTGGAAATTAAATGTGTTTCGAGTTTAAAGTGTTTGAGAACCTATTATACAAAGTGACAATCTTTGTGGATATGACCATTTTTGTATGAATACTTCATATCCAAGTGTTAGAGTAGATAAAAAAAACTTGTGGTAAAACAGGCGAACATCATTCTAAATATTCGGACAAAATCTTGTTAAAATTCTGATGCTAAATTTATTTTGTGCATAATCAATGCCCACAGTCTTTACTGTGTATAAGCCATTTGTAGCCATTTATAAGCTTGTTACACGAAGCAGATTTAATTACTGCAGAAAAAGTGTGTGAATACCTTATATGAAGTTCCAATTAACAATATAAATTTTTGAATTTATATAAAAGTATGTGTATAAATATCATGGTTTAAAGAGTGTGACAACTCAACAATGAGCTAAAATTTTATGAAACAGTAATTCTAGCTTTTCGTTTATTAATAAGATATATTTGGAATATGTAAATATTGAATTTTAAAGTGCAAACATTAAAAGTGACTTTGCAAATATACTTTATATTCTTTAAATTGAAGTATGTATCATGTATGATATGAGCCTGCTGTTATGTTATTGATCATCTTTAAATGATTCATAGAATATATAATCCTAATGATTTTGGGTGGATATTTCGGCTAGAGAATTGATTCGTAAAGAAGAACTGCAAAAATCCAATTACAATATGACAAAATTTTGTGTGTTTCAAAACTCTACCGAGTATTCGGAAACAAGTAGAGATCAATTTGGGCAGAGCCACTTTGAAAAACCATTTCACTTCAGGGAGCAAGTTTCATGGTTTCAGCAGAATATACACATATTTTAAACTTATCGCCATGATAATGAAGTCGCTATTTTAGGGTTCTTATTAAACTTTCATGATCCAGTGGCCCCCTGTTATTTTTTTTAATGAGTTCGCCATCAGTTATTTATTTGCCATGTTAACACCACAATGCTAACAAATGAGAGAATGAACGCATTACGTAAAATAGTTAGACAAATCACAGTTAATCTACAATAAATCAATTTAGTGATTGCAAATACTACCTAACCTAAACAAGGGCTTTAATCGTGGCCCCGAATAGGGGCGAGGGCCCAGATTTAGAAAGCCTCGGTTAGCTATTGTCGTGAAAAAGATAGATTACTCGACTAGCAACATGTCATGGTATAAATTCTCTTATTGATACATTGATAACTAATAATAATATACCATTTTTCAACAGAGTTGATTCTGCGGATTTAATTTTCAATCAAAGAAAACAAGCAAAAATTTATGGAAAATATTTATTCGGTGATATGCTTGGTGAAGGATCATATGGAAAAGTGAAAGAAGTCTTGGACACAGAAACTCTATGTAGAAGGGCAGTGAAGATCGTCAAGAAACGAAAGCTGAAAAGAATTCCAAATGGAGAAGCGAACGTAAAAAAGTAAGTTGAATTTATTTTTTTCAAATTCTTTCTGCATACATAATATTTAATTAACTGATGAATATCAGAGCAGTTATGTGGAATTCATCTTGTCATGGCTGTTTTTATGATCGTATTAACATGAAATGTTTAACTTGCGTTTAATCGATATTTACCAACGTACAATAATAATTCATACATAATTCTTCCTACTGGGGAGTCTCAGTAGCTCTTGGCATTTTAGTGGTCGCCATTATCTTCGCTTACAGACTAAACTCTTCGATTTCTGCGGTTGTGCGTATGACTTTGCTTTGAGCAAATTTTAAGAAAATCAATTGAAATTTAAAAAAAGGATAATATCATGTTTTAGTTGTATTTATCGACAATATATTCATTTGTTAGACTTTTAGTTCTAGTCGTTTTTATAACCTTCCCTGAGTTCTTTCTTTTAAAGAAAAATGACATATTTTATTTAAACTGTTGAAATAAATTTTGGAATATTTATAATTATTTTAGCATTAAAATTTGAATTGGCCAATCTTCTGTTATGTTGTTATTTTGTATCCTGAACCTATTTGCTTTTGTTCGCAAACGCCTGTTTGTTTTGTTCATGTCTTGTATCCGCAAATATTTACTCCTCTTGGTAAATTCAGTGCCGGTAATTTAACATGGGCAAATATTTTTGCCACTAAATAAAAATGATTTGTTATTGTGTGGAATGTGAATTTGAGCGTTTGCGGCTTCGTGGACCTATAATTGATTACAGACATAGTAGATAATTGAGCCTACCTACCGGTAAATATTTTTAAAATAGGGTATTGAGTTCGGAAAGATAAATTACTGACACATTCAAAGTGCACCCAACAGGACGACCCTGTTCGGAGCGAAATATGTGAATAATTGTCGTATAAAAGATTTAAAAATGAAGAAATTTTCTGTTCTTCCACATTTGTATGGAAAACGGGTCGAAAAACATGCCGCTTCAATATAACATAAGGAACTACTGTCTTTTTGTGAAGTTTATCGTTTTCATGGTTCAGGAGAGCTCATTCAATTTATTATGCCATGGATGAGATGGTTGGCATGAATAGACCACCGAATGGGTCGGTGCTCAAATCAGAAATCTATCACCTGCATTTTTAACAATAGTTGGAATGTATGAACCATTAAACCATTAACTGTTGTGTATTACCAAATATCAAAAATGAATAACACCAAAATTTTCATTTTGAAGGGAAATAGAGCTCTTGCACAAACTACATCACAAAAACGTTATTGAACTTGTCGAAGTTATGTACAACAAGGAAAAACAAAAGTTATACATGGTCATGGAATTCTGTGTTGCAAACGTACAAGAAATGCTTGACAGCGCACCACAAAAGAAATTCCCTGTCTGGCAAAGCCACAAGTATGTTGATTGAATTCCTTTGAATCTGTGTTAGATAAATCGCATGCTGTTAACAGTGTGAAAAAACTATGTATTGCATCTTCAATCAAGTGATTTATCGTTAATATTTTTGGATTGGTAGGAAACTAGTTGTCTTTCTGGCTTGAGTAGATCAATTTTCTATCATTTTTCATTGAAATTTGGATAAACTTATTTGTTCAAAGCCACACAAGCCGCAGTCAGAATAAGTTCTTTAAAATATTCAAAATTAGCAAATGTTATAATTTCACTACAAGAGTCGACATTTCCAATTTAGAATTCAGGGCTTTTATAATAAGATCTTTAAATATATGGAATGTTTCAGTATGCCAAAAATCAGGTTTTTCAACTTATGATATCACAATTAGCCTAAAAACCTGCTACCAATTAACCAGGTAAAAAACTTGCCTAGATAATGGTATCATATTGTAAGAAGTATAAGGTGTTTTACCTGGTTTTAAGCTTTCTTATATGAAAACATGAATGACATAACGCATGTGTTATTCTAAACATTTTTTTGGTATTTGGTAAGATTAGATTTATTTTTTTTTGTTCGTACTACGCCATTCATTCATGTGGAAAATAAGAATAAATTTTATGACTTAATCATATTCACCTTACTGTATATATCTAGAAAGCTGTTTTAAGACAAACCAAGATAGTAACGGAATATTATTATTTATTCATTTTGAAAATCCCAGCTATATTTGGTGCTGTTTAATGTATTCAACAAAGGTCAAAATTCATTTGTTACACTTCGGTCACATATTTCAGTATTACCCGTACATTTCAGATAGAGATAGAAGAAGTATTTAGTACCTTGTTACTCAAAGCAACAGTGTGAAATATATAAATTTGATTAACAGATGTACATTTAATGTTATGTATTGGGTCTAAAGTTTCGAGTTTAAAAGTTTAATTGAGTGATAATTATCTCACCAATGCAGAAAATGACGTCACACTGGTAGCTTTTAAATACTGTTAGCTGCAGTTGTATTATATGGGGTATGACCACTCGGTTCTGCTCATTTCGTCTTATCATTTTCAATTTGCTGGAATAAGTTTGAAAGGGATTCTTTTCCTCAGTTTCATCATGCTTCTATCTGTTCCCATTTTGTATATGCCCCATTGATTGAGTAGGTAATTCATCAATGGCCTATTCTGTCAGAATAATGATTGCACACTGATAACTTACTGCACTGGGACTTGAATAACAAATTAGAAATTCAATTACTGGTACATTTGTATTTAATGATGTGTGTAATAGAATTTGAAGAGAACTTAGAGAAACAAAATTTGAGCCCATGAAGTGGTTATCCAATATCTCTGTTATACTTAACTGTTACACCTAAAAATCAATAAATATTTTTAATATTTTCCTCTTTCAAATATGTATTGATTGCATGCAAGTGCCTGGATTCAAATTTTATCCAATATTGTTCTTCCTCATTAGTATCAAGTCTTGCATCACCAAAGTGTTATTCTCATAGGGAAAATTAATTAGTTACATTTGATTGGTCATGACTAAATTGGCTTCATTAATTTTTTATGTTCTATCTGCTGATTCAATTAGAGGAGTGATAAAAGAAATAATTACTTGTGTGTACCAGGGTGTAATGATTATTGTGTCAAACTCATCACTGGGGTCACCCAGCCGAGGTTCAAAGTGATTTGAGCTGGTTTAGTTCATTTCAGTTCACGACTGAAATCTGTGGATTCAACTTTGTAGAAATATCAAATCTGAAATTTCAATCACTCCAAAATTTGAAATACCCAGTAACCTTGAATTTAAACTTGTTGCAACACCAATCGTAATTGATCTGGTCTAGATTAATACGTCATGAATTTTCCTAAATGTTTTATTTTTTTTCTAAATGTAAAGATTGTGCATGCATTTGCAACTTGTTTTTGGAAAATCATTGATAGTTCAAATTTAAATTCCACATCCCAGCAATACTTTTTAAAGAAATTTATTTTGAATTTATTCCAAAATTTTTAAATTCAACGAAACATACTCTGTCCCTGCTACTTATCGAACTCAGTCTGTTCAAAGCACCATTAATCTATTACTGTATTGTCAAAGCTATATTTGTGGTGCATACGTGATCAATACCATATACCTGTTCTATATTGGCATAAATTTGTAATGATTTTGTTTAAATTCTAACTCCTAGTAATTTGCATTCAGCTTTTAGCTAGATTTCATAATCTACCAAAGGTAGCAGTTGGGTATATCAGTGAAAATTATGAAATAATAAATCTCAAAACACTAACTGTCAAAATGAGATTTAGAATCCTGCAATTTTCGGTATTATATAAAAATATATCTCTCATCAGTCTCATATATTCTCGTAGTTGCAATTTTCACCTTTAAAAACAAACGTTCAACTTAATCAATCAGAATTTGGTTTTGGAAAATTAGGTTAAAACCCACTGTTGTATTTAAACTTGTACCACTTTGAGAGAGAGAGAGATTTGAAAAAATAAGAATATCATACCAATACTATGGGAGTACCCATTTTTGACATTCACACTTTTATCGTGGAACTCCCAAACTGATAAATTATGCCTATTAACACCTACGGTACTTATAAGTGCCTAAACTCATGGTATTTGAGTACCATGGTGCGATAAGAATAAGGTGTGACCTTTAAAAAATGTTAATAAAAATAATGGTATTCCGTAGTTTCCATCCTTATTCAATTCTTTTTTTTTACTTTCAGCTATTTCTGTCAACTTATCATTGGTTTGAGTTATTTGCACAGTCAGCATATTGTACATAAAGATATCAAGCCTGGAAATCTATTGATCGCATGTGATTCTACATTAAAGATATCAGATTTGGGAGTCGCAGAAGTATGTATATGATAGCAATATCAATGTTTATTTTGTTGGTTGTGGTTGGATAATCGGATAAAATATGTAGGCTATGGAATGTAGAAACTGTGATGAACTGATGTTTTAAATGTGGAATGTGGTAAAGCTTAGTTTACATATGAGCAAAGCTAATAGAACAGCTTTAATGTGGAACGCTGTCGCTTCTTGTACCATAGCCAATTCAGGTTATAAAATAGAGCTTTTCTTGTTTTGTCATTATCACCCGCCTTTTAGCAATTGCATCTTGCATGTAATGAACACAGCTACAAGGTGTTATTAAGTTTGGCAAAACTACCTAAGTATTCGGATCGCTACAATTTTTCAGAATTTTTAGAAGTTTCGCTACGGCCACTGCTATCTATGCGGTCATAGCGTGGCTTGTACTCTCCATACGGCCTATGCTTATTCTAAATATAGATTAGTGTATTTAGCCGAATTCTTGAAATAAAATTATTTCATTTGTTATTTTTGTACATACCGTAGTTGGAAGTTAATAAATTGTAAAGACTTTATTATTATTCATTAACCTTATTTTCTACTCGGACTGGGCCTCCCACAATCTGTTTTGCATATCCGAGCGTCTCAATTTATTCAATCACCTATATTTCATTTCAATAAATTTCAGGCCCTGAATATGTTCTCACAAGATGATAAGTGTCGTACTTCTCAAGGTTCTCCGGCATTTCAACCTCCTGAAATTGCAAACGGACACGAATTTTTTCCTGGTTTTAAAGTCGATATATGGTCAAGTGGTGTCACACTGTGAGTATATATTTTAATGTAGTTAGTCTGGGAATTTTAATGTTATTCGTGTTAAAGTTGGAATACCTCATGTCTTAGCATCACAATTATGCAATCATTAGCAGTGTTTGTGGTCAGAAATGCCATGTACTTTAATATTAGGTATCGGTAGTTTATTTACAAAAGTACTGTTTTACAATAAACATTGCAAAGATAAACATATTCCCAAAAACATGTGATTCCCCCATGCACTACATTGGACAACATGCAACTTCTGGTAATTAATTTTATTTATTTTTCTCCCTTTGATTTTATACGATCATACAAAAAATGTGGTTCGAATCCTATCTCCCAATTTAATTATTATCATGTCACATATCAATGGGATTTTAAATCTGAGGGGTGGTTTAGAATTGATTTACTACTCATATTTAAATCTTTCTTTATCTTCTATGGCCCGATGTATGAATTATATAGTTACAGTTCCATAATAATATTGCAGTATGTATTTAATAATTGGTAAATTGGCTACATTGGTTGCTCTCCTGTGTCACAGATATTATGAATATGGAGTACCATATGGAGTTGTTTACCATATGGAGATGTTTAATTAGTTTTTTGCACTTTCATTTATTTTAATTATCTTCATCATCCATTCATTATCATTATCTAATTTCATCCAAGTGCATCCATCTGTGCCCTGTCTAAGGCAATCATTGATTTTTATCCAGTTATGCCTCATTAACTTTTTTATTTTCTATATGATGTCTGAAATACTGTATATTACGTGGTAATTAGACATTCTTCAGAACTCAACGTTTTTTTTTCAACATGTTCCTCACACATTAAGATATGACATACATGTTTTTGCACTGTACCATTGTTGAAAGATTGTACCTATTGCTTAGATAAATATTCTCACATTGTTTCAAAGTTTTGTGCCCCTAGAAACCCTAATAATCATTTGCTCATCTTTTGTTTTTTTTTCTCAGGTATAATTTTTGCACTGGATTGTATCCTTATGAAGGCAACAACATTTATCAATTGTTTGAAAATATAAGTAAAGGATCGTACACAATACCTGATGAATGCGATGAACATCTTCAAACAGTATTGCATGGGATGTTAGAATACGATGCTTATAAAAGATTCGATGTCAATGATATTATGGCAACGGAGTACGTTTATATTCAACTAGTTAGCAAGAGTGTTTATTAGTTTAGGTTATCAGAAATACAGTTAGGATCGGATTTTTCATATTTATCTTGGGGAGAGGAAAGTCGATGAGATGGCTTAATCAGTCGACCTGTCATTATTAATTAATGTCCTTAATGTATTGTATTATTATATCATTTAGGATAACAAATTTTGTTTATTCTTACGCTGGCTTATTTATAATTCTATAGCTGAAAATGATATAACAAATGTATGAACATTGGCCATTTTCTTTGCCCAAAATTCGTTTGTGTATTACTAATATTGCCAAATTAATTGCTTTACGTAATTTCAACTTTCACCATTCATTTAGTTTTTAACTTGTAACAATTCAATTCCATTTTGACATTGACCAAAAGAATCATTAAAAATATCACTCCTATTTACTATTTTTCATTAGATGGTTTCGAAGGAAACATCCTCGATTAAAACCTGCGATTCCAGTTCCCGCTCATGCTGAAAGTCAAGATCCACACCGAGGAATGACTGTTATACCTTATATTGAGGTCTGAATCACATTTATGATTTTTACCATAAATTTAGTATCACATTGTTCCTATTAAATCTTACAGAATAAAATTTGGAAAATGACAAGATTTTTGCCCTGAAATAAATCAAAAATTTTAGACTATCGAGAACCAAATATATTATCGAGGGTTTTGAGTTTGACACAAAAGGGCGAATTCTGGAATTTAAAAAAAAATATATTTTGCAAATTACAAAGAAATGAGTGCTTTTTAGGCTGGTGTCTGATCATAGTTTGGAGCAACATTTCCCAAAGTATTTCAATAAAAAGTACATTTTCAAAAGTACAATAATAACATACATTTTCCCCATTTTATCGAAACAGTCTTTTCAAGTTTCGTTCTTTTTGGTTGAAGCCTTCCTTATTTAAAATTAAACGTAATAGCATACCAAAGTTTTTAAAAACCAAGCTATTTCAGTTTTTATACCCATTCTGTATAAATTTGTGGCTGCTTGTCCAGAGCCCTGTGTAGAGAAATCATGACAAAACACCCATTAACTGTAATGTACTAAATTTGTTTTTGATTTTATATAAATAATTGGTTTTCTTTATATACAGGATCTCCATGGTTACTTGAATGACAATGGATCCAATTGCTCCATGCAGGAGTCTGAAGATATTTTTCAAACTGATCTTGATCTTCGTCATCTCAGTAATCAACTGTTACTGAATGATGATCAGTTTTTAGAAGGTAAAAAAACTATATACTAATGCTGTACTGCAAGGTAGACCTCCAAACAGAATGAGCTAATATTCTCGATATATTCTATGATATTTTTTGAATATGAAACATTGAATGTATTTCGAATTTGGTCATTTTCAACCAATAATACATAATAAAAGACGATGTAGATTCAATGAGAGAAAGTTGTGATGAAAATTATTTGATTTATTTCCCGATTCTTTTACGGTTTCCATAAATTGGAGGTTTTTTGATCGCACTGCTGAAAATGAAAAATGTGTAAAATGAAATTATTCTAAATATTTCCTAAACCAGAATTCAATATACCAAATATGCTAAATTTTAAATCAATTCAAATTCCAATTAATTTTGAGTTCTGAGAATTGAAATGCATTTTGATTAATTGATTAGAATTCAGGAGACTCACTGCTGAATTTTTATATATCTGATGCAAGCCTAAATGTATATACCAGTAATATATATAAATTATAATCCTATACTCCAGGGCTACTCAACTGGCGGACTACGGTCCGAATCATTAGCCGGTCGAGAAAGTATGCGTTTAAGGATGCCGATATATAAATTCTGGAAAGGCCGTATCCAAATAATTTTGAATTTTTGTATGCGGATCTTCGATGAAAATAGTTGGGTAGCCCTGCTATTATCCACTGTGCTGACTGCTGAGGCACGATTAGTATGACTGGATTATTGTTTGAATCGGACCATTGTTATACCAATTCAAAATCTGACTTGATCGGAGTATATTGTAAAATTATAAGTAACTTTACCTAGCTCCAGTCATTTTTGGTGAAATGAATCAATCTGACTCAAGTCATTAATGTAGCTTTAATGTAAACATGATTTTGATTTGCACGGTTATTTGGATGGTTTTTATATTAGTGCCATGCTTATATAACCATTGTATGACCTTTGACCGTGAGTACTTGCACAGCTGTTACTCGGACTTCACTCAAGTCATAATGAGTCATTGTTATTTTGATGTTGAAATAGTATGAAATTTTTATTTTTTCTATTTTTTTATATTAATGAACAACATAAATATATGTATTTCAAGAATGAATAGAATTTATAGAAACAAAATTGTAGTATTTAAAATCATGTTCTTCAAATTTAACTGAATATTAATAATTGACAAAGTGTTTCTGGTATTCAGGTGCTTCTCAAAGTAACAATGGATCAGTGCAACACGATCCCCATTTTCAAGATGAAAATGAAACACATTCCTCTGGGGTTGTATTACGACATCATCACCATCAAGGTGATGTATCTTCTCAGCACAATCACAGTCGGGCAGAATCTACAAATGTACATTCAAATAGCGAACATTCTGACCTTCCAGCGTCCAGTGCATCCGGTGCCAAGAAAAATAAATCAGAAACAAACGAAAAATGTTCTTCTAAAAGCGGGAGTCACAATGCAGTCAATGAAAAAACGCATGGAAAATCCAATAAGCGAATTAAGTCAATGTGTAATATTACTTAATATGATTTTTTAACATAATATTTTAAAACAATAGAATGTATCAACATGAAATTTCAAGTTAATATCGTTTTTGTGCGCTTCAAAAGTTTTGTTAACTTTGTACTTACTGAGTATTTGTATTCCAGTGTTTCCCAAACTGAATATCACAGCTATGGATGTGACCAACAACAGATTTATCGCTTAAAACATATTCCACACAAAAAAAGATAAAAAGTTTTATCTTGATAAACTCAGTCAGTGTCGTTTTTTAAATCTTATTCATCACAGTATCAAATATGTTTTTGGGTCGTGCCATAAATTTTTGGGGAACCACTGTACTAGACAATATGTTAGTGATTTCACCAACTTTCGACCATTGTTTGGAAAATTATTTCTTTGTCTACTTGAGTATTGCTAGTTCAATATTTATTATTCATATTTACAATAATGAATACCATTATTATTATTGTTATTATTCATAATAACAATAAATTCCAGATTTATTATTGTTAGGTATTCCTGCCGGTATAATTCGGGTTTAGTTGATCAAGTATGTTATCTCGACACGATAATAAGATGATTCCCACTAGCAACTTTACCTTCATGTCACACTGCAGCAGTACCAAGGACGTTTTTGAAATTTTCTCAATTAGTATCAAGTTACATGAATATTAGTAGCAATAAAACACCTATATTACGGCCACTTTGTATGTACATTTACTGTTTTGATATCAAGCCGTAGAACCAGACATATTCATATACAAATGGTTTGATATTTTAGAATTCTTGCATTTATGGAGTAAAACTTGACCTAACCACTTGACTATCACTGCCGCTTGTTATAGGGCCTTCGAAAGGTGTGATTGGAGTTAGATAAAAATGTCTATTATTTTTTATTATCTCAATCAAAACATGTCTTGAATAGCATCAATTCAAACATTTTCTTTGGACTTACCTATGTTCAATAACATCGTGGTGATCATAAATCTGAAGTGGCACAAAGTGAAAATACTGCCGGTACACAATACTCTGTAACATTTTTGTGGTGTTTTAAAAACGTGAATTCTTTTTCATTGTGTCATGTTTTACTGCTTTTCTTTCCTGCTTACTTATTTGTTCATTGTATTGCGCACTGTTATCTGTAATTGCGAAACTTTTTTATGTTCCGTCTGTTATTTTGTAATTGTCGAACTGGGCAAGGTGTGCTTCCGTTTTTTGCTGGTAGACATGGGAATTTTTTTTTCAAATGCTTTTTCCCAAAGGTATTTTCAACGTGAAGAATTAGGTACAAAAGATTCAATTCTCAATTGCGTTTTTGATCTGTTGATGGCCACCTTCTGGGTCAAAAAACTGTTGGTTGGCCGCAGCTATTCTGCAAAATCCCCAACATACAGCTGTGAATAGCAAATTAAATACCGGTAATTGGAATAAATTACCGTATAACATTTTGTGTGTACACTGTAAAGATTAATAAAGCAACTGCCTTTGCAGTAATAGTTTTGTATACTACCCTAGTCAAGAATTGAGGTCAATAGTCAATTTTTATGCCTTTTGGGGGTTCGCATATCCACTGCCCATGACACATCTATCAGCATATTTGGATTTCAATAGCTTTGTACAATGCTTACTAGGTTTATATCTTACAATTCTAAACAGTTTCTTCTGTTTGTAATGTGAAAAAACAATTCAGTTCGGTCTCTATATATTGTTTAATATAGTTTGATGGGACTACTCTTATGGGTGGGAATAAATAGCTTGATATTCATGAAGTTCGAAGCACTTTTAAATTAAATAATCATGCAACAAAATGGTGATTTTTGTTATCATTTGACGAAATTTGCAGATTATTGCTAAATTGGACGCTGATTTCTTTTTGGCGAAACTGCATTTTTGTTGGTGCGTCTTTCGGATGAAGACAATTATATGAGTCATAATATTTCGGTCTGGGAGTCATGCTACTCACTGGTACTATTTGCTTCCACGCCATGAAAAATATTATTAGTCTGTAAGTAGGTTGAAATTGTAATTGTTGGAAATGTTTTGCTTCTATTTTTAGCACTTTACTGCTTCATTTTCAAATACAACATTGATACAAATGATTACGAGACTTTGTGATAAATTCACCAGGGTGATATAGATTTTGTGACGGAACAATGTCAACTGCGAGTTCTCATGGGGAGACGTGGTGGGTCATTTACCAAATAGTACAAGATAGTTCAATGCACGGCCTTAAGCGGTGGTATCGCATTTCAAAATCTTGCGTTGACGCCTTTATTGTGTATAATATGTCATTCTTAGCATATATCTGATAATTAATTGTGCGTTTCAGAAGCTTTTTTATTATTGTTCACCAATCTGAAGTCGATCAATTACTCTCTTAACTCCGTGGAACGCTTACCGTGATTTATTTCAAGTCTTCGGTTCCAATTTTGCTTTCGTTTTACGTCTCATTTACGCTGTTGTTTGTCGTATCTTACCAATACACCGTGTTTCCCCGAAAATGAAACTTATGAGGGGCTTATTTAAATTTTCTTACGAAAAATGGCACTTAGGGCCTCTTCTGGGAATGTCTTGTATTTTCATTTATCAAAAACAAATTAAAACCTAAAGAATTACTACAAAATATGAAAATCGATATTCATTTACTTATAAATAACACGTTCTCATTCAAAATAGCTGCAAAATATAGATTGTTATCAATGATTCGAAACGTGTAGGAGAGATTTCTTGCTATCAAATAGGTCCACAAAAATTTCCGCGTTGTTGACTAGGTCCTGTTTTAAGGGGAGGGTTTTGTATTAATATCAGGCTAGGTCCTATTTTCAGAGTAGGTCCTATATTCGGGGCAAAGCGATATTTTCCTATTCTGGCGATGTCAACCGTCGAACTTCAATATATCACACACGATGCAATGGTTAACTGAAACTGTTGCCTCCGGCGCCGTGGCTCAACGGGCTAAGCGTTAGGAATACGCTCGCCACCGCACCTCTAACTACTCTGCGTAGGTTCGAATCCCATGCAGGGATGGTTATGTGCGAGAGGATTGCTGGACTCCTCGCCGTCGTTGGGTGGTTCACGTAACCGCTGGTCGGTTACGGCTTCCTCCACCACCAAGTCCATGATTCCGAAAACAAACAATACAGTAAAACTAATCCCATACCCGACTTGGAATGGTAACCGGACGAGAGGCCGTGGTTCGCCATATGGATAAGCCGTCTTATCGGCTTTCCTCTCCCCCGGGATAAATATGTAAATTCTATCCTATCCTATCCAACGCCTCAACTAGCAATATTTTCGCAGACTATGACGAAGGATTCCAATCCTACCCAAATAGTAGCTCGTTTTGAGTGCCTCGCTTTGATCGGATGCATTGTAGCGTATGTGGGATTCATATGTGCGTGTCGATTGGATTGTCATTTCTATATGCAAACGCAAATGATATTCAGTATTTCGCTTGGAGAGTCGTCTATTAAACGATCTTTTAACACTTTTCCATGAGGTAACTTGGACCGAAATGCCAATCTCAATGCAAGGTCAAAAAGAACCAGCTTTTTTAACAACAGAAAATGTGAAATTATTTATGTTACCAATATCAAAGCAAGGTAGATATGATTGAATATGCTTCCTATCTCTATTTAATGTCAACAAAGTATTACCCGTACCCAAAACTACAATATATTTTCGTTAAAACTACTCTTAGCGATCTTTTTATTTATGGTATATATACTGTATATTATGCATTTAAATATATTTTCAATTTGGGTTTGCGTGAAACAAAAATATGAGAGTTGTTTGCCATACACATATATTATTTTTGCTAGCAAATGAGATAAAATAATATATTATTGATTTGAAACGTTATTTCCTCGACAAAATTAATTTCATTTTCTCTGTCAATATTATGTTGGCTCACGGAACATTGCCGAGAGGGAAACGCGTCACAGCAGAAACCACCTAATAGGAACCAAAGAATCCAAGAGTACGTGGGGAATACCCACTTCCTCGAAAACAACAATTTCACTCAATGGTGTGTATGCTTGAGCCATCTTTACCTCAAGTACACGGAGAATTATATTGCTAATTCTATGTCCCATATAAAAAAATAGTACACTAATGAAACTTGCGCGAAAATGAAAATATTTGAAAATGACTGTTATATCTGGCAACCTTCAAGAATATTATAAAATTTCTATTGATTTTAATTGTTACGTCATCATGTTATAGTTTAAAAGATAGTGACGTATTAATGGCGTAATCTCTCTTGTTGCTTGAAACAGACGAGCGCGCGGAAAGATCGCATATAACTGTATTATCGACAACTTTAGCTTATCAAAGAGTTATCTCAGGTAAGGGTGTTCGCGATACAGCCGTCGGACAATATGGATGAGTCGCAACCTGAGACAAGCGAGAATCCAGCGCCGGAGGAGTCTCAACCAGTGAGTACGCCGGCCTAACGTTAACATTAACATAAATTTAAACGAGAGAAGTTTTCGGGTACTCCTGCATTATGCGCACCAAGATGTCGCATATCCTGAACCCTAACCTGGTACACAACCTGATTTCAGGTTGTGCGCCATCTTGGTGCGCATACTTCAGGAGGTCCAGTTTTCGTCATTCGAAATTGTGATTTGAATGTAGACTATTACCCTGAGCAGAAATCCACCTTTACATTTTTGTTTATGTACCAATTTATTATTAAAAAAGACAATTTCACGATTTGTTTTTGCAATAAATGAAAATATACTTTGATGAATGGTGAACACAGGAACATGAGCCAAATTTAATTATGATATTTTGTTGGGTTGCCAGAATCCTTCTCAATGCTAAGGAACCTGTAGGTGCCATCACACAGACGTATGTAAACAGGCCTCAAAGCTTGCAGTGGTAACGTTAACTATAACTTAGAGTCTTAGACTGATTTTTCAATCACCAAGTTTTCACTAACATTTCCGAATAAATTTCAATTAGATCGATCATTATTTGCTCCTCTGCCCAGAATATTACAACACTCAAAACACGTTATGTCATAATTTTTCAACAAATTGTACTTTGTAGCTAACTAACTGTAGACATCAGAGATATATAAAAACACTCGCATCACATAGTTTAAAGTAACGTTACGTCATGAGTCATTTTTTCAATTGCCCAACTTATTATCAAATAGGCCAATTCACTTTCAAACTCTCGGTCTGGGTGCTACTGTTAGGAAAATATATATGTAACAATTCCTTTAAAATACAATCCAATTATACAGCTCGATGCCGAAGCAATACAGATAGAAGAGAAAACAGAAGATGAGCCCACTGGTGAAGAAGAAGAGCCAGCAGATGGGGATAAAGGTCAATAATTCGCTTTTCAGCCTTTATCACTTTTTAGCACTTCCAAGAGTCATTCTCATAAGAGAATCGTATTCGTCTTGAAATTAATAAGCCATTTCTCTACTCAATCGATAGTGGTTGATGATCTAGGATTCTAGGTGGATAGTCCAATCCTGCATTTTGCTAGATTTTCTTTTGGAGATGATGTGTTTTCTGAATTTTTATATTGAAAACTATGAATAAACTTTTTGTTTCTTTGTCAATACTATTTCTTATGATTTTAGAGGAGACAACTAAAGATATTCTCATGGAATATGCACCTTGGTTACTTGCAGCTGGAATTGGATTTTTACTTCTCATTATAGCAGGTTATATGAAATCACTATATTCAAATTTTCCATTTTATTCTACCTTTCTATTTATAAACATGTTTCTATGAATCCTTTTCAATGAGCCATACGTAAATAACATAATCGAATTTAGAGTTTTATATTTATTATTGCTTATAAATGCTCCAGTCCTATTATATCTGTAGTTTTGTCTGTGTCTTAAAATAGAAGCTGTTGTCTTGTTTATTGGTTGTAAGTCCTATATGAATTTGCCGGTGACCGTACATTTGAACCCATGTACATTTGAACCCATGCGTATATCCACGGGTTCAATCTATATGCGGGTGCTAAAACCCATGGGTTAGGGTTAGTATGGGTTAAACCATCCGTGAAACAAAAAAAAATCCATAGGTGCAATAGCATACAGGTGCAATTGCCATGGGTTCAAATGTACGTGGGTTCGAATGCAATGGAGCCGAATTTGCCATGTGTAATCCATAAATATGCTCTGCACTGGTTTTACTTACCGTGAATGCTTGTTTTTAGTTGCTTTGCTGGCAAGTGCAGGAGCTGGACCTTTTGTATTTCCTTACAATCCACAATATTTCAATGTACCTCATTACCAAGGCTCAATGCGTGTTCTCTCTGTTGATGATCAACCTTTGAAATACATTAACGACATGAGATATATAGGAAGCAGGGTTTCAACTAGTCTTCGATACAAAATTGAACCAAAAGTATGAATTAAGTTGAAAATTCTACATTTAGTTAGGGTTTGTCTGAACACTTTGTGAAATTTTTCAGTTTAAGATTTTTTCAATATTAAATAATTTATTATTTTGACATGATTAGTAATTTGAGCATTCTGTTCATTCAAGGTTATATTTTTGATAAAATTTGAATTATGATTTTCATTTTGTAAATTCTTCCCAAAATTTAAGAGTGACATCAAAATACCTTGTGTTGCAAAGCACAGTTAATTTAGAGAAGTGCTAAATTTTATTTACTATTCCAAAATTTTATACATACCGATTTTCGCAGTTGAAGTACATTTACTCAAATGCTAGTATGGAGGCAGAAAATGTTGTTGTTATATCGTTTAAATATGGTGGTGCGGGTGAGACATCAGAGACTCAGGAAGGTCGTTCCATACTTGGCAGATCAACAGAGGATGGAGAAGAAGATAAGGGAAAGAAAGCAATTGTCGTCAGACATTGGGTATGTTTTCCTGCAAAAAAACATCAAAATTCTAATTTCACTTTTCAAATTGACTCTAAGTTGTTTTCCTACATCTACAAGATACCCAAAGTGGAGAAGCTTATTGAAAATTGATGAATTGTTGAATTTGCAAATCTGACATAATACTTTACAGAAATGTAAGGATTGAAAATACCTTTAAATTAAGGTTAACTTAGTTGACATGCCATCAAATTATAACTGTTGGAGCCTTTCACTTTTTCATACTTTAGATCTATCTGAAAGAGAATACCACTCTTTCGGATGAAGAATTAACGGCAAATGTAGTTGCAGCCCTCGATAAGGTTAAGGGTATTGAAGTTGATAAAACTTCTGTGGCATTGAAATCTTTGAAAAATATGACAAGACTTGAAGCTATTCAAGCATTAACTCAAGCTGGATTCTTTAAGCATGGACTCAAAGGACTTGATCTTGGTCTACTAGATATCTTTGGAATTGGACTAGGTATGATTGAAATCTTTCTTCAACTATGCTTAACGAATTTCAGTCATATAATCTTATTACCATCCAACTTTCTTCTATTTAATTGCAATTACAAATGTAATAATAATTAACATGAACTTGGATGAATATGATGGTGTTGTAGGTTGTACAAGTGGTGTGTTCGTGAATAGTTTGGCTCAAAGTTCTACACAATGTAGGAACAAACCACTCTTGTCCACTTTTTCCACCAGAAGGGTAGACACACATTCTGGAATCATTTTATTAATAACAAGACAAAACCTTTTTAGAGATTGATAAGATAATCTTAATAATACAGGAACCTAAGGAATGCTATTCTAACTCTAAGGTTTGAAAAATTTAGCAGAATTTTATGCACACATAATCCAACAATATTCTGACATTATTGCATATTCTAACTTCGTGATTTCTTCTGTTCCAAATTTCAGACTTCACAGCTTTTATCTGGAATAGATATATATTTAAACTTTTTATTTATTTTTTGGTTACATATATGCAGCAGTTTATAGTATCATCAAAGTAGCGATAGAATTAAATATACTGTTTTATATATACGGTTATTTTTTTATTAATTCAGATATACAGACAGAAGGGGAAGAAGAAGGACTTTGCAAATCACTTTTACGTCCGAGCCATGGAAGTGTATCTCCCCAACAATGTACTGCTTCTATTAATACTTATGTTCAGATGACTTGCAAATTTGACTGTGATGATGGATATGAACTTGTCGGCTCACCAAAACGAGTCTGCCTCACCTCTGGTCTATGGAGTGGAGAAAGTGTTAGATGCCAAAGTATGTTTCGATATATCAACTTTGTATGAAGATATGTATACCGTATTTGCTCGTTTTGTAGCCCGGGCCCTTCTTATTTTCAACCAACTCACTAACCGGGCCCTTATTCAAATTGGCCATTATTCAAGCACGGGCGCTTCTCATTTTCGATCGTTACAATAATTAATAAATTGTTATTTCCAGTTCTCAAATATGATTTAAATAACGAAAATTTTGACTTTTTCTACGCACCGCAGGTACCAATCCGCAAAAGAAGAAGTTTTGCGACGCCCTATCAATATTGAAACGACGCACTTAGGCGTCACGACGCCCAGTTTGAGAACCATGGTGTTACGTAATCAATGCTATCTGTTATGTACTTGACGCCTAAGGCGTGAGTGTTATCTACCGGGGCTTAAAATTCAACAGCGTTGTGACAAAAGCGCTTCTTATTTCCTATTGTTCTCTGCCACTGAAAAATCAGCTTTTACATCGGGCGGGTATTCAAGCACCAGCCCTATTTATTTTTATGTCCTGTTTACAGGGGCGGCTATTCAAACCGGCCCTTAATCAAGATCGGGCGGTAAAACGAGCATTTATACGGTATGCGGTTTTTCAAGTTTCAATCATGAACGAATTGTTTTGGCTGTGTCTATCAAATTAAAATGGTGTAATGGTGGTATCGTGAATAATATTATTCAAATGATTAATTGCAACACCATTGTACCACTGTTTTTTCCTGTGCCGATGTCAAGAGTTCAATCACTATGATGCATGATCATGTTTAAGGAATTGCTTGATTTGTCATCGTCGCAGTGTGCTTCATGTGCCAACTGGTCAGTTAGAAATTCATCTTCCACCCACATTTATGCTCGAGGAATATTGAATTAATTCTGTCAATCCATGGTTCCTTATAGAGCCGAGCACAACTTATTCTACCAAATTTGGCATCTTTGCTCATATTAGCCAATTAAAGTCTTGCAACCACAAAGTCACTGTTGACCATTATTTCTTAATTCTATTTTTGCACAGAGAAATGTCAACCATTGAAGTTACAATCTATTGGACACATGGAACCTCGTACATGCTTGCATGATATTGTATCGTCAGGACAAATGTGTTTTGCCGAATGTCCTTCAAATTCACACCGAATGTTTTTTCCACCTACTAGTTCATCCTCACTTGAGGTTAAAGAAAAAGACATGTGGCCACCATTAGATTATGATAAACCACAGGATACAGCAGAATACAATCCTTTTGATGATGTTAAAAGCTATTTCCGTGAGTGTGGTGCAGATGGACGATGGACTGGCAGAGACGCTTCTTGCAAAGGTATGGGTTATTCTGTGCTTTTAATATTTTTTTATAATAAACTTGAGCTTTATATGAGGTTTGGTTTAAAATTTGAGCAGTCATCAAAACAATTCATCCAAGATTTAATCATACATTTTTCTCATTCCAGAGTAGTTTGAAGTTTATCATTTGCTGATAATCTTAGTGTTATATATAACTTTTAAAGCCAATAAAAGTCATTACAGTTCCCATTTTTCTGTTTGTATTCATGATTAGCCAAATTATTTGATTGAATCAAAAAGTTATTCACAATAATAAACAATTTCATTGAATACTATTTGCGGATATTTTTGTTGGTTGCATAACAAGTTGCTATATATTTTATTGTTTTAAGCCCCATAGTATTTAGCGATTGACAATTTTCAACCAAAGACTGCTTTTTCCTTCGTAATGACCTCTTTTTGCAGAGCAATATGTCAGAAGCATCCTAATTTCAAAAATGCTTAAATATCTTTTAGAAGAATAATTTGTTGATTAATCTGATTCAGACGCCCAATCGAGCCCAATTTTGAATACATTTTTATTAATGTCATACGACCCCCAAAATTTACCCAATATACAATAATTATATACCATTGGAAAGGTATTTTAGAGTACTATACGCTGGATGTCACTGGAGGACCGTAAACTGAAACACCTCTTTCAAGAGGTCTCTCGTAACATCAAAAAATAACAAAAATATTTACACTCTCTCATTCTATCAGCTGTTGGACGTCTACAGCTATTGTAAAGCTGAAATGTAACTATACAGTTGACTGCACATTGGTTTTCTCTTTCATATGATACTAAACGCTTTTCCATAGCGCGCGTTGTTCAATCGTTTTGGAAATTTTCCGTTTGAGAAGTCACCACATCGAATCAGGCCAGGCTAAGCTTGATAGATCGATCGGTTGTTTGTTTGTGCTTTATCGCGTTGAAAGCTTTTGTGAGTCATAATAAAACATTTATTATGAATCATAAAAGCTTATAATCGTCAGACAAGGAGAATTTGCGAGATAAAACGCCTAACTTTTTTTCGGTGAGGCAGCTGCGATCAAACGACTCGATATTTTTATAACTTCCTGACGTTGTGAGATGTCCACTCTCCTATGTTATGTAGCATATAAAATGACCTTCAAAATAAGACCTTATCATACTAGCTTTTGTTATTGATTAGCGCGCAACGCCAAGGTTTATGGAATCATTTTCTTGTTGTGCGACGTTTTTATATCGCAGCGGGAAGTACACGCGCGATATGTAAGCGAAATTTTATCACTTCTAAATGTCATGTAAGGTTCATTCTCATATCGTTGTGTGGGGAATAAGATTTCCTTTCAAGCAAGACCATAACAAACATTCCAGACCTCGTGGTATACACACAGCATTGCAAAACGTCTGAAACGTCGCGCATGCGTCAAACCGGGAGGATTAGGTTAATTCAAGCTGGTCACTTTATTCAATATGTGTATTTACTTCCATGATAGCAGGTCCTTACATATAGTTAGATATCAGTGGCACTTGCACAGAGCCTTCTTTTGAGCATACAGTGCGAGTAGGTCATACTGTATGCTCGTCACATTGAATTCTACATGAGATATTGATTTATAGTAGTCTTTTCAGTATTTTATATGTGTCCTTTTTCTTATTTATTGACATGTTCATATTTTCTAGCTGTGTGTCCAAGAATAAATCCTCCTCCAAATGGTGGTGTATATCCAGAACATTGTCTTGTTGATACAGTAGAAGGTGAATCATGTACAATAAAGTGCGATACTGGTTATGGACTCATTGGAGGAGGAAGTTCGAAGGTCATTACCTGTGATGTATCAGGGAAATGGACAAGAGAAATCCCAGTTTGTGAAAGTGAGTTATTCCTAATAATATTTAGTGTTTCGAAATTCTAAAATTAATTTACCCATGTTTTGTTAGCAGGTTTTGGTCATTTGGCCACACTCTAATTCATTTGTTCAAATTTTTTTTCTTTTTATCGTAGGATTATGTCCTGTACTCACTGCAAGTTCAAATATGATCATAACACCGAAAATATGTTTGGCATCTCCACATGAAAGTACAAGTTGCAAATATGAATGTGAAGCAGGCTATTTACTTTCTGGGAGCGAGGAAAGGTATGACCTTAGACTGCTTTATATATACTAACAAAATGGTTCACAATTTGAATTTTTTGAAGAGGGATTTAGTATTTTTTGAACCCTGTGAGGTATTATTTATGATTGACTTTTGAAATATAATTCCTACTCACACTCACACGTGTATAACAGATTGAACTTTTTAAAAAGCCTACATACAGAAGAACATGCTTAAACTATTGGTCTTAGGCAATAAGATCTGATTTTTTACTTTGATGGACTTGAATAGAGTAGAATTTGTGGTAAAGTTTTACAAAATCTCATTTTCAGAATATGTCGAAATGGAGTGTGGTTGAATTCAGAGCCAACTTGTGTTGCTGCTTGTGATTCGATCAATCATCCAGATAATGGATTTTTACTATCGCCTTCGGGTAAGTAGATGAGGTCTAATGAGTACTATAGTATAATTTTTATAATGAGTATTACACCCTGGATAAGATGGTGGACATGGGGTTTGAGCCTGAGATCTTTTACCTACATTGACAACCGAGTTGAAGTCAATGCTTGAGCTACTAGCTAATCAAGCCCACAATTATCTATTCTCCAATATTCTCTAGTAATAAATGGAAAGATATTGAAATAATTTCGCTCCAGTCTTTCAATCAAATTTGCGTTAAGAATTTCATATTCTTTCAAGAATAATATGACCTAATAAGCTTTCATCAGTTGGTAAATTATTGACTTGATTTTGGATATCATTCAACGATGGTGAATACCTTATGTCATATTAAAGGACCTTGCAGTGATAGATCATTTCCTGAAGGCACACAATGTTCTTTACTTTGCGATTTTGGATATTATCCATCTCATAATTCAACTACTTGCACATCATCATCTGATTGGAGCGTAACCAAGACGGATCTAAAATGCATAAGTATTATTTTCGATAACCAAATTTTAATTTCCTATTTGGATAAACTGTTTATACAATTACATAGATTCTGAAATAGTATTTTGTCTGAATATTGAAAATGAAACATGTGTGTATTTTTATTGAATAAGAGTAATCAATGTAATTTAATGTTTTGCATGTGACTTACCGTATTCATTATTGTTCAATTTTTTATCGCTGCTGCTCACTATTATTCATTGACAATTTGGATTTTGTGAAACATCATTTTTGGCATAAAATATCGGAAATTTCAGGGGTTCTATAACAAATCAGAAAAACTCATAACAAGCAATTTGAAAAAAAAAAAACTCAAATTACTAATAACATTAACTTAAGTTAAGAACTGGTGTCTTACTTGGTTTTTCACCATACCCTCTTTTACTTCAATATTCTATCATTACCACGCTAATCTGGGACAGTGGTTTTCAACCAGGATATCGCCATCACAGTCCAGGGGTTCCACAAGTTTACATTCGAATCCGAGAGTCTATACTCTATATTATTATTTTGTTCAAAATATTCAAATTTGCGGTCAAGTGTATAATGAAATCATATCAAAAATGCGTTTCACTGGTGTTTCGGGGCATATGTTATGATAACCAATATAATCAATTTTACATGGGTTCCTCTAGCCCAGGGGTGGGCAAGGTTTTCGGACCGGCGGCCAAAAATTTTCCGCATCTAGATAATTGAAGACTCATTGGGCCGGATTTGGCCTGTGGGCCGTAGTGTGCCCATGTCTGCTCTAGCCTCTTGAACGTTTTATCGGGGTTTCGCTTCACTTAAAAGGCTGAAAAACACTGTTCTAGGCATACAGACGACAAACCTAATGCCACAAATTGCCATCTTATGTATCTATGTTCAGAAACTTGTGAAGCAATTCCTCTAGATGAGTTTGGTACATGGTCATCACCATCTTGCCATTTAAATCATTATTCATCGCTTGGATTTTGCAATTTGACTTGTCACACTGGAACTGTTGTGGGAAAAGCTTCAATAACTTGTTCAGCAGATGGAGAATGGAGTGAATATCCTGGAAGATGTATTGGTATGTTGAATTTGTTTGTGATATTGTTATGTAAGTGTGCTGTAAATATGAAAAGACGTAATAAAATTCTATCATCACAGGATGGATGGATTTCCTATTGGGTCATCTGCAACACGTATATTTCAACTAATTAATGTAATTTATCGAGTACAGTGTAATGTATTAATGTATTATGTATGGAAAATGAATTTCATAATGCATGAAAAAAGAGATTTGTCTTGATTTTTTTTTATTTTTACACTGTCATAGTGAAGTATATTACCTTTTACATTCAATAATACATAATTGAATCCAATAATACATAATTTCACATTTTTTGAATTATTATACTTTATTGAATGTTCCTGCGTGCAATTTTACTTTCTTCTGTTAGTATATTGTGTTAGAACAAAAACGGAACGACAGATTGTTTATCCAAATTTAAGCAACATAACAAAGTGTAGATTTTACATTACAAATTTACCAAGTTTGTAGCAATGTGAGAATATGAAATAGGTTCTGTTCATCTATTTATATTTCAAGCATTTTTGCATACCTGCTAATGAAAATCACTTCTACTTTTAATGTATCACAGAACATTGTCGTGCACTCTCTGCTCCATCTGGTGGATCAATGGAAAGCAAAACTTCTTGCGGTGATGGCACTGCAACTGTGAATACGACTTGTGAGTTCTCATGTGATGTCGGAAAAGGTCTAATCGGATCTAGAATATTGAAGTGTGAAACTGGCGGCCTTTGGTCTGATGGAGACGCAGAACCAACATGTCAAAGTAAGTGTTAGTTAGTTTAACACTGCACATAACATTTACTGCACACTTTATATTGATTGTTGCACTGCAAAAGGTTGAAAACGACTAAATAACTAAATTGAAGTTTGAATTTAAAATAATCTCTACTATACTCCATTGCACATGTCCCAATTTAGGATATATTTGATATATATATGTTTGAAAATATTATTTCCGACTTTTTTTAGAATGATATATTTTTTGTTTGGGATTCTCTGGCTTCCAAGTTTGTATATTGTGGTAGATACTCATCGGCAAGAGGATTGCTGTATTCTTTGTTACCGATGGGTGTTTCATGTTACTGCTGGTTGGTTATGAATTCCCCCATCATCAAGTCCATGCATCCGAAACGGCTGACTGGTTAAATATTCCCATACTTGACATGGTCCTGTAACTAAATCAAATGCTGTGGCTCGCCATTATTTTTTCACTTTGCTATTCCCAAAAATAAATAGAAAAACCTTACCTTTAGCCTTGCATACTCGACCAATATACTGAAGTCCTCATTTTTAATATTCAATAGAGCAGGACTTTCCAAACTTTTGGGCTCGAGCCCTCTTTCAATATTATATTGTCTTCCGCGACTCCTGTTAATTCGGCATGGTTATGTGCGCAAGCCACTTCTCTGATCCTACATATTCTCTGGGCTGGGACTCTATGTCTTTTACTAGTTTTAATAAATGTGTTTCGAATCAAAAGTCTAAAAATGTACAATAGATATACAATTTGGTTGAAATTGGTGAAGTCTTCATGACCCCTAAAATTCGTTGCGCCGCCCCCTGTAGGGTCATGACCCCCCAGTTTGGGAAGCCCTGGAATAGATAGAGTATATTACACAATTTGTATTGGAATTCAGATGAACAGCAGTATATTATTGCACAATTTTGGGATGATCATTTTATATGCTTGAGTGTTACTAATGATGGAAAAGTACAGAAGATAGACAACATTGATGACTCGTGTGAAGAAAAGAATGCCAGATGGGCAATCGATGAAGATAGAATTATGAGTGGTTTTGCAAGAACTTGCTTGACTGCTAATGAATCTTCTACTCTTCTGCATGTGGGTATACTTATAAATTGATGTAATTTAAAAAATTACAGACCTTGCAAACCAATGTTATTTGTAATTGAGTTTTTAAAATGATTAATAATTGAATTCAGTTCTATAGGATTAATATAAGGTTGAATTGTTATATCTTGTGACTGTGGAGTCGAATTCAAAAAATTTTGATACTTTGGAAATAAAGTAGAAATTTGTGATTTTATACGATGAGGAAAAAAAAAAAAATGAAGCATGAATTTCCTACATGCTATGTTTCTTTGTATAGCTGGAAGAATGTGATTCCTCAAACACAAATCAGGATTTTGGCACGGCATTTGGACATGCTATTGAATTAATCGGTGGTAATAGATATTTAACTTCAGGATATAGGACTATTGATCAACCTCAATTAACGGATTTTCACAGAGGACTTGGAGACCCTACTTTCCAATGGCAGTGAGTCTAACAAAACTAATTTCTATAGAAACTAAAGAATTTGGTATTCTAATAACAAAATTTAGTGCAACAATATCTGAAATATGAATAGACAATTTACTAATGTTATGTACACTGACTATCATCACCTTATACTTGTAAAATACATTCAATATACTGTCCTGTTTTAATTTAATTTTAACAATGTAAAAGCATGTAAAAATCTCTGTATTTCTATAAAACGCTTGTCCAATGCAAAACTAAAATAAACTATAAATTTGGTTAATCTAAAATATAATTTAACATTAGATTAACCTAAATCCTTCAGACGTTAAGCATAAATAAACCTTGAGTTAAGTGTTTTTCTTGAAAACATAAATAGAAACGTAATTCATGTACTTGTTGTGATCATTTAGATTTTACGATGCTGCGAGTGGACTTTCGTCAACAAGTGGTAGCTTGTATTCAATAAAAAATTCTGGCAAATGTAAGCCAGAATTGGCATCAGTACTTCAAGTCTCTGTCACACCTGCATCATGTAATTCTGGCCCCCAGGTTTGTGTTGATCTTCTCAAGCTGAAAACAAGTTGATTAAATTTAGTTTCAGGAATCTGTGGCATACTTCTATGTGTTCATAGCTCCATATGATAGAATTCGTTTCATAATCTTTTTTCTTCAAATTTTAACATAACCAAAATTATTGTTTGAACCATTGTGAAGTAGAATTATGTTAGAAAAAAAGGAATTTTTATCAAATAGGTAATACTTATACAAAACTATCTCAAATTAAAAAAAATAACAGTAACACAAGTCTTCAGTCATATCATAAAGCCTTTTCCGAAAATCTAAAACCATCTAACCCAGCGGTTCCCAAACTATGGGTCGCGACCCACTGATGGGTCGCAAAAGGAATCTTAATGGGTCGTGAAAAGATGTGGAAAGCTTTGATTAATTATACTGGGTATTAGGATCGGTGCCGACTCGAATACGTAAATCTTCAAAAAAAAACAGAAGAATTAAATTGAATTTAAATTCTAATCTCTGAAAGTTTCCTTTTTACGATCTTCTTGAAGGAACAAAATTTGCTACATGAATAATGACAATATGAATTTTTTACGCATAGCAGTTTTGTACACTGTACAGCACTTCTTACCGTGTTTCCCCGAAATTCAGACAGGATTTAGATTTATTTTGAAGAATAACACTGGTTTTCTTTAGAAGAGGCCTTTTAGGTTCATTTATCAAAAATAAAATTACATTGTAGAAAATCACGAGATGAACATTATATAAAAACCGACATCCATTGTTTTTATTTGTATTTTATATACAAAAATCAAGTGACAAATATCATAATTGTGATTGTGACATCACACAATCTTGAATAGTGGTGTGATCTTCACATTACCTCAGGTAATTGAACCTTTCCTCTCTCACACATTTTAAATTTATTTTATTGGTAGGGTTTAATTAAAATCATTTTAAAAATTCGAATTAGGTCTTATTTGCAAGCCAGGTCTTATTTTCAAGGAAAAACGGTAGTTTTCAATAATTAGGCATTGCTGTGTTATGTCAATTTGTTTCCTCAATGTTTTATTAATTTATTAAAGTTAAATGGGTCGCCATAGGCTGTCGTAATAAATAGTGGGTTGCAACTCTAAAAAGTTTGGGGGCTCCCGAAGTATGCGAACCAAGATGGCGGACATCGGAATGTAATATGTGTACTAGGTTAGGGTTAGGCCATAATTTTAGGTATAAATACTACGGGAGGCTCTTGGCTAGTCTTCGAACTAATAATAGGACTAAAATAAGGAAAATTGGAAAGAAATTATCGCCTAACCCTAACCTGTTACCCATGTTACGTTCCGATGTCCGCCATCTTGGTTCGCATACTTCGGGAGCACCAAAGTTTGGAAACCACTGATTTAACCAGTTAAAAAACAAATCCTGAAATAAAACAAAACGATTCTAATTAAACCTTGCACACTCAAGGATTATGAATTGATAATAAAATAAGGGCTGAAGCGCATTTCTTGTAACGTAGTCTGCGATTGGACATTTCAGAAGATAGCATAGCCTCGTAAATACACCAAATGTCTTGAAATTATGCATGCGACTATAAAACAGAATATATTATGGTTTTCAGAATGCTGGGACAACATGTACTTTGAGTTGTAGTGCTGGTTCTGCTCTCAGTGACAATTCACAAAGCACTGCTACATGTACGAGTGGAGTTTGGGATGTTGATGCCAATTTACATTGTGCTAAGACCTCTCCCACTCAATGTTTTGCTCTTGCCACTGACCCATCTTGGGATATCACCATCACCCCGAGTGATTGTACGTCATCACAAAAAAATCCAGGAGAAAAATGTGAAATCGAATGCAAGAATTCTACAGCTAAGCATCTGGATGGACCATCATCTGTGATGTGTCTGGAAACTGGAAGGTATGGCCGTGAGTTTAAACAGTCTTCATGCAACAACGGTAGGCGTGCTTTGCTCTTGTCCACCAACTCACACAGGTTATAATAAATTGGCAGATTGAACCAGAAAGATTCTGCATCTTCCTGAAATTGTCATTCTTTACATATCACTTCCAATTTGTACACAAGCTTATACAAGACAAGACCTCTTATTGCTCAGTTTCGAAAATCCGATATATACCAATTTCAACCCTCAATAATTTTTCAAAAAAAACTTTTTGCACAAAATGAAATTTTGGATTTATATTTTGCTTCCTATCTGTTAATAATAATCACAATTTTCATTTTGACTTCTGAATCTGATTCTCCATGGTGAAGTACTATATGAACTATATTTTGTGATTTTGAATTGTTGTGTATCATTTTGCTATTCCAGATTTACGTCTTACTTAACAAGTCCAATTACAACTAAGCTAGAATAAAAAAAATTGAGAAGCAGTTGGTGTAGAATCAGCAATACCATACAACGTTTTTTGGAAACAAAGTGGATATGTGGATTGTATTGCTTATTTGTTGTTGTCATATTTGGGGTGGTTATTGTTGTTCACTTTACCATTAGCATATTAGTCCTTCGTGTCCATATGTTGCAGCATTGCTCTTTTGTTTTTTCAGATGGTCTTATCAATTTGCACCAGTGTGCAAACCACGATGTCCCAGGCTTACCCTACCAGAGAATTCCTATCTGATTACAACAGATGCTTTGAAATGTTTGGGTGCAAGTGGTATGATGTCTGAACCAGGCACCATATGCACCCTAGGATGTGAAACGGAATACCAGTTGGTTGGCCAATCTATATTAACTTGCACAGATGATGGAACATGGAGCAGTGAACCACCTAAATGTGAACAAATGTAAATTTTATTCTTCTCTCATAATTGTAATGGTTGAGTGTGGAGTGGGTAAAAATTTAAAACTGACATGGAATTCAAATAAGTCTTTCGAAGATGGAGTTTGGGTTGTGAAAAAATTTCCAACTTCAAGTTGGGAGACTTTTTACTGTAGACTACAACTTCCAGAAAAATAAAATTTGATGATGGAAGCTTTTATATACCGTTTGCACACTTTATATCATTATTTTCCAAACTGCTTAGTCAATTTGAGTTTCTATTAAAAGTTTTGACTTTTGAATATCACCTTCAAAAGCATGATTTAGAAAAATTTAAAATTTTAAATCTATTGTATATCCTCGCATATAAACCAGGTTTACAACTCAAAAAAAGCTAAAATAAGGGGTCGCTTTATACGCTGATCGCAATAAAATTCCGCTTATACTCGCATAACTCTGATCGCACTCAAACGTTAATCGCATGCAAAGAAACATTATGCTAACTTAATTCCAACAGCTACAATCGAACCATGCTAAGCTCTCATGATAAGAGCGTGTGCGCTTTTGACTTCAGAATTTTAAAAGGGTGACTATGGACCCAGCCTCTAATATCAATATATACATACCAAATTTATGCCTGAAAATTTTGTTGGTTTCTAAAAAAAAATTATCTTATATTTTCTCACAGGTGTCAGGATTTGAGTGGTATAGAACATTCTTCTTTAGTACATTGCACTAAATCCAAAATTCATGACAAATATCCAAGCGGTGTTTATTGTGAAATTGTATGTGACCAAGGATACCATCTTGGTTTATCATCTGCGGGTGTATCATGCCAAGCTGATGGTTCATGGATTTTTATGGGTATGGGAACGATGGAGTGTCAGGAGAAATGTCCAACTATTGTTGAGAAAGATGGACTTGTGGTAAGATTTGTTGATTTTAATTTGTTTCGACTTCTTTTAATGTTATCAATCATGACTAAAGTGTTACTATAAATTGTTTGGTGTATGGTATAAATTGTTGTATACGGTGACCCCAAAAAAGGAACCCAGTCCATTTGGAACATATTGTATGGGTTCCGATTTTTAGGTCACCCTGCAGTTGCAAAAAATTCTCCTCCAACCAATCAAGGTTAAATTTTCGGTACTCAGAGATGCAAAAAATTTTTGTGCAATATTTTTTTTTTTTTCTGTAATTCAGTGCCTGATTAAATTTTCCTTATTTTATAATTCATCGACACTAATTTTTTTTGCAATTCTTTTAACATTGAGTAGCAGTTTTCCTGATATTGCGGTGGTCATTTTAATAATTTGACCTTCTTTTATTTGAGCATTTTCTCTTATTTTTTTTATATCCGAAGATGCTGTATTGATCACCGATGGATAGTTTTGATTATTCAATTTTACAAACCAAATTTTTTAACTGATAGTGAAAGTGATTACAATCTTTGTTGAAGGTTGTTCTGGTCGATTTGAATCGCTCTCGATCATCTTTTTTTCCCTGCCTTTTGCTGTGTCAATCACAGACAAAACGTGACTGAAGCATCAAATGATTTTAAAAAAGACACGCAACCAGCTAAATTTGTATATTTTATAGGTAAGTCCAGTCATGTGTGCTTTGGAAGCAGCCGTTGTGGGAACAGAATGTACATTCTCTTGCCAAGGAGCTGGTTATGGACTTGAATATTCTTTTGATGAAGATGTTGAACGTGGTATTGGCTCTGTAAAAAGGACTTGCATGGAAGACAAGTCGTGGTCAGGCCCAGTAGTTACCTGCAGTAAGAGATGTCCTGCATTACCAAAAATAGGTCAGTCTGATAAGATATTGTTTTCAAATTATATGTTTTACATGTCAAAGTTCAAGCTGTAGTGAGTAATCAATGAATCAATGAAGGTATCAATGAATTATGCTTCTAATAAAAATTTAGAACATTTCTTACCATTATTTATGATTATTATTAATTGCTATTCATCTTTTCAATACTTTATGATGGAAGAAATTGCTATTATGAATTCTCAAAATTCAAGGGGAACACTTTTTATTCCGCAATACTCGACCGCCTCCATGTTGCTTGTCTGTGATATTTTCAGCAAAAACGATGCTTTCAGGCCTTATCATACCGAAGAGACATCTTCCATATATTTGAGCATTGTTCACTTGTCTTATTTCAGCTCTTTTTAGTGCATCAATATTGTCAAGATATATTTTGACACTAACATATTTGTATTTTTCACAGAAACTGACAACAGTGGCTTTTATAGTCCATCGGAATGCAATAATCTACTTATCAAACCCGGTACCAAATGCAAACTTTTGTGCCAAGGGGATGATGCTGTTTATGGAGGTCAGGATACTTTGACTTGTGGACCTGGTGGTCAATGGACTCCGGGAGATACATTCGGTACTTGTTCGCCTGCATGTGGAGCCCTGCCAACACCATCGCATGCAACTATTCTTCCGAGAAAATGCACTGAAGGTTTTGTGGAAGCAGGTATAGTGTTACTTGAATCCAAATTAATGTTAAATCTAATAATTTACTATTTCAAAATATGTTCTAAAGTAATGTTATTGAATACATCATAAACTTGTCCTTATTCATTTATTCATGGAATTTATTAATTCAAGACAGTTACGAAATAAATGATATTCTAAATCAATTGTTTCGATGGTCATCACATGTTAATTGCCCAAAATGACAAGTTTCCAAATGAGATTATTTTAGACTAATCCCCAAAATCAAGGAATCACGTTTTACTGTTTTTGAATATTCGATTCGTTTTGGACATCTCTGTCAACAATATTATATATTTCTATTAGTAACTTTTGCATTTAGGTACTCAATGTGCTATTGTTTGCCCTGAATACATGGAGAGATTAGGATCTGGTTTCAGAGAATGTTTGGGTTCTCCTGATGCGTTTACTGGATCACGTTGGTCGGGTGACTTAGAGCCAACCCGTTGTGTTGCAAGGTGTCCTCCAATATCTCCAAATTTGGGTAGTTATGTTTTCCCAAATGATTGTGCCCACAGGTATGTTAATTGTATGATTAGAAGCAATCCTAAATGCCCAATATTTTACGATGTATTAAAATCAATTTTTAGATCAAAAATTGAAGGTGATATGTGCACTTTCGAATGTACTCCAGGATATTCATTGTCAGGAATTGGAGCTTTGCAGTGTACGGCAGCTGGAACATGGAGCGAAAGTGTTCCCACATGCTTCCGGCCTTGTCCACCGATAACGGTATTCACCTAATACTTACATTCATTATTTTTCTAATAACTTATAGGGATGGGACGAGTCCGGCATTAGAGAGATTTGACGAATTCGAGTAATAGGTCAAGGAATCGAATCGAATCCTCCGAGTGTGTGACGTACTGACGTCACAATGAAAAAGTAGAAAAACATGTTTTTGACAATACTACAGCATCGCGCGCTCACAAACATACGACGTAGCTCATATTTTTTGCCTAATGGTTCCTCAGATAGCTGTTGAATTAATTTAAAAATATATTTTTCGTTTTTTTTTTGGCTGCCATAATACAAGCGTAAACGTGGGTCAATGTGCGCCATAGCTGTGAACTGGATTTCCAGCCCACCACCTTGCGTCAATTCTGGGCGGCTATTTAGAAATTCTTACATGTCAAAGAGAAAAACAAAAAGTTTTTGACTACAATGCTTTCCCATAATTCCAGATATTTCTAACCTTAAATTTACTATGTCGCGTGTGCAAATGGTAGAGAGATGCCACTCGTCGTCAATACAATGCTTGCAATTTAGTAGTTCATGTAAACGTTCTAAACGCTCCATGCTTTCCATTGCTCCTTTTTTTAGAGAAAGGATTGCACATAATAAACTCGATTAAAAAGAGGTATTGATGAGATTCCCCCTTGGGTTGATTCTGCGCATGTCATATTTATTACGCGAATCGAAAACTCAAAAATATTGCGCTAACACATATTTTATAGTGTACCACATGTATACCAAAAAGGATAGATAGTTTGAAGGCGACTGGCGCATCATTGTTATAAGCTATCAATAGTTTTTACCTTGCGTTATATTATCTGGATATCTGTCGTCGTTTTTATTAGGAGTGTTTATAATACACACGAGTGATATTATTAAATATCTAACCTTGAATTTCAACTAGTTAAGGTATGTAGTGAGATTTATGGGGGTAAAAGTAAAAACATAGGCGTAAATTAGTAAAAACAGAATTGATTATAGACTCGGTAAAAACGACGTGGACTCGAAGTCGATTCCGAGTCCAAAAAATGCCTGGATTCGACTCGAATCCGAGTCCGGACCGAATCCCGGCCCTTCCCTAATAACTTATGTAGGTAAAATGACACACAACCTGTGGGAAATTTGGGATACAGAAAAACATATACCGTACATATATTTCATTTTATAAGGTTGATAATGGAGACTTACACTGTGATACAACATCTGGTTCTTCGTCTTATGGATATGGATTTGTTTACAAGCCTGGAACTAAGTGTTTTTATTCATGCAACGCTGGTACGAAATTATTTTATTGCAATGAACATTTTTATCCAAAATAAATTGAAACAAAATTCAATAAATCTGATTTTCAGGTCATACTGCATATGAACAAAACGAAATAGCTTGTGACAAAGACGGAATTTGGAATCCAGCACCATTTTGCTCTCCTGTATCAGATACCTTCCCTATTATACAAAAGATCGGTGAAGTTACTGTATGTTTACAAGCATCTAAACTGGGAACTGATGGATCAATAGATGGTTCCGAATGGCATTTATCAACAACTAACAACTCAAATGCTGGTTGTGAGGCCGCAGGAAACAACGCTATGTACGTATTATCAGGAATGGATAAAATATTGGAATAATTTCAAATTCTGTTATGTTTGATATTGTAAATTACAGATTTAAAAAAGAATTTAGAATTCTTTCATTCGACAAATGTGATTGTTATTACAGTGGTGTCAGACTTAACCATGATGACATCGAAGGGTAAAATCTCGGGTTCAAATCCCGTGCTCACCACCTTACCAAGAGTATAATAAATAGGGTAGGCAATGCCGAATCAGAGACATTTTCGTCTTCCCAACCCTACAGCAAGCAGTGGCGTCTTATGCAGAGCCTTGTTCATAGCAGACGTTGAATAAAAATTTTGTATAAAAGCTGATAGAATACTATTCAATTTTCTATATTGAGTATCGCCCAGTTTATAATATATTCGATATGCCATATTCCAAAATATCAAAATGTCCCAAGTATAGTAAATTATTCTCTGGTAGGCTGATAATATTCACTCTAAATCAGGGGTCTCAAACTCAATTTACCTGGGGGCCACCGAGACAGAGGCTCAGTATGTCCGGGCCGCATCAGGTTTTTCACAATAAAGGCATTAAACTTAAAAAGTTAATCTTTTTCTCTATTTTTCTATTCGCGAAACATGTCAGAAACGTAAATGTAAGTAATTCCGCGATGAACCTTATCCCGAGCATCTACTTCCTTGTTTATTCCGTAACATTGGCTAATCAGTAATCAGCAAGATGCAAAAAGTGACGTAACAATAGACTTTTTCGCAAACGCTCAGACGCTTGTCATTCAGAAAGATTTTCAGGCATGTTTGTAAACATTACTTCGTTTTTGCATGCTATTTGTTAGTTTTGGGTTGTGTTTAAGAAATTCAAGTATGAATCGAAGAACTCAATGATCATTCTGATTTATTGGGCGTCGTAGCCTAATTGCAGTAATCAAAAATTAGTCTAGAAATAGCTGTGATAAACTAGGCTAAATTTCTCTACCGGTACTGTTGAAAAACAGGTTGTTGAATGTTTTGAATCAAAATGATGACGTGAAACTTATACCTCAGTTTAACTTTATAGGCTTCAACTCGCGAAGCCACCTCTAAAATAAGCATCAAGAATTTACAATGCTAAAGTATAAAAAAAATTTCTTCAGGGTCAAAGGTCCATCGAATATCATGCCCACAGGTACGGTACTAGTAGGTTATCGTACCGCATATGCCTTTCGGGGGATAGATTATAAAATATTTTATTTTGCTCTACTTGTCCTGATCATATATTAAAAGAATCAATCATTCTAACTGAGCTGAGTGACTTACAGGCCGCAATACCATGAAACTTTCATACCAAGGCGGGGGCCCCAAACTATTGTCCTGTGGGCCGCAATTGGCCTGCGGGCCGCGAGTTTGAGACCCCTGCTCTAAATGAATATATATTTTGCAGTTTTTCTGTAATAATTTCCTGAATAATTATATCTTGATCGACCCTTATTTTTTCATGCAGGTGGTTCTGGTATAATTCACTCAATATCAAACATGCAGAGACTGGTTTATGTTTAACTGCTGAATCTGCTTTAATTGATGCATCTTTACTGCTGCAACGATGTGATGTCACAAACAAATTACAGCACTGGGACTGTGACTCAGAACATCCATATAGATTCATATTGAAGGTGAATAACTCATGTTATACTCGCTCACATCATCAAAAACGATTATTATTGTATTTTAGCTTTGTACATGAATTAAAGTAGGATTTGTTTTAGATTTACCCTTTTTATTTGATCTTTTTTGTAATGATTTTGGGAGTTGAATCAATCATTGTCTAGTGGTAAGAGCGTTGAACCTAACCAGGTTGACCTCTCAGACTCGCGGGTTGATATTCTATGGCAGGGGTGTGAAATCTGTGGCCCGCCAAATGCGGCCCACAAGGAAAATTATGCGACCCGCGGAGAAGTGTCGATTTTGAATGGTGTGCCCGTGAAACGAGTTTTTAGTTTAGTTAATCTGGTTTGTGCGAGCAATTCCAATCCATTTGCGTTGCAAAGGTTATTCCTATACCAGTTTCACTGTAATATCAGAAAAACTAGCTATCAAAATCCTGTTGCAAGATACACCATGTTATAAAAACGTGTTACTCACTGAATTCGTTTAAAGTCGGTGTGACAATAAATTTGAATAGCAGTTTTCTTCAGAAATTTATGCCTTTAACTCATCATTTCTGCAAGGACCCTGATAATGCCGTAAGATCAATAACAAAAAATATTTGTGCGTGCATCTGCTAAAAAGGATATCTTAAATAAAGGTGCAGCCAGCGACTTCACTAAGTAACTTGTATCTGGCCCTCATGTAATAAAGGTTGCACACCCCTGATCTATGGTTTACGCAGGGTGTAGTAAAAAGTAGTACCGGTAAATAAATCCTGAAAATATTATGTTTTCAATCTAATGGTGTCAACGGATGCGTTCACATTGTCTTGTTCAAAATGAGGACTTGAAATATAAGCATCATCAAAAATATTAACAATCCGACATGGGTATATGCCAATTTCATTGCATCTTGTTTGTTGCAATGGACTGTAGTTAATAACATACTTACCATAAACTTAATCCACTATTTTTTGATAGATAGTTGCACCTTTTAAAAAAAGTGAGAGAAAACATGGTATCAAGACTAAAAATATTTTATTACCACCTACTACACTTCAATATTAGCAACTTGTTTTTGTAGGACACTCCCTTGAGTATTGATACAATGTACAAGGAATTGGGACCTGTTTTACAAAGCAAAACACATGCAGAGACATATTGGATTACATTCAATTCAGTTTTGGAAACGACCGGCACTGTCTGTTCTAATAAAGCAGTAAGATATTCTTTCAATAATGCTAAAAACTTTTTGTGCAATGCATCACACTTCTACAAATTTGATTTTGTGACGATGTTATTACAACAATGCCCATTTTTTCTTCTATTTTAGGTTGGGGCTTGCCCTCCTATCAGGAAAAGATTCATGAAGTTAGTTCCTGAAATTTGTACTACTGATGATGTTATGATCTGGCAACAATGTGCTGCATCTTGTGAAGATGGAAGTTTGTTTGATGGTAAGTTGTTTTAATCGAATGTTTGACATATATGTAACTATTTTGAAACATAATTGAGTAATATAGAAAGTTTTAATAGAATTGAAATGATTTTATTGCTGTATGAACATGTACCTTACTATTTGAATATTTCAACTCAAGTGTCTTGGGTTTAAATCTCGTTCACACCACCTCCAATCATTTGGTGAACTACTCTGCTTATGCAGTTACCAGTCCAGTTCAGATGTAGGAATAGTTAGCAAAGTTGAATGTTATGTATTGTAGATGGAATCATATTCGGCCATTAATAAATTTAAATTTCTGCAATGCTAGGAGCCATGTAGGCATCTTTTATATAATAATTCATCATTATATTCGAACATGGGAACGCCATCCTATTAAGAATGAGGAGCTGCAAGTTGAGGAAAATGTTCTTTGTCACCTTAATTGTCCTGTTTGCACTCAAAACAATCCAACGAAAATTGTTTTCTTCAAACTGTTTTCACTATATAGGTGCAACTGATATTGTTGAATGCCAACCTACTGGCGAGTGGGAAAATTTAGAGAAAATACATTGCAGAAGAAATTGCCCTGTTTTACCTAAAGTCGAACACGGAAAATTCGATCAAGAAAGGTCAGAAAACTAATACATAATTTTACTTTTTCACATCTTTTGATACTGTAGCATTAACTACATAATATGTTATTTTTTGTTTCTTTTTTATGAAGCATTCTTTTCTCATGTTCACTCTAAGCAAGGCCTTATACAAGCAGACACTTACTTATTTTTCAAGTCAAATTGATTATCGAACTTGGATGATGAAAAATATTGATGAAATTTATTATTTTTACTAACAGTTGCACAGAAGATGCGAGCATTCATCAGTCTATATGTTCTTTGTCTTGTGATGATGGCTACGTGCTTTCCACTGACGCATCGGAGTCACCATATGTGTGTGAGGATGGCATGTGGGTGGGAGATGAAGGTATCGTCAGGTGCATTGACAAATGTAAAGATCTTCCAGAAGCACCGGAGAATGGAAATATTTTATGTCGTGGAAAGGTGAGGCTTCACTTCATGATTTTATATGTACGATTACTCACAAGATTTCAGATTATTGACTTTATTATCCAAAATCTAGGTTTGCAATATTATTTGTGATGCTGGGTATAAAGTGAAAGGTAATTGGACAGGATTTGACTGCACAGAAGATCACATCATTCCTAACGACACATGCGTAGGTAAGAAATTTCAGTATAGCTGAATTGATATTTTTGGATTTATATTTAACGAGATATGTGTATATGACAAATTTTCCAAACCACAGACACAGGTTCGAAACCAGCCAGGGTTGATCAAACGAAAGGATAGCTGGACTTTTTATCACCGCGGCCAGTGTGGTCATGTAACCTCTGTTCAGTTCAGCTTTGCCTTCTTACACTACTTTCACACATCATTATTATTTTGAATTTTTTCTGAATAAGACTCTACACAAGTGGCCACTCATAGTAGGGATCTGCTATGTACTAAGACTGGGATTTTTCCTGTTCGCAGATGTATAACTAAATAATTTTTTTCGCTTCTTTTGAGCACCTGCAATACTGACATCATTAGGTCCTTAATTTTGGTCTGGTTTGCTGTTTCAATATATAGCCTGAACTAGGGATATCTCATTGACTTTCTGCATTTTTGACTATTTATGAAAATCCTAATTTAATTTTCTTCATTTCAGAGGAATATCATTTCCGCTTGCAACTACAAACAACAGTATTCTCGAAGACAATTGCAACATGCATGAAGGTATTCCGAGATTTGATTATCAAAGTACCATGCTTCTCTCCAGATCCCACACAATATTGGAAATGGCTTGACAGTGCTGAAGTCGTGGACGAAGATTATTCAATGTTGATGAGTATTGCTTCAGGTAGAGTTGGGCATTATGAAGAGAACTAGTGAATTATTTCAAAACTTCTTTTGCAAATTCGATTTTGCATTGGTAGTACGTTACAAGAACAAGTAGACACTATTACATGGGATTACATGGGAACAAGTTTTAAGTTTTTTTTGCATTCTCTATCCATCTGCTGTTCATTGGTTTCCAACATCTTTCAACACATCTTTACCTTGCTACACTAACATTTGCTTAACAACAAAGCGATTTTTCGTTATCGAATAAAAGTTATGTATAATGAAAGAAATGAATAAAATTATTTCAACTTACATTACAGTAGGGTAAATTTTAAAGCTTGTTCTCCATTTTTCAGGTTGAGTTTTGTTACCACTTCAAGTAACCTAATCTGCATACTTTTAAATAAGTCATAAGACTAAACCCAATATCTAAAGTTATGTAAAAAGATTAGTGAAAATCTTTAAAAAATAAGACAGTAAATACGGAAGTGTCTTAAGATCCAATGCAATGTCTTTTACCTTTTAAAGATTTATATTTTATTTTCATTGGATTTAGGTCTGTGCATGGCTGCATCATCGGACAGTGAATTTGCTCAAATAATATTAAAACCTTGTGATGAAACAGATGAATTACAACAATGGACTTGCCACAATCATTTATTCCCTGGAAGATTTGGACTTGTTTCAGATGCTAAGTAAATGTTTTGTTATGTTTTAACTATGTTCATTATCATAGGCGAATCATCAAAAATGTGTTTTCAAGTGAATTGTGAAAAATAGGGGAATTTATTGTTATGCTGTGTAGTTTCTATTTTGTTGAATTTTATGTGAAATACATTAAACTTTCAACCTATTCGATATTTTTAACTTTCTAAATAGAGTTTATATCACCAAAATTATGATATTTGCTGATTTTACTGAAATTTACTCCTGTTGCAAAGTCATTATTCCTCATTTGCTATGGTTTCGTCACCTTAAGGATTTAACCAAATTTACATGATACCGGTACTAACTCTAGCTTACCAAACTATTACACAAAAATCACACAAACATTCTATTTCAGTACATATGTTGATGCTGGTTATATCACAGAGAATAGTCCCCCCCTATTGAGAAAAGATACGGCTCATCTCAGGTCTGCAGACTGGCTGGCAATTGATACTAAAGAAAATGCAAGATATGCTTGTGGATCTCGTCGCATCGGTAAGTTATCTGTTTATTCAACTGTAATAAATTATGCTTGTTGTAATATAGAATTTAGTGAGACATATGATTACCGTAATTTTGAGAGCCAATATGAGCTGTTCATAATGTAAAGTTCATAGAAAAATAACAAAATAGCCACAACAATTGCTGTTACCATATCTGGACTATTTAAATTTTCATCAGTAACAGATTGGTTAGAATTATGCGAGCTTAGAATTAATCAAGCTCTTAATAGATGATACCTTATCATTAGAGATCAGAGTAGCAGATCAGAATTTTTGTTGTGTAGGTGCTTGTCCAGTTCTTCCAATTGGACCCTTCACTGCTGTGGAACCACTTGGTTGTAGTACATGGGATGGATTACCCATAGGCACAAAATGTAAAACGCATTGTTCAAATAGTGATTATGAATTAGCAAATGGAGAGAGTGAACATACTATCAGATGTCAGTCTACAGGTGCTTGGAATGAGGACTTACAGTTATGTGTTGCGAAGGTAGATTATATGTGATGTGAAATTATCATGTGTTTTTATGATTAGGTTGAATACCTCCAAGTGTCCTAGTTAGTATTTATATTGTTTCTGAGATAATTTAGTTTCTGTTACAATGGAGGTGGTATTGTTCAAAGAGATAGTAATTAGCTTGTCATCTCACTTCTGATTATGGGTTCGAAACCTGAGGGGACGTTCCCGCGGATTAAATAATAATACTTTTATTTTGTCGTTAAATATTCGCAACCGCAACTTACGTTGTACACAATTGAATTAATAGAACAAGACATTTAAATGCTCATATTGGTCATGAATTAAATGGTTTCCACAGCAGAAAAATCATTATCCACTGAAAAAGTTTTAAAGATTGACGTAATCATGGCAACTGGTTCAGAAGCTGTTGCATGGAAAATCCCGTTTTCGAACCCAACTCTTTTAAAAATTCAGGCTCTGCCCTGCCTACCAAGTATTGTAGTTCATCCAGGAGTGAAAAGTACTTCTCTCACCCACTACAATTTTCTAATAATTTACTCAAGAAAATTGACAGTTCACTAAACAGATTCAATTCCATCTCAGTCTTCAGCTACAGGTACTTGTGATGCATTCACTCTGAGTATTGGAATGCAAGTTTCTCCACAAAAATGTGCAGCTGGTAGTGGTGAAGAAATTCTGGCAGGAGAACTTTGTAAATTCTCATGTGATCCTGGATTCTATCTTAAAGGTGCAAAAGAAGTAATTTGCAAAAGCGGAGTCACATGGACAGCTCCTGAACCAGCTTGTGTTCGTAAGTATTATTTCTCAAACAACACCTTATGTATGACTATTATTCATACATAAAATTTGTTTAAAAAAAATTATACATACAGCTAGGGCTGTCCAAAATCGAATAATTTTTTGATTCGAATCGAATATTTTCACCGAATCGAACCGAATAATCGAATATTATTGCGCAATATTAAATCTGTCTCTATTATACAATAAACGCCTGCCCTTCGATGTTGTGGTAAGTAACGTATGTGCAGTTACATCCTACTTACTGCTGGTATTTTGCAATACAATGTTTTCAGATTTATGAAAGGAGATCACACGCTTGTATGGACTGGTCAAAAAAACTGGAGAACTCCAAAATTTGGGTCTCGAAAACTGTTGAGTGTTAAGAGTAAAAATTACACTATTCAAAAATTGCAATCTCAATTTTGATGGATTCAGTTTTAATAGGACATGTAAAGCCTGTAGATGCTAGTTTAATCCTATTCAGTAGTCTTATGTTTTTTTGTGTAAATTTCAGCAAAATAATAACAACCATCAATATAGATAAAACTGTTGCTCAAGTTCAAAATTGCATTCAAAAATTCCAAGCTAGTTTGATGACAATATTATTTGATGACTATAATATTGTTAGTGTACAACAGCCATCAAAATGCAAGAGTGCAATTATTTGTCTTGGTATATAGATGGATAATACAGTTATGCCATCATAAGAAATTACAAATTCCATTCAAAGAAGGTATTGCCATCATAAGGATCCCGAAACACCTATTTCAGCTTTGAGTTGCCTGTACCATGTTCTTATGATAACTAACTCAACAGCTTCAAATCGATTCTATTTATAGAACTATCGTTTTCTAAATTGTCTCCTTTTTCTCCTTGTTCTCTCTCAAAAACGCCATGACCGATTATACCTTGTTATGATGACCATGCATGAAATGGCTAATCACGTGCCACCGGGCGGGCATTAGTAATGACATGTTTATCACAAAATGAAGGCGAGAGAAATATCGGGAAACCAATTAAGCCGGGAGCGAGAGTGGTCTGAGCTCGGAGCGCCGCCGCTTGCCCGATGAAAAACATCCCGTAAAGGTGGTTTCCGCTTTATGTAATGGTACCTAATTTTAGCGATTAGAAAATTAGCCGAAAAACGATTCGAATAATTTGCGATTCGATTCGATTTCGAATATTTGGTTCGCTTGGACAGCCCTACATACAGCACAATATTCAAATAGTTCTCTCAGTTGATTTTTTGATTTTGAATCTGTTGATCAAGAATATTCAGTTTTGTGTAGTAATATTAGGATAGGTTAGGATTTTCATAATTATCTCAATGGAGAGGTAGGCTAGTAAGACCACTTGCCCACATATGGTAGACCAGGAGAACTTTTTCCATCTCACAGAAGTGGATGAATAATTTTTTAATAAGAAATAAAGCAACAATTCTCCTACTTGATTCAAACCTGCAAACATTTTCACGGTAATCATTATTGTGTTCGTATCACTTATAATAATGAAAGAAACATTAAAATCGCCATACCATATTAAAGTCGTCATGTTTAAACATTAACAATGGAACCATTAACTTGATTATTTTTGTTTCAGCTTTTTGCCCTGGTATTAAACCTGAGCTGGGAGTCAATGTAACTGATGCTGCTTGTGTGGGAGTGACTGCACCAGAAGGTACTGAATGTGAAATCGAATGTGCTGATGGTTTTGTACCAGCAGATGATTCTCCAACTTCCATAACAGCTACATGTAACAGCAAGGGAACTTGGAATAAACCATACATCAATTGTGAATGTAAGATATTTTGGTCTCAAACAAGTTATTTGCTTAAATTTTCCACTTTTTGTAAAAATATATTTTTTTAAAAAGCAAATATTTAAGAATTTTTAGGTGAAGTTTGTTATTTATGCAATGAAATGGATATTTTTCATGATTTTGGTTTAGTTCATCTGAATATTGCATTGATTACAAGCCTGACTTTGGACTATGACAGACGTCATAGTTATCACTCTCAGAGTTCGTGATAATGGAGTCACATTTTCTCTGAGTAATGAGTCTAAGCTCAAGTGGGAATTACGAATTTGTCAGAGTCAAAATTTCACCATTCTTATGAATTGTAATTAAAATTTTCAACAGAAACTAAAGAGTATTATGTTGAATAAACATTTTGAAGTGTCAGTTTTTAGAGTAGGCTTGCATAATTTAAAAAATATTCATAAAAAAAACTTTTTTTCATGGAGTAGGGAGTTCAAGGCGGAGTCTATATTTGCCTCAAGCTGAAACCAAATTTGAGGTCAGAATTTTTATCATTTGGGAGTCGTTGCTTCAATGGCTTGATTGGTATAAATTTTTCTCCACTCCATAGCTTGAATCTGAAAACCGATCTCCCAGTTATGGATATTCGTAAATCTCTTGTATAAATCATTCCAGATTCTTGTCCTCCACTTTCTGGTAATCCAAGTAATGCAACTCATATTGCTTCGGAACTTGAAGACCCTGATTTGTACAGAAGTACGGTGACATCTCTTAGTTGTGCAGAAGATCGTAGCCGTCTTAGATCGCTGTGTGAATTTTCATGCCCAGATGGAAATGTCACTGTGTTTGGAGAATCTGAAATAACTTGTAATGCTGGTGGGATATGGAGTGGTAGGACTCCAAGGTAATGTCATTTTGTAGTAATTTTATTTCAGCTGCATCATTCACAGATCACGGGTTCGAGTCCAGGGTAATCTAACAGTAATTCAAATGTGTCTATTAATTCACAGATATATTTTGATCCTTTTTAAAGTTATGAGCCTAATATCTACATTTGAATAATGTCTTGTGCAAAGCCTTGCGTAGAGTGAGATGTGACCATAAATAACATTCTGAAGATGATTTCATCGCTGTTCAGAAATCATGGGTTTAAACCTTAGTTGTTCTAACAGTGAACACAACCTAGCGACTAAATCACAGTAAAATATGGTTGTCTAGGCTGATATATACATATTTCTATCTATTCAAACTTTGTTAGCTTACTACCTTTTCGTGGTTTTTGCACAAGGCCTTGTTCAGAGAGATGACATGACTATAAATGACTTACTGAAAGTTGCACTCTCAGAGAGAGAGCATCCCTGAGTGCATCCCTGTCTAACACAGTTTTTTTAATATTGTACAGTTAAATACAATAGACATCAAATAAATCTTATATACCAAAATGTTCGAATACAGATGTGTGCCGGAATTCTACTGTCCTGAAGTCACTGAAACCGAATCAACAAAAGCAAATTACGATAATTTACTAGATGAGAAAGCCGTATTCCCAGGAACTGTTGTCAAGATTCATTGTGCTGAAGGTAGCTTAATTGTTTACATCTGTTTGTGCAAAGGCTGAGCGTTTTATTTGTCAATGTAATAACTTAATTCGAATTCACAATAAAAGTGTGTGGTTAACAATCACTCAAGTGTCTTGTATTAATCAATTTGTATTTATTAGCCAATCAGGCAAATAGGTAAAATGAAATATAAAATAAAAATAAAAAAAACAATACATGTTTTTGCCGGAAGGATAACTGCAAAATGGTGCATAGTTCACTTGTCAGCAGCATAGGATGTCTAAAAACAAATTAAGATAATACTGCAGTATAAACATATTATATTCAATATTTTATCCAATTCTTTGAACGCAATGCAATCATTTTTTCTACCTTGCTTGTTGGCTTTTTTATTTTTAAACATAGCATATGAAATAACTGATGGAAAATTGTTAAACACAAAACTAGGTATTTTTATAGAAGAGTGGGGAGGTAGTCAGCATTTCATTCAATTTGGTCAATTTGGGTTTGATGTTATTACTTTATTGTTCTTTCTTCATATTGGCATTCTTCTTTATATTTCCAAGGATTTATTCCTGATGGTGACGATGTTCGAAAATGTACGGTTGATGGTTTATGGAAAGGGGAAGGTCCCACTGTACCACAATGTGTGAAGAAATGTCCACCTCTTATCACACCATTTGCTACAGAAGTCGAGCCGAAGAGATGCACAACAGGGTAAGTAGGAAAGTTAATATTACCACACTGTTCATGTAATATGTCAAGTATTGTAAACTGAAATATGTGAGAAAACATGCTTAATTTGTAAATGGTTTCACCTGATTTTTATTCTTTCATGATTTATGACACAATGTTATATTATAATTATTAGGGATGTGAGTTTCGAATATTTTTTTTTCGAATCGAATTTTGAATCACAATGTTCCGATTCGAATATTTCCGAATCTGATTCTATTTAGTATATCATCATATTATTGTTAACTTTCCTCAAATTTGAAAGAAAAATAGTATGAATTTTGATAAAATAACAATAATGAGCTTGAAGAATTAAGAAAGTTACTAGAAAAACACACTGCATGGATGTATCAACTACCAAATATATTACGGCTAAGATATTTTTTTTTTACATGAAGGTATACTCAGTTACATGTTTACTAACATACAATTATGTTTGCAAATAATACCGTGTTTATAGCGATTGTTTCTTCTAAAATTGACCTTCAAAATTCATCCAAATTGTAATCACTAGTTAGTACAGTATGCGCCATGATTTCAAAAGAAGCAATGAAAACGAGGCAAGCATCGCAGACATACATGTTTTAATAAAGTTTGAAGCGATGATGTTTTATTTTAATAATATTATGTAGATAATTTGAAGAAACGTTCAAAATATTCGTGAAACTTTGTAACATTTTAAGTAGTCGAACAAAATTGAGCGAAACCAATGGTCCCTCGAAAGCTGTTACCAATATGAAATATAACGACTCTGGGAGTGTCACGGCTTTGGAAAGCTGTAAACGCAAGGATAATAAACGTTTTTGGTCGACCAATTCATCCAATTTATTTAACAATATATATTCTACATTTCTGAAGACTTGAATATTTAATTCTATCTATATCGCAGAATATAGATCAAAAACATCCTAGGAAAACAAATATATAATATTTCTATATCTAGACAACTATCCTGAGTTTAGCTGTTATCAAAACGTTGCTGTCATGAATTAGGAATGTTACAAAATCGGCTATTTCGCGCCAAAATAATGCACGCTTCACGTCTGCTAAGTACTGTTACGCTGTGTTGGAATACTGCTACTGCTAAAAACGACTACGGACTGCCTGCTATAGCTTGGAATTCCATGAAATTTTGACATAATTTAGATAAAATAAACAACATATCTGGTATTTTTTTTTTTTTAAGGGCATACATTTCTCAGCTTTCGACGCTTTTAAAAATTCGGCCTCCCCCCTTTTATACGTAGTGCAAATTAAACTATCATGCACAACTCCAGCGTTTATTTGCGACGATCTTTCGGCGATATCAATGACCGTTGCCAGAATAAAATCCCGAAATAGTCTCAATATTAGTGATTGACATGTGTTATTTTTTCATATTCATTACAGTTCTTATCAAAAAAGTAATACAATCCTTATGAAAATAATTGCCCTGTCGGGCGGTACTAAAATTCCGATATCTTGGTTATTTCTTGAACGTTTTTTATAAACTTGGTACTGTTTTCTATTTTCACTCAGATCTATCCACTGGCGCAGTTTTTATTTAAATCGGATGAACTTTAATTTTTTTTGTAGCATACTATATGAATATCCGCATTTGAGCAGTACAAAAGTTAGTGTGACTTATGAAATTGGAGCAGTACGCGAGGGATTATAGTACTGTTAGCGCAAAATGCACATTCAACATTTATTTTAGCACAAGAAACGTAAACAGTTTCGTCGAAAGCACGCGCCACGAGTGTACAAGTGCATCTTTCGCAGAAAACGTTGCGTACCGGTAGAGAATTTTAGCCTATTTTTTCACAGCTATTTCTAGACTAATTTTTTATTACTACTATTAAAACTACAACTCCTAAGGATGCAAATGATAGTTGACTTATTTGATTCATACTTAAATTTCCGAAACACAATCAAAAACTAACGAATAGCATTCAAAGTCGCAAAAACGAAGTATTGTTTACAACCACGACTGGAAATCTGTCAGGATGACAAAAGTTATCTGAGCTGAGATGCGAAGAGGCTTTTTATTACGTCACGTTTTTTTGCATCTTGCTGATTGGTCAATGTTACGAAATAAACAAGGAAAACGATGCTCGGGGAAATCTTCCCTGTAAAAAAATTTAGCCATTTTTGCGTGTTATTGCGGGCCGGATAAAATGATGCCGCGGGCCGTAGTTTGGTGACCTCTGCTCTAATGCGTAAAGAGCTCTATTTTAGGAGGGGTGATCTTTTTAGTTTAGCATTACCCATTTTATCACACTCTGAGGGATGTTTTGGCAAGGAATTCAAATTTAGGATCTTTACCCTACGATGGCAATATTGTAAGATTTATCATAACAACCATTAGGACGTTTTTGAGTTTTGGATGTCTCAATGTGTAAAACGAGAATATCGGTCGGAGACCGAAGACTTATTGATCGAAAGTTAGGGGATACCCCAAAACAGAAACTCCGGTTTTGATTCATCCGCTCTTACTCCATGGTGAAACTGTGTGTCCAATCGCTAATTAAATAATAACTCGCTAATTATACGACATGATTTATCCAAAATCAATAGGCTTCTGGTCCGAGATATGATGAATGCATATGCAAAATTTGGAGCAGATTCAACCTCGCTTTTGTGAGATATCGCGTGTATCTAACAGACAGACAGACAAACAGACAAATACCTATCAACATACTTATCGATCAAGATCGATAAGTAATTACTTGTATTGCTGATGAAATATGCCACTACACTACATAGTTTCTTGTCTTGACTTAAGACTCAACTATTGTTTTAAAAGTAAAGTACATAAGTTCCTGTTTATATGCTCTTTCCATGTTTTATTCAAGACTTGGCATTGACTATGACAACTAATCTTGTTTTTTCAAATCTATCAAGATGGGTTGAGGATGGTCTTGGTTGCTCTTATGTTTGTGCTGATGGAACAGTATTTGCGGATAGAGGAACAAATTTACGTGTTGAATGTAGCGATGGAGAATGGTCTCATCCTGCACCACAATGCTTAGTCAGAGATCCCAATGATATTGATAACTTGAATGGTATGGTTTTGTTTTAATGTTTTTTCAATACTATTATTTTTACGAAGCTTTTATTGGTATGGAACAGGTTTTCTCGCACTGGGACTTCGGCTAGCCAGGGGGGCCCATGACCGAAGGCCATCACAAGGTACAATTAGTGATGACTTGACTGTGACTGTGATTTAATCAAATCTTTGACCATAATGCATTTATTCTCCTACTTTCGGCTTTTTATCATTTAAGCATACAATTAAAATAACGGACGAAAACAAAACTATATTTTTCATTGAAGAGAAGGCAACAGAGTGTTGAATTGGCATAAAACAGTAACATGTTTATCATGGGTTAGAAATCCAATAAGGATCCATTATCAATACTATAATACTATATTATGGAACTGGAAATCGCCTTTTGCTGCTAATCAGTAATATTTCTAATATTCAGTATACAACGATGATGGTGGATTCTTGATAATAACTCGTACTCCTGAGAGTGGTTGTCTGCATGCAGGTAGTGATAATACTGTAAGATGGAGACCTGCAGCTGAATGTGACCCAAGACAAATGTCAAATCGGTTTGTAATATTTTCATGTTCAAGTTCAATTATAATTTTTCATTCAAAATTCCCTTGTTGTGGATGACTTGCAACCTTTTGATCATGATAGTGTGTGTAAATCAATTAGAATTCTACTTAACACTTAACTATTTAGCAATTATTAGAAATAAGCTCATTTTGTGGTTTACTTTGTGCCGTTTGTTGAATTTTAAAATTCTGTTTAAGTGTGTTTGAGCGCCCACTTCTGCATGGTGGTGTGATACATGGTCGATGTTTAGAATTTATATTTGTGTTATTTATAATGCTTTTTTATACTAGTTGGAAGTGGTACGACAGTCAGCAGCTCATGACTTTCCTTGGAGAATTATGCATGCAGGTAATCATATATCTCATATTATATATTTGGGCGCTGGCAATGTTCACATTTATCAAAAATCTTGAAAAGCCAAGTTGAGATGTGTTTGACATCTGTCATCAGCTTGTGTACATGGGAACTTGAATAAACAAATAATAGTCAAATGTTTAATAAACAATATTGTGACTTTCGTATCCTATCTTTTGTTAGTTTTCAATTTTTTTAGTCAACTATTATATTATATTACTCTTCCATTTTATATTATATTTCAGCCGGAAAATCCATTCAATCCTAATTCTACATTAATTGTCGGAAAATGCAACGCAACAGCTTCATTTGGTTGTGGAAATCCTAGAAGTCTTTATTTTAAGTTAGTTTTTTCTTCTCTTTCATGGTCATCTCAAACAAATTTTGTAGAATCAGAAATCGAATCAATTTCTCTTTTGTACTTTCTGTAAAGCATCTATGATTTTTTTATAAAGTGATTTGCTGTACAAAAATTTTTGATATGTAACAATATGAATCAAAAATCTTTGTATCATACTCTCTCATTTGAAGTTAATTAAATGACAAATGAAAAGTTTTTTTATATAATCAATAATCATTTTTCTTATTTCATGTTCACTGTTCAGGTACACAATGTATTCCTTCTCAAGTCCACAATGGAGATTAGCATTTACGACTCACCCTTATACTGGTAAATTTTGCTATTTCTAAACTATATTCACGAACAACTATAATGTACTATATCAAAGCACAGTAAATACAATAATTATGGAGAATAATTTTGTGCAGAAAGATTTTAGTATTTTGTCCGTACCACACCCATACATATAGGTGCTTCGTGCCACTTGTAAGCAACATGCTTGTCATTGCACCCATGGTCACCTCGTCCAGGTTTGAATTTTGTGAGAAATATTTATGTGTGAGAGAATTGTTGGACATCTCACTGTCTAAGGGTGATACATGTTATACGCCACGACTTCTTCCACCATCAATTCTGTTCATCTGAAACAAATAACGAGTAGTAACAAAATTCCCATACACGACATGGATTAAGCTTTATTATTGGCATTCCTATCCCTGGGATAAAATATGAAAATCCCATCTTCTCCCTGCATAAAAATTTGAATCCAATCCAATTTGGTTGTATTTAAAATAAATTTTTGTTAATTTGAGTTCTTTTGCATTTTTCCAATGTTACCACAGGTTTACCTTATGAGGTGTTCACTGTCAAAGCAGAAACAATATCACCGGATCTACCTAAAGATATTTACGAAGGCTTGAATGTATATGGAAATGGTATGTATGTAAATATATTTCATCAGTCAAATATTGGGAGTAGATTATGTGTGTGAGCCTATGTGAAATATATGTAGGCAAACTTATTTCTAATACTAATACTAAGTTTCAAATTTTTCCATTTTAAACCATTGTACCGTAAATCTTGTCTGATTATCACTATACAAAGTTGATTATAAATTTTTCAAATTAACATATAGTGATGAGTAAACACTTTTTATCTTTCATATCAACAATACTGTCCACAAAAGCAATTTTAATCACAGATAATAATTAGTCACATTTTTATTGAGCCTTTTTTGCGCCTTTACTCTGAACAAGGCTTTGTATAACCCAGTCAATAAGGGCTAAGAATATACTATTTTGGAAAAACCGAAATTTTCCAGTTCAACATTGCCTTCTCAATTCATTACACCATAGGTTCTTGAGGCGCTCCGTATGGTGCCCTATAAGAGAAACCTAGGGGCTTTTCATTAACTTATTAAAATACTGACTTGGCTGATTTTGTAACTGCCCAATCAATAACAATGAGCAAAATATGACAACTGTAATTCGAATATTTTCAAAACAGCAAAAGTGGAAAACAATAAGCCTTGTGCCAAAACTAAATTTATTCTCAATCTGAACAAATTCCTCGAGTTTTTTTTTTAGCTAAAACATCAGAATTTGGTTTTAGTTCAGTTGTTGCAGCATCAGGTGGGCCAGATTGTGTACTTATCAGGCGGGATTTGGCCCGCGGGACGTAGTTTGCCCATGCCAGCTTCTATGGTGAACATGTTCATCAAACCCAAGATCCTTAATGCTTCAACATCAACCATAATCAAAATGGTTAGACCAGGGTGGCGCAACCCAGCCTGCGGGCCACATATGGCCCGCCAATCTATTATCTGCGGCCCCTGTCGCATTTGCGGAAGAGTAAACAAAAATTCCCATTTGGTGTAGTTTCGCCATACCAGAAAATCCCACAATACTTGCTTGATATGCCTGTAAGTTGTGTTGGTGACAATCTAAAACGCATCTTCTCCCTGTGACACTTTCTCTGTTATGAAGAGTTTGAAATCTTACACTAGATGTAGATATAGTAAGATTTTTTCAGGTTTTAGGGAGTTTTGTAGTGGATTTTGCATGTTTTAGCTTGATAAATGACAAATAATGATCAAGTTTCTGGACAATAAAAATGTTTGTTTTATATTGCACTGTTTACCTATTATTGGCACTATTGTGGCCCGCGAACAATACAAAAATAATAGTGTGGCCCGCGAGGCCGACAACCTTAGACCACCCTGGGTTAGACCATTGCTCTCAATATGATTGAGATTCAGTTAAATAATGCTCTTTACATCTTTTTCAGTTGATGTTATGAGTCCACGAACCACTGACAAATCAGTTTGTGAATATATGTGTGGTGGGGCAGTTCATTTCGACAATGATTATAAACCGCATGTTATAACGTCACCAGGATTCATTCATAATCAAGAATATCCAGCAAATTCACATTGTAAATGGGATATATTCGGTAAATGATTTTATTTTCATGTCGTTCCATATCCTTTTTCATGTCATTGTCTTTCAACTGTCAGGTTCCTCCATCCTCAAGTTCATGTATCTAAAATGAATAACAAATTGACGATTCTTGTGACTGATCTAGACTGGTAACTGAACGAGATGCTATTGTTCAACAAATGATTAATATGTGTTATCAGGTTTCCTGGTTAAATATAAAAATTCTGTCTTATTTTATGATATTTGATATTTATATTTATAAATCAGTTAACTTTCTTCCTGTCAATAAACACGCAACAAAAAGCTACGACAACAGCCTTGCTAGAGATTCAACAACTGGCTAACGCTTATTTTAACTGAAAATTGTTATCAATTGATCAGCAGGATTTCGTTTGATTGTTCTTTGACTGAAACGGAAATATTTTCACATTTAATTAGCTGGTTTGAAATAAATTTTCACCTGCAACCTGCTTTTATCAGGTCATGGTAGAATTATTACTTTAACGCTTCAAGAACTTGATTTGAAAGGAGGAATTGCTTCTACTGAAGAATGTGTTTCCGATTGTTTAACAGTAAGTTTATTTGAATTTTGAAGTAGGTTTTTCCAAATACGGCAAAGTGTTCAATATACATACACTCGTAATATGTTCAAACACCCGTAATATTACATGTTGAAACAGCCAATACCTGATGTTATTGAAATAGTTATGTCAAAAACCGCATAAATGTAAAAAATATGGCAACAAGGAATAGTTTTTTTAATAGTTTCAATGAAAGTTGAAGCACTGATTAAACTAGTTGAGCAAACTGAATTTATCTCGATAGGATTCCAAGAAATTAAGTGCATATACTACTAATATAAATATGGTTGATATATTCAGTATAATAAATAGTACATCTATAATAAATCGCAATATTGTAAAATATATGGCAACAGTGTTTTAAGGTAATGGAAAGTAGGTATTGGATATGACAATGGTGATCATAATCAATTTATCAGTATAATACCACTCATGTTCAAATTCCACATTGCCTTCTAAATGTTTTCAATACCACTCAGATTTATGAAGGTGATGGTTATGATACCGTTTTATCTGAGAAAGTAGCCGTCTATTCTGGTGATGATATTCGAAGTCAACATCCTATTGTTATACGTTCTATTTCTCCTTTCCTTCATATCGAATTTGTATCTGATGGCACAAAACAAGGAAGAGGGTTTGCTTTGCAATATGTGGTCAGTATTATTTTTTTCAAATTTATAATTAATTTACCAGTAATGTAAATACAGTAGAAACTCTACCTACGAATTAATTCGTTCTGAAGGTCGTCCATAAGTGGGAAATTCTGTAAGTAGGTACGTATTCCATCTGTAAATGCCCTATCAATGCCGTAAATGCCGTTCCAATCCCACAAATTATAATAATGGTAAAACCTCTGCATATTATTAGATTACTGCATAATAAATACGAAAGGTACACATGGAAATAAGAAAAATCAGAGACATAACGAATAAAAACTACAATCGGTATGTACCTTTGAATACCATCATCTTAATCAAATGAGTGAAGCCGATTTCCAAAATTCCACTCGCCAATGATTGAGAATTAGGACCGGAAAATTTGTTTTCTCCTAATCGGCACTGATTTAAATATTTCGTAAGTTGGATTTTTTTGTATCCAGAGCCTTTCGTAGGTAGAGTTTCTACTGTTTAGCAGGAATATTCCGATGGCTCTGAACGCATCCTTAGGATATTTATCATTACCAGAATGATTGCAGTTTTGTTCGAAAGTTTGCCTAAAGCTATGTCACAGGAACCTTAACGAATGAACTTGCCCATGGATGAAATTATGCATTTAGATACTTCAAGTTATATGAGGGAGTGAGAACTCGGGTCATGAATTAGGGTGTCTGTTCAGGTCTATTATTTTGAAACCTGGGTTTCGAGTTTTTGCAATTTTTTTCAATATATTTCTTTCAGAATGATGCGTTTATTTTCTTAACATATATTAAAAATAACGAGCATGCATTAATACTTTTAATGAGTGTATTTAAACCTTATTTTACCGATCAAAGTGTATTAAAATGCTGCCCTAAATTGCAGCCCAATTCATCATTATTTTACATTCAAAACACTCGGCCTCTAGTTACGACAACGCACATTGGTATCTGGACCCGAACGCTACCTTCACAAACAAATTTTTTAAATTGGTAGTAATTTGAAGTCAGCAAGAATTGTCGGGGGTTATATTGTACTTTTTAACTCGGATTCTGCTTACAAAAAAAAACCTACCGGTAGGTTTCAAAAAAGCCTCAAAACCCAGCACGCTGTTCGTGAATGATGGTTGAAGTAATGTTTTTGACATTACTTCTGAATTATTATTTACTGTTGAAATAAGATTTTTATCTCCACGATTCCCATGTTAGAGTGTTTTGCTTATATAATTTATTGTGCTACAATTTAGAAAACATAACCTCAAATTTATTTAATTCTGGGAATTCTAAGTTGAAAATTGACATTAATTTTATTTTTTATTTTAGTTCGAAGATCTACCTTCCCCACAAGGTATATGTGGACATCGTGAAAAATATGAAAATGATATTAGCTCTGAAGGAACTACAGAAGTAAGACCGGGACTACGTGGCAATAGTGCGAACATTGAAAAATGGCCATGGCTTGTCTCTATAAGAGAGAAATATTGGGGCAGTTCGAAGGTTAGATTCCAATCTATTTATCAACATATGGTGTAGGATGATTATGTAAAAATATGAATGCCCAATATTTTTATACTTGCCATATGTTATTATTTCAATGTGGTGTGTGGAACAGTATAGTCCTAAGTTGATATGGATTTGCCGGAATAATCAGATGAATCCATTTATTCGAAAAAATTATCCATAGCGCGATACATTCATGACTAATCAATTCCATGTATTTGATGTCTTGCTACCATAATTTTATTTCTACAATAGGGTGATGAGTCAATATGAATATTTGTCTGGATAGTTAGAAAATTCTACAATGGTCTTTTCATCAAACTAAAACCACTCTAACCAGCAGTGGGCAATTTTTTAAGCCTCTGTCAACTAAAGCCCCACAATCAACCGATATATAGTCCAATATATGTCCGATGCAGATTATGCACCGACATAGGCAAGGGTTTTAGATAAAGGGCCCATTCTTAGTAAATGATTCAATATTTCCATCCAAATGCCAACCTCTGATGAAAAAACAAAAAAGCTGTCGTGGTAAAGCCATATCAAGTTCTAAGATGAACGAGCTTGTATATGAATGTTCTTTAAAATATTTTGTTCAGGCGTATCACCGATGCACTGGAGCATTAATATCATCGGAAGTTGTCATTACTGCTGCACATTGTACTAGATTTGTTGTACAAAAATCTGCTAGTACAGTTGATATTGGGATTGGAATGACTTTACAGAATGATATGGACAGAGCTATGAGAAATTTCACTAGAGAACCACTCAGATCAATGTGAGATTCATTTAACTGAAGTTATTTAATTTTTTGAATTGTGAGCTTTTTGGCAGTTGGCGAATTGTGCCAAGCGTTAAAAGTATACTTCCCATTACACCTTTGCTTGCGCAAGTTCGCAGGTTCGAATCCTGTGGGAAATAATTATGTGCAAAAGGATTGCTTGACTCCTCGCTGTTATAGCGGAGTTCATGTAATCAATCGCTGTTCGGTTAGACCTAGGTCATGTATCTGAAACAAATAACTGGTTAACTATTCCCATATCCAACATAATTTGGTTGCCGTATAAGACGCCATGGTTTGCTATCCTATTGACTTTCCTCTCCCCCTAGATAAAATATGAAAATCCTGTCTTCTATTATTGTTATTTTAAGCAGTAATACCTGTAAATAAATATATATTACATTTTTTATAAATAATTCAACTGAATTCATTAAAGTTAGAGTCTCTTTACACTTCTCCGAACAAGTTAAATACCTTGTAATATCCTATAACTTATCTTTTGTTTAGGTTTCATGTCTATCATGGTTATAATTCAGTTACTAGAGATGGTGACATTGCGATATGGAGGCTGAACCAACCAGTAACATTAGGAGATAGAGTATTTCCGATATGTTTACCAGACAGTGGATATAGAGTCCATGAACCTAAAAGCACCTGCTACAGTGCTGGATGGAATTCACTAACTCAAGGTCTCCTTAAATATTATGTTAAATTTCCATATTTCGTTTTTTTTTCCTTTTAATTAAAGTGTTTTCGTTTAATTTTAAATTACCTATACAACATGGTTTCAAGCCGTTGACTCTAAACAACGCTCAGTACAAGCGGTCATTAATATGTGAAGAGCTACTCTTTGAAATAGAATCTTCGGCATTGACTATCCGAATTATTATACCTTGGATGAAGTGGAGAGCGTCGGATTCGAACCCTAGTTTCTTGTAATGAAAAACATACCCCTCGACGAAACACAGACTTTATAGTGCAATTTCAATTAAGTTGTACTGAATTCTGGGTACTCTCATATTGTCTGTACCAGGTTAGGGTTGGGCCATATCTTTATTCCGTTTTCCTTGTTTTAGTTCTATTACGAGTTCGGGGCCTGTCTGTGTTAGCCAAGTGAATATCCCCTGCCCATAGGTTTCATTCCCTTTACACAACTTGATGTAAAGTAGGCAAACAAAATTACGGTAGTTACCTCCATATTGGTACACACACTTCTGGAGCGCCGAATCTCGTATAATATTAGTTATACTCGGAATTTTTAACCTATACTACCTTATTTGATTGATTCTTTCTATATCTAGGCATTAATCTGAATCAAATAATGGAGTATGAAGTTCAAACAATTTCAAGTACATGGTGTAAAGAAATGTTGGGATTAAACAAAGATTCATCATTTGCTTGTGGTGAAAACATCAACTTCGATATTTCTGGCATCCATGAAAAGGTAGGTTTGTTTTTTCACATTTGAAAAGATCGCGTCAGGACGATGTACCACTGAAAGGACCGTTTAAAGCAGGGGTGGCCAACCTATGGCGCATGCGCCAAACGTGGCGCATTGCATGATTAGAGGTGGCGCATTGCATCTTTAACCCTTTTCTTGCCAAAATTGTCTATGATTTTCTCGAAGAGAAAAACGAGCTATCTGAGGAAAGAGATTTTATGTGATAAAAACTGGCTCTTTGATTTGGCATTTTTAGTTGATGTTACTAGCCATCTCAATGATCTAAATTTGAGACTGCAAGGCAAAAGCAAAATATTTAAGCTTAGTAAATGACATTATCGCATTCAAGATGAAGTTGAAACTTTTCGTTTCCCAGTTGGAAAAAGAGGATTTGTCCCAATTTCCTCACATAAAAGAACACCGTAAATGTGCCGCTGGTAATGGCAATTTCGCAATATACACAGAAAAAATCAAGTTATTGCAAGAGTCATTTGAAAGTCGTTTTCATGATATTTCAAAGAAAGAAGACTCTATACTTGCTTTTATAAACCCATTTTCACTTAGTGAACTAACCATAATGAAGATGCCAAGCAATATACAATTGGAACTAATTGACTTGAAAACTCATCCATCATTGAAAATTAAATTTGATGAGCTTTCTTCAGTCCCAAGTACATCTGACATGATCAAGTTCTGGCAATCGTTACTCCGTGAAAATTTTCCAGAACTGAGAAAATTTGCCCAGGGTTTTATATGTCGTTTCGGAACGACATATAGATGTGAACAAACATTTTCTGCCATGAAACTAATTAAAAGCAAAGCGAGGTCAAGACTTACAGATTTAAATTTGAAAAATGCACTGCTCCTCTCAGTAACAAACTTAACCCCAAGAATAAAAAAAACTGGCAGCAATAGTCTCATAAAGGCGGTACCTAAATAAAATTGATCAGTTTTATTTATTATACTTCCTTGCTTAATTTCTATTCACGTGAAGTTGTAAATTGTAAAATCTACATATACGTGTGTATATATGTGTGTGTATTATAAATTTATATAATTTCAACAAGAAGCGGACATTAGGCGTGGGAATACAAGAGATTTACGGCGCATCTGAAACAATATGTTTAAAACGTGGCGCATGGTATGTGAAAGGTTGGCCACCCCTGGTTTAAAGCGTAGCCAGCCCAAAATTTGAGGGGGGGGGGGGAATTTTTTTTGCTCCCAACAAAGCCAGATAAAAGTAGCCAATGGTATCTAACAATATCATAAGGAATCGCTCTACAGACACTTGGCTGTTGAAGTTATCCGAAGCATATAAGCACGCATTTTCATCTATCTCTTTGGGTTCATTTGGTGAAAGGAATATTGATAGCAAGCCAGGAAACGTCCGGTTTTCAGTAAATCGTTCAAGAATAAAGCAAAATGTTGTTGGAAGAGGCATATGAATTTATGTCTTGCTGCAAATCGACGTCATCGTCGCATGATCGCATTTTAAAAAAAAATGTTGAAAATTTTGGGCGGGGCAAGACCCCTCAGGCCCCCCTTGGCTACGACTATTTAGCCGTTAAATTTCTTTACGCATTTAACAAATGCAAAAATTAAACTTTTTTTTTTGTTTTCTGCAGACCGAATCCGAGCCTTTAATGTGTAACCATAATGGAAACTGGTATTTATCCGGTATCAGAAGCTACACACATATCGGTGCAAAAGACACATACAGACTATATACAGAAGTACATAGATATGCAGATTGGATAGAACACACTATAAAAACCATGGATTTATATTACACTTCACAGGGTGGACATTTAGTCCTTGGTGGCAGTTAACGACTTATCCAATTGACATTTCCTTCGTTTATTTATTGATGCCATATTTTGTTTGGCAATTTCTCTTAGGAAATAAAAGTTTTAAATATATACTTTTGTTTTTGAGGATTTGATGATTACTTATCAATTTGTAGTGAAAAAGATTTCATGGCTTGTGTATACTGAGAGCACCTCCATAGGCAATTAGTCGTGGTCAGTGCAGGTGCAATCACACTCTCATCGCCACAGCCGTGAACGTTATGAATTTAGTAAATTACATAAATTTGTGTGAGAGATTCCGGTTCTTTTGAATCGAGTAACTCGTACATTAATGACAGCTTGTCCACGCCCTTATTACTAGCGAAGATGAGAAACGTCTCTTAAAAAGACAGGAAGATGATAATGCATATCCTGGAAGAGGAACGCATCGAGGTCAATGTCTGGTCTAGGCATAATTAAAAATTTGCCAACATTCGTTTCAATCAACGGGGATAATACTAGTTAAACGCTCTACATACGAAAGGCCCAGTAGTTGGCAATGCCGTTGCAAGTCTCGTTGCCGCCACTTCACTCGGGCTTGGTGCTGAACCATCATCAGTAGGTGCTTGACCAGTGCCTTTTTTATGGTGTGGGTCAAACTTGCCGTTGCTCCACCGAATACCCCGCATGGCTGGCACAGATTCTCCACCACATAACGATTAAATCGTGAAGTATGCCATTGCACAACCTGAATTCATTATCATCAGTAACCAGGCTAGAGTTCTATGTACGCCATATGATTTTTCTACCCACCGGAGTGAATATGAAAATGCTACCCCATGTTCTGGTAGTGTGCGGTAATGGTTCCAAAGTATGACTGCTACCATTCGAATTTTGGGGGATTGGGGCATGGCAGACATAAATATGACTTAGATTGCAAAAATCAGAGATCTGGTCTCGAAAGATATCGTCAGTCTGAAACAACGATAAACAATCACTTCGTCAAAGTCTACATTATAGAGCATGCTACTCTCCCAAAACAATCTGTCTTGAGTTTTTTGCCATCCTAATTATAATCAAAACGTAATATCTTTTTTGCGGGGTCTAATTATCAACAAGGACCGAGACGTGTGCTACGTGATGCGACTTCAGTATTGATTATGCAATTTGGGGATTATAATTAGCGTATGCTTAATATGACGTAATGTAGCCTACTCATGAGAAAAGGTAAAGTATTAGAGATAACTTAACACAATTCGCAAGAGCTAAATACCATCTATATGTGACTACACAAGTGACAGGCTAACTTAATGTCCAAGCAATCCCAGCGGCTAAACGTTTTACGGTACTATTGAACAGACTTGTCATGTCTGTATATAATTAAGCTTAATATTTATGATATACGCTCTTGATCTAATTTATTATTATACTGTACCTCAATTTAAATAAATTGGTATCATCAGAGAACGTAAAATTTGTGCATAAAACCAAATTAGAAAGCGCCTTCGCGTACTACATTAATTTCAAATAGTCATGCCCGGAGTACTCGTATAATGCAAGGCAGCTTAAACTTTTGTAGAGGGATGATAATGTCGACCTTTGCTTAAATATTCGTTCCAAGTTGTTTGACGTGGAATTAAAATTCTAAAACGTTGCTTTTATTCATAACATACTCTGACAAATGCCAGTAACATGAATGGAAAAAGGAAGGCTGAATACGCTCGTATATATATAAGTATTAGGTTTCTAATTTACAAGTAGGGTTTTCTTTTTATCAATTCTGAAAAAAACATCGTGTTTTAAAACAGGGGTTTGTTTTAAATCTAATTTTTTCTGTATTTTTTATTGAAATACCCCTTGCATCGCCGCGAAACTACGCCAAAACTTTACATTCTGGCAGCTGCACACGCAGCCGAATTATAATTTCAAAAATGTGAGTAAAATTTTTTATTTTGATTTTTACTTCTATTGCGTACATTTATCGCCACGGTTGTATCTCCACCAAAGTCATAAGATTTTACCCGGTATGTTTAGCCGAGATATCAGAGTGACGTTTTGAGTAAGAAAAATCATGAAAATTAGCTCACGAGCCTACTACAAAAGCAATTAGATCAAGTGCAGTCCTTCGGCAAAACGAGTGGAACATGCTTATATCGGCGGCAATCTACTGATATAAACGATGAGACAGCCTAGCCTAGCTTAATGTGTAAAATCGTTTGAAGATTCCCGCAAAAACGAAAAACCGTGTTTGTTAATTGTAAGAGTCCTCTGATGCAAAGACGCCACAACTAATCTGTTATGACGCCGTAATATGAATTTCGGGTTCATGTATTGGCATTTTTCTCATAAAATGATGGCAATATTACGGTTAATACTGTTCGGTTAATTTATGCTTAGCATACTTTGTTTTTATGGTCGAAGTTTTTTAAGGTTACACAAACTCATTTATTCGATCGCATTTCAATTTTCGCAAGGTGGTTTCATCGCAGCAGGATCATTCACATAATGGCTTATCGGTTGCGTATTACTGCGCCAACCACTGAACTACAGCTTGAGAAGGTGTGCATGAGCCTCTATCAATATTTGTGGCGTTTTGAAAAATTTATTGCAAATAGGAAGCGCTTGGCAAGTTTTTACATTCGTTTTTCTTCAACCTATTTAATACAAAAAAATCAAATAGTACAGCCATTTTGAACAAAACGGGTAAAAAAAACTTGATTCAAAACAATTGTTTTAAAACGTATTGAACAAATCCCTATTTACAAGGAACGATATTGCGGGTTTTTGACACATCGACTGTATTCGGTGGAGGTGTCAGCAGACTCGCGCGAATCAGTTTATAGAAGGTCGTGATGATCAGCGATGATTATATTTTGCGTTTCGAAAGTTATGTATAAGATTTATGTAGATTGTAGAAGGCGTCTTGTTTATGTAGCTTACGTAGTGACATATATACTCACATTTTCTGAAATGAGGGAACATGTTGATAGCGGGTTCGATACAAAAGTTGTCCTTGAAATTTTGAATCCCACCACTGACTATAATTCACATAGGCTACAATGTGCAATCATGAAAAGTCGAAAAGAGATATTTGAAACACTTTGTGCTTTAAACCGGTTTGAATTTCTCCATCTAACTACCAGCACAATGCTCTCGCACAAACCATCGTTTTGTGGCCTGTGATGCAGCTTGATTTTTTTGTTGTTTGTTAATAGCACACGACGTAATTGCCAGTTTAGAAGACATTTACATTTCTACACCTTTCATTCTGAAATCTTTCCATAACTCATCAAGTGTGGCGTAAGCATTAAACTTTCTATTTCATAAAACTTACAACGGCCACGTATAACATATCTTAAATACTTAAACGAATAATTCGTTTTAACCCTCCGGGCAAACACCGCTGAGCTGTACCGGTGAAATTATTATTTGCCATTAATTTCATTACAGTTTTATATAGCTATGTTAGTGGTCAGGTGAACAGTAGTCCGAGGGCGTTTGCTATAGCCTTAGTCCGTATGCAGTTGGACAGAAGGTTAAGAAGGCAGAATGAACACAGCTATAGCAGTTTGGGTGGGAATATTTGTATTTATACAAAGCATTCTTGCATTCACTGAAGCTGTCGATGAAATTGGAAACGTGAAGAATGGATTTCCATATCCCGGTAGGTTTACTAATATATATTATTTTCGTAAAAAGCGATAGTTTCGTTTTTTGAAAAACTGCGTGAGAGGATGAAGTCAAAACAGGGATTAGACGGGTCACAAGGTGAAATTCGACTAATGTTGTTGCATACAATAGGATCGAATTTCCTTCGCGTGATTGTGTTACCGTACGTCAATAATCTTGAAGTGTATCTTATTTCATTACCAACTCACTGGACTAATTTGTTTTTGCTGTGCCCACATGCAATAGAATAGACAATAGGCAACTAGTTTCCTGAGAATATATTACTAAAATTGTGGTGTCAATTTTATCAAATATTAAGTTTGTTCTCGATTAGCCTTTCTAGTCGGTGGCTACGGAAGTGAGTAAAAATTTAGTCCAAACTTTTGAAACATCCATATCACATCGATAAAAACTCCCAACAAAGATAGGCCACTATATTTAGCATCCCGAAATAGGTTAACTATGATTAGCATGTTGTGTCAGACCCACGATCTCGAATAATTCCAAAACTCGTGTTATTGCATCTTCAATTACCAAAAGGCATTTGATCTAGTTTTTAAATAGGCTGTTCGCTTTCAACATAATATATACTGGCGAATGATTCAATGAAACTACAAGAGATTGAAGCCATTTATCACATATATATATATTTTACCTATCTTCATCGACGAACAAATAATCTTCTTTTTTAGTTTTTGGCTCTGATGTGAACGTAACGTGTGGAGTTCAAGAGATGGAAGTAGCTATATCAAATGATTATATACTTCGACATTCTGATAGGATTAGTTCTGTCAATCGACTTTGTTTGGGAGATCGAACATGCTGTGCGGATTATGTGAACGGGAAATTATCAGTCCGGATTTCAAAGGATTTTTCTAAGTGTGGCAACAAGATTTCAGTCACGGTAAAATATCTCCTAAATTCAAATTTAAACTGGAATATTTGAACAAGTTCAGAAAGCAGTTCGTAATATTCTAAGCAGGTTTTACCAAAATCAAACTCCTCATTGCCATAACCCATGAAATAGCTCACTTTCTCGAGCAAAGTTGTCCAAATATATATCTATCTCAGTGAAAATATAAAAATATTTTCGAGTCAGCAATAACATAATTCTAGGTTCACGTTATGACTTAAATACTTTCGCCAGAATGGACTAGCAATCTTATTTTGCAGCAGTTCCGATACATGTAGGCTACTTGACATCGCCAATTGCAAGAAATTTATACTCGTTTTGCCTGATATAATTACTTCATCCGATATTTGTATCTATAGGCGTGTTATAAACAAGTAGGCTATGTTTATAGAAGTATACACAAGTACAAGCATACACAAACAATTTCTCGCTTCTCAAAATTTAATTACGAGTGGGTTGAAACAGAGCCGACCAAAATTGCAATTCCGAATGCCAATTTATTTTTTTGAATATATGTACGATTATACCATATAAATTAATTTTACGAAAA